CAAATGAGAGCTACTCTTGTCAGTTCTTTAAAATTACCTGGATGCGCCACACCTGGGTGTGTATGATTCCAACTATGTGACATTCTGGAAATGACACATCTATGGAGACAGTAAACTGATCCATGGTTTGGGGGTGGGGGAGCAGCATTATAATGTCAATATGACATTATAATGGTGGGTGCATGTCCTTATACATTTGTCAAAACCCTTAGAAGTTATAACACCATAGAAGTTATAACACCAACTGTGAATCCTAATGTGAATTTTGAACTTTCACAGCAATAACATCAAAATTGGTTAATCAACCAATACAAGATAGTAATAATAGGAGAAACTGGAAGGCAGGAAGTGGAGGTTGGGGGTATATAGGGACTGTCTGTACTTTCTGCTCAATTTTTCTAGAAATCTGAAACTACTTGGAAAAAGAACCTGAAGTCTATTCATTTAAAAAAAACACCTGACATCCAGGCATGGTGGTGCACGCCTGTAATCCCAGCAACTTAGGAGGCCCAGGCAGGAGGATCACAAGCTCAAAGCCAGCCTTAGCAACTTAGCAAGAGCCTGTCTCAAAATAAAAAACAAAAATGGCTAGGGATGTGGCTCAGTAGTTAAYTGCCCCTGGATTCAATCCCTGGTACCAAAATCTAAAAATTAAAAAAAGCTGATACCCAGAGTACAGCCAGACCTTTGGATCAGTCTCTGAGAGGGAGGCCCATGCCTCAGGACTTTTTAAACCCTTCCCAGGAGATTGTAACACATTGCTAGGCTAAAATCTTATGCTTCAGACTGAATGGGAATGGAGGGGAGCAGGCAGACCACAGGGGGAGCACTTTCTCAGTGTTGGGGTGGAGTTCCCAGGGAAATGGGTAGATACGGCCTTAAAGGAAAAGGGAGCAACTGAGAGCAATGTCCTCTCCCTATGAAAGCTTCAGTGACTTAGGCATGGACCCTCCTGGACTCTGGAAGACCAAGTGAGGAATCGTTTAGCAGATGCCCACAGTGTTGCAGTTCCTCATTGCTTTGAGCTCTGATTCCATTCCTTCAGTGTAGACTTGCGCAAAAGCCGTGAGTGTTTGCGGGGGTGAGGGGAACCAAAGGGCTGGGGGTCAGAGTGCAGAGGGCATCCACCAACCACATGGACCATGGCTAGTACAAATAGTTACCAGTCCTGCCGGGGATGGGACAGAGAGCCCAAGCAGAGGGCGTCTGAGAGAGGACAGTATGCTGGAGTACAGGGAAGCTGCCTTCAGAAAGCAAAAGGGACAGAAATGTAGTTCTTACTAAGATCTGAGCATTGTAGGTTGAGGAGCAGAATACAGAGGACCAGAAAAGACCAGAGGTAAACAGGCAGAGAAAGGGCTTAGTGGGGATCAAGTACAAAGAACAGGATTTCCCAAAAGAAGGCCCTGTTCCAGCAGTTCGGCTGAGATGCCCTTCCAGTGATCTTCAGCAGGGGGGAATAGTAAGTGGGCAGGGAGAAGCTGGGAAGAGGGCTCAGCCAATGAGTGAGGCTGTGGGCAGAAGCCCTGGTCCCAGTCTTGTGAGAGACAATGACACCAGATTACACATCACAGATATGGCTCAGGGAAGGCTTCCTGGAGGAGGTGATTTGGAGATGGTGGAGCCTAGGCAGTGGGGAGAGCAGGAAAGCTGACCACAAAGCTAGGATGGGCTGATGACAAATTGGTCAGCACAGCGTGGGTGGGGACAGGCAGCGCCTGAAGGTCAAAAGGACCCAGGCTTTGTCATCCTAGCTGGAAAAACAGATGTGTCTAAGGTCTCAGAGGTAGAATTGAGTAAGTGTGTATGGGGGAGGGAATGTCACTGAAACTAGAACCCAGGAACCCAGTTGACCTGGGCCTTGTCCAGCAGGGGCCAGAGCAGCACAGGGAATCGGTCCTTGCAGGCCAGGGGCTCTGTCAATGGTGAGAGAGAGGACTGACTCCTCCCCAGATATTCCTGGTCTCCTCCTGGGCCTCAGTGAACCCCAGAACCCAGCGCCACCCACTGCATGGCTTCCCAGAGAGACAGCCCTGTAGACAGGTCAACTTGTTTGTCCAAAGGGAGGCTGTGCGAGTATGTCTGCCTAGGCGTGGTGGGAGTGACCCTGAAACCTGAGGGGTGTTTATGTGTGTCCCTTGGAAAAGCTGGAACTCTTGGTGGCTCTGAACACCCTTCCCTCTCCTCCCCTGGTAAGACTGCCATGTAGGCTGAGAGGGTTTGGGGTGGGGGTCAACCAGGCAAAGGATCTGTGGGAGATCAGGAGCCCAAGATACCTAGAGCGCCTCCCAAACCTTCAGCTGGGCCCCCTATTGCCCAGCTCAGCTCCCCTGTGTGGTGAGTTCTAGAAGAATGTCTCTGGCCAGGCACAGTGGCATACGTCTGTAATCCCAGAGGCTCAGGAGGCTGAGACAGGAGGATCATGAGTTCAAAACCAGCCTCAGGAAAAGTGAGGGGTTAAGCAACTCAGTGAGATCTTGTCTCTCTATAAAATATAAAACAGGGCTGGGGATGTGGCTCAGTAGTCAAATGCCCCCGAGTTCAATCCCCAGTACCAAAAACAAACAAACAAACAAACAAAAAAAACAAAAACACACACACACACAAAAAAACATAAGTGTCTCTGTCTCTGATCTTCTCAGATGTGTGGGGCTCCCAGTTTTTCTGATAGCTGGTGTAGGAAGGCTTGGATGGAGGTGGGTGTGCAGGAGACAGGCTCTTCTCTGACATGCTGTGTGTCACTGGGCTAGTCACTGCTCTCTGAGCTTATTTCCCTACGAGGTGCCTCTTAGAAGGGTTGTACTCAGAGGTAATGACATTAAGCATCTGTGTTCCTTTTTAAAGCTCCCACTGTTACTGGGCATAGTGGTGCACAACTGTAATCTCAGCAAATTGGGAGGCTGAGGAAAGAGGATCACAAGTTTAAGGACACCCTCAGCAACTCAGCAAGGCCCTAAGCAACTTAGAGAGATCCTCTCTCAAAATTAAAAATAAAACAGGCTGGGATGTGGCTCAGTGGTTAAGTGCCCCTGGGTTCAAGCCCCAGTACAAAAATAAAAAGCAATTTGGAAGTTCCTACTGCCTAATAGGCCTTAGAGGGTGGGGCCACCTTTGACAATCAAAGGCAGGGATTGGCGAAGGCCAGTGCCCTGGAGGAAGGGGTAGGCCTGAAAAGTGGTGGGTAGGGCGATTGCATGGATGGAGCCTGAGTCAGGAGAGCAGACCCAGAAGAAAGCCTACTGATCAGCCCCTGAGAGGGGCTGGGGCCTGGCCAGTTAGGTGCTTAGCAGCCTGTGAGGGCCAGGATTGGAAGGCTGATGGCCACAACCAGGAGAACAATAAGGAGGTGAGAGATGTGAGGGCTAAAATGGAGAGGCAGCAGAGATGGGCTGCCAACACCCCTTCTGGAGGGAGCTCCGGGCAGCCCCTCACAGGATGGCCAGGAAGCAGACAGGAGCAGCCTGTGAAAAACCAGCCTCTACCTCAGAGCAAAGCATGTCCAAGGAAGGGGGAGTGACCTTTGTCCTTTGAAAGACCCAAAGAGCACTTCTAGGCACATTCCCACCCTGCTAAGTTGTTTATCTACAAATAACAGGAGAGATCTGCGGAGCCAGGTGTCCCTGACTCAGTCAGGCTAGGTGGGGATCCATAGCAACCCCCTAGCAGCCACCAATCAGCATGAGACAGGGAAATACCTGGGATGCCAGATGACCCTCCCAGTAGTTTATGGTGGTTGATAACGTGTTGGGAAACCTTGTAGTTCAGCACGAACACCCCTCTTGGCTTAAACTAATCAGTTCAAATGAATCCCCCTCTTGTAGTAACCAATCACCCCTACCCAACTTGTTCCCGCCAGTGAATGTGCTAATCATGTTTTAGAGTTGTTATTTGATTTTCCTGCGATGTGTGATGATTTGCTAAGAGATGCTATGATGAATGTGGGGGTCCCTGCCTTTTCCAAAGAGTGTATAAAACTGCTGCAAACCCTGGGCTCTGGGCCTCTCAGCGTCACCAGTTGCTGTGTGTGCGCGTGGAGGACCGAGCTAGCTGGCAATAAACACCTCTTTGATGTTTACATCGATCTCTGGTAGTCTTTTGGGGGTTCCAAATTTGAGCATAACACCTGGCCTTTGTTTTTCAGATGGAAAAGCTGATGGCCGTGCTGGGCAGCCTCTGGCTTGTTCTCCTTCTGGGCATTCAGTGCCAGGCCCTGTGGTCTGTCTCCAGCGTCACCCAGCTAGAAGCCCCACGGCTGAGCAAACACCAGTCATGCAGAGCACAGTGTGCCCAGGGCCTCCATGTTTTCCTTTTAAGGGTCTCATTTGTTGAGTACTTACCTTGTGACAAGCACTGTGCCAGGTGTTTAGCACAAGGACTTCATTTACTCTCACAAGAACCAATTATAACAGAAACTGAGGCTCCTCCATGTATGTGCTGTGTGACTTGCCAAAGGTGACACAGTAATTTGCTATTTAGCAAAGCTTGGGTTGAGGCTCAAGCCCATCTAACTTTAGCAGTGACTCATCATCATTGCCTGGAGGGCTTTCCTATGGACAGGGTACTGGTAACCAAGGCTAAGGAGGTACTGGGAGGATGCTGGGTCTGTGACCCATGAGAAATTATGGCAGCTCCCACCTGAACCAGACCTTGGCCTCTTTGGCCTCTGTGTCCCTGTGAAACAGGCAGGAAACACCACGGGGAGCTCACCAGCTCTCAAACACCCAATTCTTCCCAAAGGAGGGGCCACAGCATCTACTTTGGAACCTGAATTGCATCCTGAATGGTCTCCCCTCAGCCTCCCTCACAGCTCTTCCTCCCTTTTACCTCCTGCAACTCTTCCATTCAGGGATTTAGGATGCCTCAGAGCATTCTAGAAAAGCAAGCCAAGCCAGCTGGTCCAGGTGGTGAGAAAGAACACATCCAGATGCAGAAAATGCACAAACAAAGCCCCCCCTTTTTTTTTTAACTCAAGAAAGGGCTTTTATTATTTTTAACTCACTTCCTGGGAAGTTAATTTTTAAAACACTCTTACGGAGTCTGTTCATTTGTGCTACATTTGAAAACAATGATGTCAACCCAAACCCTMAGTAACAGGTGAGCACTCCCTCCACACTCTCCTGGGGCAATGAAGGGCCCCCTTTAAGCTTTTTCACAGGTGGGTCCAACCCATGAAGCTTCCTGAAGCCCTGGCCCTCCAGGTGCCAGCACAGACCCCCCAAATTTTTTTGAAAACCTGTTGATCAGTGATTGACTTTCAACTTGCCTCCATTAACTCTATAAAAGTGTTCTTAAAGATAGTACAGGATTATTTTTTTAAGCCCCAGGTCACACTGACTGCCTTAATGCAGAGGAGCTAGGGAGAAATGTGGGCCCATTGACAACGGGCTGCATTCAGCTCCTAGCCTTAAATAGACATAGAAACTATATTACAGATGCATGTATTGGTGCAAGACGTGTATGTGCTGTGTGCAGCAGATGGGCACGCACATGCATGTGCGTGGAGGCGCAACGTACACCACAGGCACAGARATGCAGCAGGGTGCAGGCCCTCCTTCTGCCCAGCCTCCCTCTCCTTCTCCAAATGAGCCCTTTTACAATAGGAAACCCATACAGGTGGCTGAAACTCCTTGCGTGGCCCATGTTTTCAGGGGCAGAATCTGAGTCCTGCATTATTTCCCCTCAGGAGCCTATCTCTCTGAGCATTTGGTCAGTAAACATCAAGCTGGCCAGCCAGTATCAGATCCCAGAGAGAAGATGAAGCCTACTCCAGCACAGCATGTCCACAGCACACCCCAGTGACTGTCCTGGGAGTGAGGCAGTTGGCACAGGGGCTGCCTGCCACGGTGCACACCCCTATGGGGTCCCTCACCTAGCAAGACCTCTAATTCAGGTGGTTTATCCTTCATGGTAGGAATGTTCTGGATGAGCCAGTGTAGGATCAGATTGAATTCCAGTTATTTCTGCATGTGCTAGTCCACGGCCCTTGGCCAATGACATTCCCGGTGTCTCTTCTGCAGCCTTGGCTCTGGGGAATCATGGGGGGGGGATGAGGTGGGCAGACAAGCTGTGCTGCTCCTGGTTCAGGCCTTTGCTCTGAGCTTGACTCAATTCAGTCCATTTTCCAGATGTGCTGAGTACAAAACAATCCAGAAAGGTCAGTCCAGGCTGCTTGACTGCCAAATAATGGTGGGTATGCTGGGACATACCCACGGATGTGGGAAAGCTCATTAGATGCTCCCCAGTGACTTCGCCACTCCCCTGGCCCCCAAGTTAAAATAAAAAATAAAAAGTAACAAAAAAAGAGAATCTTGAATTCTCCAATACCTGCCTCTCCCCAGTGGGGCCTAGGCATACATGAAGCGGTCAGAGCCTCCATACCAGTATTGGGAGTAGACAGAAGCTCTAGCACCCCCACCCGAGGTGGTGGGGGCGCATCCCTCCATGTGATGTGGCAGCTGAGCCAGGCCTGCCCAGCCCCTAGTGGGAGGTCCCTGAGCTGCAGTAAGCCAGGCCTCCACCTGCCATCTTGGTCTTCTGCCCCGTGCCCTGGGCCTTGCCAACCAGCCAGGTAGGGTTTCTGAGGTTCCATGGACCCCTGGCTTCCTCACAGGATGGGTTAGGCCAGGAAGAGCCAGGGCGAGAAGGAAGGCGCCATGGGACCCCTACTCCCCCAAACCCCGGATGATACACATTCCAATCCTGTCCCTGGACGTGCATGCGCGGAGGTCATGCAGCACGAYGGGGGAGGGGGACCGGGAAAGGGGCCACAGTCCCCAGCCCCCTGCCYGCAGGGGCGGCTGTCGCATAAGGGCGGTGGGCCTCTGGAGGCGCGGGATGAGCGTGCTGCCTGGTGGCCCTGGGCACATGCAGGAACTCAGGATGCAGCCTCATCTTCTTGAACACCAGGGAGCTCCGGGCTTTTGCCCCCTTCACCACACCCTTCTTTCCTGTTTAGGGGACACCAGGGCCAGAGGGACCTCAGGAGTCAGAACATGTACACAGGAACACTCTCACACACACGAGCATTTGTATCCCACAATCTCTCAATCCCCCTCATCCACTTCCCCAAACTCAGGCTCGGCTGGGATCTCCTCGTSCTGGCAGTCACTCTCCTGGTCTCCTTACCCTCAGCACACAACCCTTTGTGGCTCCCATTGTCTTAGATACAATCTAAACTTCTCAGTCTGGCCTCTATAGTCTCTTATATCTGACTAGTTGATTTCCCTGCATCCTTGGAATATCACCCAGGTCAAGGGCCTTCCACATTGACCTTCATCAGCCCCCAGCAGACCTGGGTAGAAGGGCTTTCATTTGTGTGTGTGTGTGTGTGTGTGTGTGTGTGTGTGTGTGTGTGTGTGTATATATATATATATATATATATATATATATTTTTTTTTTTTTTTACCTTCTTTACAGGGCAGAGTAAGTTTCAACAATTATCCCAAAGTGTAAAAACCACATATTATCAAGAACAAATGCTAGGACTTGATAACATGAAATCTGCTTTCAAAATTAAACTTAGCACCACATAAAAATAAATAAAAGTATTGTGTCCAACTACAATTAAAAAATAAATTAAACTTGAGCCAGCCAGGCACAGTGGTGCATGCCTGTAATCCCAGCAGCTCAGAAGGCTGAGGCAGGAGGATCACAAGTTCAAAGCCAGCCTTGGCAAAATCAAGGCACAAGCAACTCAGTGAGACCTTGTCTCTAAATAAAACACAAAATAGGGCTGAGGATGTGGTTCAGTGGTCGAGTGCCCCTGAGTTCAATCCCAGGTACTAAAAAAAAATTGAACTTGGGCCAGGCATGGTGGTACATGYCTGTAATCCCAGCAACTGGAGAGGCTAAAGCCRGAGGATCAAAAGTTCAAGGCTAGCCTCAGAACTCAACAAGACCCTATCTCAAAAATAAAAGAAGGATGAGGATATAGTTCAGTGGTAGAACATCCTTGGGTTCTACAAAAAACATTAAACTAGGGTCACAGAATTGTAGAATTTTATGGTTGGAAAGTACTGAGCCCAGTCTTTGCAAATCAGTTTGCAGGGCACAAATGTGTCCTGGGTGCCAGGTGGGCTCTGAACCTGTGGTGGGCTTGTCCCACCACTAGGGGGCACTAGGCCACAAGCACTGAACTGGAGTGACCAAATGCCAGGTGTGCGGGGTGTAGTGCTGAGTCCGCCTGTTGTCCTGGCATAACTATGCCAATTCTTCCACTCTCAGAAGTGGCTCTGTGTAGAATGTTAAKTTCCATACAATTCCGCCTACACTAAGCTCAGTGCCAGCATCTGGGCCCTGAGACCTAATGAGCACAGAAACCCCTCCCATAAACCAACAGCCTCATTGAAAAGATGAGAAAACCACAGCTTGGATTTCAAGCGTCTCTCAGACTCCACCCCTCATTTTGTGGGCACATCTWTGGAAGGACACAAGTCAAAGTGCTCCTTCTTGAAAGCCAGAGCACCTGGACAACACCCCACACTCACTCTCTGGAGAGCGTGCCTTCAGCCCAAAGCAGGTCAGAAGGCACCTGTCAGCCCCGCAGTCCCTATCACAGACCAGAGGAAGYGGTCAACACCCAGAACCGCATTCTAGCCCAGGATCCTTCCTGGTGTTCTCTGCAGATCTGGGCACAAACTCCAGCAGGCCCTAGTGATATCCCAAGCTGACTTTGATTACAGTGGAAAAACTGAGGACAAAGTCACAGAGATTTGGGAAAYTTTTTCTGGCCTCTCCTAGGAGGTGGTGAACCCATAAGTATAGTTCATACTAGGGAGCCCTCAGCAAGTGGTGGTTCCTCTCTCCTGGCCCTGTCAGCTGGCCTGCCCACACTGACCAGCTAGGTGAGCACTCACAAAGCTCCAGCTGCAGGTGGCACAGGCCACTCAGGAAAGCAGCTAACACCCACCCTGGGCCAGGGAAAGTGGGCAGAAGTGCCCGTCCCTCTATGGATAGCTCAGTCTCGACAAAGGGAAAATGGACAAAGGATTGTCTGCAAACCTCTAGAATGCCAAGGGCTGAGGGAGCTGMAGATTTGAAGCCAGAGGGCTGAGGTGCACCCAAGTGGCAAAGCATTTGATAACATCAAGCTTCCATCACAGGGAAGGGTCTTCATGCCCCATGGAGGGACTAAGGGAGATATCATTCCTGGCAGTGTAAGCGAGGGATACTGGGCCCAGACTGCAGTAAGACTGGCCCAATAGTTTGGGGAACTGAGGTGCATAGGGGGCCTATTCTGAAACCTGGCTGTGTCCCTAGGTTCTGTGACACCTGCACAGTCCCACTACAGTGCAAGTGGGGAGATGTGCCTTATTTCCAACCACGCCACCTTAAGGAGCACCCCAAAGGCCTCAGCCCACCAGTACTTACATCAGTAAGTTTCCCGGAGCAGACATGGAGCGCTCTTCTCTGCGTGCTTGGGGCTCAAAGGGGTTCCCAAAGGATCGTTTCCTCAGCATAGACTTAACCAGAATCTGGGGAGCACAGGTCAGTGTGAGGAACATAGCCCCCGGGTACCCAGACATGCCGGGGCAACTTGAGGAACGTTTGGAACCAAGGAAAGGCCTCCTCCAGTCACAGTGAATGCATCTATCAGCAAGGCCTGCGTATTTCTTTGTCATTCACTCTCCTCACCAAGCCTCCTTATCTCCCTGCCTGAATAAAAGGACCTCTTTCTGCATRGGCCCCCAGCAGAAAAGTGACCTCTGTGGCCCCGCACTGTGGCTGGCTGACCAGGCAGCCCTCTGTTCTCCTCGCAAAGCCAAGCACAGAGTAAGTCTCAGGCAACAGACATGCCCTCTTCAGGCTCTCGTGGGACAAGGAAGCCTTCAGCCCCTCACCCTCTTACCACTGTGGTCCAGCTAGGGATGAGCTTCACTGAGTTTTTCACCTCCTCCTCAGTCACCTCCACCATACTGCAGTGCTCCTCCTCTGAGGGAAGGGGTTCCTTCCCGTTCTTGGTCACCCAGGGGTGCAACTGGGGAGGCCAGAAAGGAAGGAAAGATTAGGACCACAGGCAGACAGACACCGGATCAGCAAACGATTCTAGGCATCGCACAGTAATGTCCTACAAGGGGTCCACAGCCCACAAATCCTGAAACTCAAGCCCAATATACCTATATCCTGGTGTGGGTCTCTCCAGAAGGGAAAATCGAGRCCTGTTTTCTATAACCCAGCCCAGCCCAGAGACCTCTTGTTCCCCCACCTTGATGTCTGGAACCCCAATTCTTGTTTCGGGATTCTTATCTAGCATCTTCAGAATTAGGTCCTTGAGCTCCTCGCTGACCTCTGGCCTAAAGCAATGGAAGGAAGGAGATGAGGGTGAGAGACTGTTGATGAGGACCACTTCCTGCTCTCCTCTGTCTCCCTGCCCTGGGATCAAAAACACACCCAACCCACAGATGGGAAGAGCAGGAGGGCCCCCCAAGGTACCAGGCCAGAAGGGAGAGTTTCAGAACAAGTATGTGGATCTCCTTTCCTGAACAGAAAGTGAAGCAGTCTTCCTCTGGAGCAAAGACCACAAACAGAGCTCCCGGGGGACTACATACACCCTCTGGCTGGCAAAGACAATGAGGACAGTACGAAAAGAGCTACTTTAGGGGTCTTCATTCCCACTCGCCATCTTATCCTTCCTCTACCTGCTGGGTGGCCAGGGAAGATCCTCTCTCATTTGACAGAGGGGGGAAACTGAGGCCCAGGGAGGTCAGGAGGTGGGTATGTCACCACTGAGAAGTGAGGACATGGATGGGAGACTGGGGGAGGGGTATGGCATTCTCAGCCTCAAGACAGCCTGGACCATCTCGGCCTGAATTCCAGGCTTCTTTGCTAGTGATGTTCTTGGTKCGTCCATCCTTCCTATACTGGGGAGGAAGAACCCACTCTTGGGATTAGGATGGGTCCCTTCTGCTGTCTTAGATGCTTAATCTCTTTAAAAATTCCTAGTCTACAGAATATTCCTGGTAGGGGATATAGCGGGGAGAGGTGAAGAGCCAGGAAATTAATAGAATAAAGAGGAAACCCTGAATCCAGTTGGCTAGTGCTTAGGGGGAAAGAGTGATACGGCAGCCAATGAGCACCTAGAAACTAGAGGCCCTTGAACACCATGGCCAGGTCATGGCCTCTGTCCTGCAGGCTTTGGGAAGACTTGGGCAAACTTTAAGCAGGAGATATGGTCAGATTTGYTGTGTTTTTATCAGAGTAGACCTGGCCTGATCCTATAGGCTGGACTGGAGAGAGGACAGAGAGCAGAAAGCTGGACAAGTCTGGAGAGAGGGGCAGAAGTCTGAACTAGGCAGGGGGTGCAGGTACAATGGGGACCCAAAGATAGGTAAGAGGTGGACACAACAGGGGTTGGGGACCATACAAGAAATGGGTGCCAGAGAGTTGGAAGTTATGGATATTTCCTATTTCAGTTTCTGTACCACCCCAGTCAATTGAGCAGACGATAGAAGGACCTGAAAATTGAGGCACYAAGAACTCAGGCCACTGCCCCAGCAGATAAGCCTTAACCAGAAGCCCCAGGGATGAGCAGGGAGGCCTCTCAGACAGTTCTCCTGGGATCAAAGACCTCCTGTGGCTCAGTGGTTGAGTGCCCCTGGGGTCTTTGATCCCAGGAAACTATCTGAGAGGAGTAGAGAGGAAAGAAGAGCTTCAAGCCCCACCCCTACTAATAACTCTCCTCAGGTGCCTCCACTTTTCCATCTGGGAACTGGGAAGCATCTTGAACACCCCCACTGCCCATCCCACGTGGGATTTCCCCATGGGTCCACAGACCCAGGTGTGAGGTTGGTACCGCTGACCTATAGTGAAGAAGTGGTATGAATGTATGACTGGGGGTCATCCATGCCCAACTCTGGGCCTGGATGGTCCCTCTACACAATGCCATCTGACCCTGATGTCTCAGACACTGTCAGTTCCATGGTCCCACCCCTCCATCTGCTCAGGGCCCCTCCCAGGGAATAGCACCCCCACCTCCAGATCTGCAGGCTGGGTTGGGGCCCTCAAACGGCAAAAAGCTCTGCTAAAGCTCAGACACCCCTTCTCAGGAGTGAGTGGGACCCCCATGGTCCCCTGGGTAGACAACTCACTCCTCAGGAAACACCACGGCCTCATTCTTGATCTTCCTGTGCAGGGCCAGGATGTAATCGTCGATGAACGGGCACTGTGTGGGGGAGAGGCAGACACAGGATGCAGGCACAGGGCCTTGAGCCATGCCAGGGACCAGCCCCGAGCCCTTGGCAGGGCCAGGGACAGCTCAGCATCCCCAACACATGGGAAAGATGCCATCTAACTTGCTTAGGGCCTGGCACACAGCAAAGGCTCAACAAATGAGACTGAACAACCAAATCACTGAGGGAGCTATATATGGCTGGGTGTACCTGCTGGGTCACTACCACCTGCAGCAACATCTCCACTCCCAGGACCTGGTGTTTGGAAATGTGTTCACTGAGAGTCCCTTCTGCCCCTCAGTGCTCCCCTGAGTAGAAGCACTTGTGGACAGGGATCTAAGTCACGTGAGTGGTGGGTGTCCTCAAGGCCCAGTATGATCCAGAACAGAAGTGAAGGGCAATTTACTGAATGAATAAACGATTAAGTGAATGCATGGATGAATAATGATTGGCGTCAAGGGACAGAGGGACAGGGAACACTCTGGCTAGAAAGGTGGCAACAGCACCACTGACACCTCCCTCAGACGTCTGCTGTCCAGGATCCTTCACGTTGATCCCTCTCAAGGGGAAGAGAGGAAAATAGAAAAAAAAATCTCTTCTCCTTCAGCCTTCTCTGAGCCAGGTGGGCTCTTTCAAAATCAAAACTTAAGGGGCTGGGGTGGTGGCTCAGGGGTAGATTGCTCACCTAGCATGCATGAGGCACTGGGTTTGATCCTCAGCACCACATAAAAACAAACTAATGTATCCACCTAAAACTAAAAGATACATAAATAAATAAATATTTTTAAAAAATCAAAATGTAAGGACACAAAAGAAGGACAGTATCTGTTCCTAAGTTTGGCTCCCTAGACCCAGCCCACAGTGCCAACCTCCCCAGCACTCACCTTCCCATACACAAAGCAGTACAGTGTGACCCCAGTGGCCCACACGTCCAAGGCCTAGAAAGAAACATGCTCACATCAGCACCCCAATAGGTACCACTGCCCACTGCACACCCAACTCCACTGGGCTATAGAAAGGGCCTGTGGGGACTCTCCTCCCGCCACCATGTAATCACTGAACAGACACTGCAAATGCTTATTCCATGCTGGGCCCTGTACTGAGCACAGGTGACCCAGGGGAGACCAGAACAGAGCTGCTGCCACTCAGATGTTCCAAGTTTCTTTGGGACAGGCCCAAACCAGATGTATTTCTAATTCAGCAGGTGCACAGCTTCTTTCATCCAGAGGATCAGATCACATTTGCAGCCCCTATGACATAGATGCATCCAGAAATAACAGACTGTGTTGAATTTGTACTCATTAAACCAGCTCTGGCACCGGGCACAGTGGCACACACCTGTAATCCCAGTGGAGGGTCACAAGTTCAAAGTCAGCTTCAGCAATGGTGAAGCACTAAGCAACTCAGTGAGACGGCATTTCTAAGTAAAATACTAAAAAGGGCTGCAGATGTGGCTCAGTGGTTGAGTGCCCCCGGGTTCAATCTCTAGTACCAAAAAAACAAACAAACAAACAAAAAAAACCCTACCTTTGGCTTCAAGGGGTCATTCTATATCCTGCTAATCCAGTGGAAAAGCCATCATCCACCTCCCTTCCTGACACCAGATGCACCCCCTGCCACAGCAAAGCCCTGTCCATCCTGTGCACTGCTACCACTCCTCCCAAGCATTCACTGGGCTTCCCCTGCCCTGGATCCTCCTGTGTGCTCTCTCTTCATTTCCCTCTTCAGACTCCACCTTCCCTCTTATAGGAGTGGCTCTCAAATCTCTACCTCCATATCCCTGCCACAGATGACTCACTGGAATCCATTCAGGGAACATGAGACAAATGCAAACCAAAACATTTTACAATTTTACAAAACAACAGATTTGTTCTCTTCAAAAATGCCAAGGTCAGAAAGCTGAAGATGTAGCTCAGTGACAGAGCAGTTGCCTAGCATGTGCAAAGCCCTGGGTTCAATCCCCAGCCTCATATACACACATACAAAAGTCAAGGTCAGGAATGACAAGGAAAAGCCAGGGAGCCAGCAAAGACTTCCAGACCAGAGGATGTGAAACAGACAAGTGAGTGAGGCCAATGACTCTGGATTGTATCTGGGACCAGAAACAGTTCCAAAGGTCCACATGGAGAAAACTGACAAAACATAAACTATAATAATTGAAATTTATATTACAAATTATATAAGTTTTATCAGTGGTAAATTTTCTGATTTTGATAATTGCATTGAGGATCTTTAATGTTCTTGCTCTTAGGAAATATCCACTAAAAATATCCCCCACCAGTGTCCAAACTATCTATAAATTTAAAATTATATCAGAATAAAAGGCTTTGGCTTGGTTGTTTTTCTTTTCTTTTTTTGGTTTGGTTTTTTGTTTTGTTTTGATTTTGTACTGGTGCTCAACCACTGAGTCACATCCCCAGCCCTTTTTTATTTTGAGACAGGGTCTCACTAAGTTGCTCAGGGCCTCTCTAAATTGCTGAGGCTAGCTTTGAACTCAAGATCCTTCTGCCTCAGCCTCCCAAGCTGCTGGGATTACAGGCATGCACTACCATGTCCAGCTGTTTTGGGTTCTTTTGATCAGACCTAGGATATCACACATGCTACCACTGAGCTATATCTTGTTCCTCCCCAAGGAAAAAGGAAAAAAAAAAAAAAAGGAATGCTACATGCCTGACCTCTGAGGCCCAAGAAGCCTCCACCCATGTCCAAACTTTCTCAGCCCTCCCCTCTTTGGCAGCTGCAGTAGGGCAGTGCCCAGGGGTTCACAATGGCTGCAGCAACCCTTCAGAAAGCTTTCTTACCACCTCTCTCAGGTGGCCCAAATGACAAGGTATTCTAAAACCTGCCCCTACCCCCATGCCTCTCAGACCTCTGGTACATTCTCTGGGCTCCACCTCTTGCTCAAATCCCCCTGTTCTTTGAGGGCCAGTTCAGTCCCTGCAATGCCAAGATTTGACATGGCCTCCACCTTCCCCCTGTTTTTGAGTTCTTCTGACCTTTTCAACATGCAGAAGTTGGGAAGCAGGGCTGTTTTGATTCTGCCTGTTCCACAGCCCATTCTAGAACCCAGCACAGAGCAAGCGGCAGTAAATATCTGCAAGGGAGGTATGGAACCATTCTACTGGAAAATGAGAGGAAGTTAAGGTTGGGGGACATGTCAGGATCTAAGGAAGAGACAAGGATGTCACTCTGTAGATGCAAGAACCCTGGCACCCTCAAGCTCTGCTGCAAGCTGTTCTGCTCCTCTACCTGAATCGCCACCTGGCCCAGACCCTGGGAATCACCTTCCCACTGAAACTCTGGCCAGAATCAGAAATGGCTTCAGGGGCCATGAATGCTGGGGTCCCCGCCGTGCTGGACAGTTGAGCATCATTCCCCTCAAACTGGTTGCTGACACCAAAGTCGGCAATCTTCACATGCCCGTCATCTCCCAGGAGCAGGTTGGATGGCTTGATATCCCTGTGGACGATCTTCTGGTAGTGCACTGCAAAGAGAAGCAGCTGAGTGCTTGTCTGGGAGATCCCTGCCCAGGAAGCCTCACCAGCCCTGCCCAGCCAGGGAGGCCAACTGGCATATCCCAGTGTGGAACCCCAYACTCTTGTCATGTGAGGACCATCCACTTTACTATGCAGGTGAAGATGCTCAGGCTCAGCCCAGGATATTAGCAGCAGAGCCAGGACAGGACTCTTAGGAATCTTTGGACTCCAAGTCCAGTGCTCTTTCCATGACCAATAAGGCATCTATTGCTGAGGAGAGGAGGTCAGAGGAAACTGGGTACGGGAACTTCTCCATAAGCTGTCTGTACCCCTCCCACTGAGTACTGTCTACAAACCCAAAGCCCATGCAAACCCTTCCCCAGTTCCATCCCCAACCCAGCCCTGTCAAAGATGTCCCTACTCCTAGGATTAAGGGTTGGATTTGGGGGACTGTAATGTCCTACAGATATACGGTTTCAGCTCATGGGATCTGGAATGATGAAGTTTCACAGAGGAAAGGCACCCCAGGCCTTGGGATTATCAGGATGAATATGGCTCAGATGAGGGTGAAGCCAGGATGAAGCCAGATGAAAGATGAAGCCAGAACCAGAAATGGCCTAGGGGGAGGGCAGCCTGCCCTGCCTCCTGTCCATCACTGCTAGGAAGGGATGGGTGGCTCAATTTGAGATAACCAGAGGGAAAGAAGAGGTTCTGACCCCACCCCACCACATCAACTTGTGGCCTCCCTCCTCAGTAAGACCTTCAATTGGACCAAGAGTGCCCAGGATGTTGGATAAGGGGGAAGATAAAGGAGGGAAGAAAGAGGAAGGGACAGGAAGAGGAGAAGGTTGGGGGCAGAGAGAGGGAGTGCCGTACTCCAATAACCACCAAATCAATAACCTACTGTGTGCTGGCACCAAATCAATAACCTACTATGTGCTGGTACACAAAAATCCGGCCCACATCCATGAGAGCACAGAAGCTCAGGGATCTGGATATTTGACCATGGAAAGTAGTCTCAAAGTCTTATCTCAAACACTAGCCTTGCCCTCAATTCCAAGCTCTTTATCCAACAGACATGACAGCTCATTATGTATGTCAATATACTGCACTAATTCAGAACTTGATTTCTCACTGCAAACCACACTACCACCAACACCAAACAAAACATAAAACCCCAATCCTTTTCCTGTGTTTCCCATTCCATTAAAGCCATATTACTGTTGCCAAAAATCTTGGGACCATCTTTAACTCCCTTCTCTCAGACCTCGCATCAGCTATCCCTGTGAGCTCAAGTTCAAAATGTATTCCCCATGTGACAGCATCTCATTACCTATATTGCTATACTTGTCCCATTTACTGAGGATCAAGCCTAAGCCTCTCTGACCCCAGAGTGCTCTCAAGGCAGCCTCGACTCTCTTTTTTCTTTCTTTCTTTCTTTTTTTTTTTTTTTTTTTTTTTTTTTTGTATTAGGGATTTAACCATTGAGCCAGATTCCCAATCCTTTTTTTTTGTATTTTATTTGGAGACAGGGTCTCACTGAGTTGCTTATTGCCTCACTAAATTGCTGAGGCTGGCTTTGAACTCTCAATACTCCTGCCTCAGCCTCCTAAGCTGCTGGGATTACAGGCATGCACCACTGTCCCTGGCTGGACTCTCTTTTCTTGAGGTCAGAATCACATGGCAAGTCTTCAGCCCTCCCAGTGCCTCCGTTCATCTACCTGCCAGCCCTAGCACTAACCACCCTACTTCACTCCGATCAGAGGGTCCTGACCAGGCTTTCACCAAGAAATTGATGAGATCAGTTTGCTTTTAGGAGAACAGGGATGGCAGACAACAGCCCCTCAGGTGGTGAGAAAGGCTGAAAACTGGAAAGGGGGCGGAGCCAAGGCCAGGCAGAGTTGTGTCCTCTACTGACCACACTATCTGTAAAATGTCCCCTTCCTGTCTTATGCCTGTAGGTCCTTGCTAGGACTATGTGCAAAGACTGCCCCTCTGTGTGCCTCAGTTTCCCCACAAGTACACAGACTGAGGGCAGTGGGGGTTCAAGCAGGGTAAAGGCAGTCCTGTTCCTGTCACTGCAAGTCACACCTCAGCTAGGTTCATACCCTGTTCCCCCAGGGAGAATATGCTCCAAACAAACCAAGCTAAGATTTTAAGAGATAGGCAGCACCCTTGGCCCCCAACTCGGGCAAGAACCCTAGGCCTGGGGGCCCTCCCCTCATTAGACCAGTCAGCCACCCCTTACCAGCTATACCCTACCCCCTTCACATCCCTCCCCACTGCTACTGACCTAATCTAAGTCTCACCATCTGTCACTTGAGCTGTAGAAACAGCCTCCTCCCTGCCCAGCTGGCCGTGTCTCACCCTCAAATCCAGCCACCACACAGCTGCCAGACAGAGCTTTCACAAATCTCATCACACCCCTCCCCTGCTAAGAGCCCTGGGGGCCTCAGCATGCTGTCTGAATGAAGTCAGGAAAGTCCTCCTCCAGGCACTCCCAGCCCTCTTGGTGTGGCCTGGACATTGCTTCCAGAATTACTGTTCACTAACCAACCTCCTCTGTCCACTGGATGTTTCAACCAGATTGAACTTGCCCCATCCTTCAACAGCACAGACCCACTCCCTCCTGCCTCTGCCTGGCGTTGCCAGGCATCACCTATATTGTCTGCCTGCTTAGGTCCCTGCCCTTCCGGGGCTGTGAGGTCCTTGGAGTCAGATCTGGGTCTTTGTCCTCTCTGTGCCCTCAGCTGGCACTTAATAGGTAGTCATAAATGAAAGAAGTGAGTGAGTGAAATGTATGAGCAAATGAGTAAATGAATTCCAGGCAAACAGCCTAAATTAACATCTTCCCTCCTGAGTTCTCACCACCTCAGGGCCCCTCAGTTGAATCTACCCTGCCACCACCCACCAGCCCCATACTAGGCCACACTCTTCCCCAAGCTGCTGGACATAGATCCCTTCCACCTTGTATGTATTGAGGCCCCGTGGAGAGGCTAAGCAGAGGAAAGATAGAGACAGAAGGCCCCACAGCGCACACATAATGGGTGAAGACCAGCCGCAGCTAAAGACCTGCACATGCTCAGTGAAAAACGGCCCCGGCCCCGCCCATAGAGCGATGCCCCGCCTCCACTAAAGCTGATTGGCAGATCAGTGCTGATGGACAGGAATGGCTCAGGTCCCGCTTAGCCTACCCTCGGTACCCTTCTGCAACCCCTAGCCCCAGTTCCAGCGACAGGCAGCCCCTCGCTCACAGTACTCGAGGCCCAGGATGATGTCCCGCAGATAGAGGCGAGCTTGCTCCTCCGGAAAGGGTTTGTCGCAGGGCACTTCCATGACCGGCCTGTGGGGAAGGAGAAGGGAGGGGTGTTCAGCCGGTATCAGGATGAGTAAAAACTGCGGCAGGGTAAGGGAAACATGGGTTGGCCATTCYGGCCCCTAACGACCTCCAGGGGGCCCTCTGGGAGCACAGGTCCCTAGGAACCAAGATATGACCTTCTCCTCCAGCATATGAAAATTCAAAAACACACAGACACAAATATCCCTTTTCAATTGCAATTTCAAATCAGTTTTATCTTAATTTCCATTGGCTTGTATTTCTTCTTAGAAGCACTTACTTATCTACAATCAAAGAACTGTAAAGATGCMATTTAAAGCAGTGTCTTTCTGGATCCAGATCCAATAGAGAGTGATGAARTCAATTTAGCCGTGACAGTTTTTTTTCCCCCCCTAACAAAGTAGAATGTACCCCATGTAATGAAGATATTTACTGTTCTGTAAAATTTGGTTTCAGTTACAGATATGGATAATAATATAAACATATATTTTTTTGTTTGAATCGATATACAAATGTTTGAAAGCCCCTGAATCTTAAAGGAACACCACTCCATGACCCCCTCCCCAAATTGGAACCCAGACAGACACAAGCCACAGCTACGTTCAAGGTCTTGGCAGTGAAGGGTTCCTGTCCACTCAGCCCCATGCCCACCACTCCATGTCAGCTATTCTACAAATACCCCAGAAGTCACACAGGGCAGACATGTGTTAGAACCCTATGCTCCACCAGTGACTTGCTGTGTGACCCTGGGCAAGCCATTTACCCTCTGACTCTCAGCTTTCCCTCTCATCGATGGAAGGGAATAGAGTCCCACCGGCTCAGTTCCCAAGCTTGTCATAAAGCTAAAAGAACCCTTTGTGATCTGAATGCAGGTTGCAGTGAGTCCTTCCAGTAAGCTTTTGCCTGAAAATCACTCCTTTCTTCTCCCTCTCTTCCATCCAAATCTTTTTTCCGTTTTTTGAGGCCTGGTTCAAAACCCAGTTACTATTCCAGCCTCAGTGACCCCCACCAGCCTTCTGAGAATGGTCCTTCTGATCTCTTATTTACTTCTCTGAACAGAGCTCCTGAAGTCAGGGCCTAGGTCTCTGATTTCTCTTCTAGTGGCTAACYCTTGGTCTGAGGGATGCAAGGAGGGAAAGGGATTAGAATTGACCTGCCTGCTCAGGATGGGGAACTCACCCCTTTCTCAGGAGGTCAAACACTGAAAGAAAAGAAAAGAAGGTGAGATGTACCGCACTGGCAAAGCAGGCAATGCCAAAGTCCCTCCCTGTTCAGAGGGTAGGAGGTGGGGCAGGCATGCAGGTATACTCAAGGGACATGGTCTCAGGATGTCAGAGGAAGTAAATGGATGAGAGTAGAGTCTGCTGTGGAACTGCCTTATCTGATCCTTAATGCCAGGTGAGGACCACAGAATGAACCCTTTTATGTATTTATTTATTTTTATGTGGTGCTGAGGATTGAACCCAGTGCCTTGCACGTGCTAGGCGAGCGCTCTACCCCTGAGCCACAACCCCAGCCCCAAATGAACCCCTTTTAGGAGAAACTGAGGCTCAGAAATGTGGCAGAAATATTCCTAATGGTCCAAGCAGACAGGCAGGATATAGACGGCAGACTCAAGCCTTGACCTCTAATTCCTGAACTGGTCCTCTGCCTCATTTTTTTAAAAAAAAAATATTTTTTTTAGTTGTAGATGGACAAAATATCTTCATTTTTGTTTATTTATTTTTATGTGATACTGAGGATTGAACCCAGGGCCTCATGTGTGCAAGGCACAACCACTCTACCACTGAACCACAACCCCAGCCCATGCCCCATTTTTTTGAGAACTCCTCTAAGACCAGTCCTAAAGCAGGCATGAGGAACTTAAATAATAACATTGGTATTAATACATTAACATTAATAATAATAATATTAAGGATATTAGTACGTTCTGCATATAGTAGCTCATCGCCTTTTGACGTCAACTCTATGAAGTAAACACCACCACTATCTCATCTTTGAAAAATTATTATTATTTTTTGTGGGTGTGGTGCTGGGGATTGAACACAAGTCTCACACATGCTAGGCAAGTGGTCTACCACTAAGCTAAACACCTGCCCCTATTATCCCATTTTATAGGTGAGAAAACTAAGGCACAGAGCTACTAGACAGGGCCTGGGAACTCACATAATCAGTTCTTGCCTTAACCTGAGTACAGAACCCAAATCTGATCCACTGTCTTGCCCAGCAGTGGGGAACAGGGAGTGGGGGCTTAGAGATATTTTGGGGGAACCCAGGGCTTACAAATGTGTGTTTTCCTTCTACCTTCAGGAGGTCAGTATATTCACATGAGTCATGTGCATCCCCAGGGAGCCCTGGAACTAGTCCAAGGTGAATTGTTGTGGCAGTGAGCTGGGTCACTCACCCAAGTAGAGATTGTCCTCAGCTGGGTCATCCAGGACCTGGTTAGAGRGAGCAGACATGGGGATAAGGCTTGAGGAGGCATGGGGTGGAAAGCTCAGTCCTCTTTGACCTTGCCAGCCCCAAGACCCCTAGTATGCTCTGAAGTCACTTCAGACATACAGCAGGAACTATACAGGTGCCAGATAAGAGGGGTCTCACCCATCACTGACCACCACCATCCTGGCCCACCACATGGCAACCAGCCCTTCTTCCTTGAGATGATGAGGGGCTCACTTTTTGCCTCTGGGGCAATCCCTCACCTTCAATGAGAACATCCCTGACTAGCCAGAGCTGGGCCCTGAGGCCTCCCTGGAGTCCCCACCCCAAGTCTGGCCTGCCCTTGGAGACTTCAGTCATACCTCCTCCCTTAGTGGGACCTGGGTCTGTGCTAAGCACCTCCCCCCACCCACCAGAAGCTACTCACAGGAGATAGAGCATGCTCGTCTCCCCATTGGCTACCACCTCCTACCTCGATCAGCTTGACTACATTCACATGGTCCAGCTTTTTCAGGATAGCAATCTCCTGGTACACCCGCTCCAGGGGCAGAAGCTGCTTAGCTGGCCCTCCCTGGGCAGCCTGGGACCCTCGTGGGGGAGGGCGACCTATGACCAGAAAAGGGAATCAAATCCTGCTTCTAGGAGTTGGGCCTCTCCCTGGCTCTGCAACCAGCCTCAAGCAAGACTTTCACAAGACTATGATCTTGTCCCAACCCACCAAGCATATTCCATCCCCAGGCCTTCAACCACGCTGTCCCCACTCCTAACTGAAACTAGCTGGGGACCATGGTCTCCTCTGCTCCCAGGCTAGCAGCTCCCAAGGACCAGACCAGATAGATACATACGTGGAAAGCCATATTGTTTCAGTAACTTCTTTTTAGAAAGAACTTTCATTGCCTGAGGAGAGAGAGACAGAAATGTGTCACTCAGCAACTAGGAGCTAGAAGAGGCTGGTTACATGTGGACTGAGGGGGAGAAGGGCACACTGGGCATCTGCCACTGGCACTGAGCATGTGGCTCAGGTATATGTCAGACTGGGTAAAAAGGTGGCTATATCTGAGTCTAGGCCTTCCCCCCCTGTTCCCTCAACAAGCCTTTCTGGAAACCCTCAGAGGAAACCAGCCTCTGTTTGCACAGCCTGAGGGTCAGGGAATTAATTCCAATTGCACACCCCTAGGGATAAGGAGCTCACTCCCTTACCAGGCAGCCTGATCCTCTATCTCCCCAGCTTCTGCCCTACTCTCCAGGTTTTTAGGCCAGCTGGCCAACACCTCCCTCCTATCCCCAGACTCACATAGTGTCTGTCTTCACTTTCATTGTAGGCCAGCCTCACCACGCCATAGGCACCCTGCAGACAGGAACTAGTCAGCTCCACATGGATAGGGCAACCTCCCCCAGGACCAGCACAGGAAATGGCCAGCCTGATAGCTCTGGTCCCTCCCCTGTATCCCAGCTCCATCCCCAGCACCAGCTGGCTCTTGAGCACACATTTCTGAAAGACAGGGAAGGTACTTCTGTGCTGTGGGAGCTGCTCCACCRGGCTCAGCACAGTTCCATGCCTCCCTCAATCTCTTAGTCATCCATGATGCACCCTGGGGGAGCCAGGAATCAGAAGTCATCTCCCACCTCCCCTTGGGAATTTCCCAYAGATGATAAAAAACTTTCTTCACATTCAAGCTAGAGCATTCAGGCTCTGTTTCCCATTCTCACCCAYAGAGGAAAAAGAAGAGTGACAAGATGAGGACCCTGAAGTATCTGCTGCTCTTCTCCTACCCTCAGACCTACCTTGCCAATCTCACTCTGCAGCTTGTACTGGTTCAGTTGCACACAGTCCTGGGGGGGAAAGATGCAAGCATCAGGTACAGCTTGATCCAGACACAAGACCACTCCTACTTCAGGAGTCTGTTCAGGACCAGCCCTGCCTCAAGGTCCTAATTCCTAAATGCTCAGGTCTCACCAACATTTCCAGTTCCAATGGGGGAAGCTTGGTGGTTTCATAGCCACCCTAAGTGAGAAGCCTCAGATAACGTTTAAAAACATGGATGGTGAAGCCCTGGCTATGCTCTGCTCCCTACAGGGTGAGGGGATAATGCATTAATTCCTTCTGGGTCTGGGAGATCCCAAACTGTGGAAAAAAAAAAAAAAAACTAGGAGCAACTACTTCCAGAAGCAGCTAAATGAAAAGGTCTAAATTGCAGAGACAAGAAATATGGGAGAARCGCTTGGGGACAGAAGACAGCCTTGGTTCAGGCACAAAAAGCTCAGCCTCTGCTATCTGCAGTCAGCTCAGTACCCAAGTTCACTTTCAGATAAAAGTGGCAAGGACAGGGCCAGCAGGAGCCCAGAGGCTGGAAGCATGCTGGCAGCTTCTGAGTCAGAGCAGACTCTACGAGGCAGGATTAGGGACGGAGGGAGGCAGTGAGCTGGGGATGACTTAGGGGGTGGAGGTACACATCATCTATTTTTAAATCTCTAAGAGGACTTCTTAGGGGACAAGGGAGGGACCTATTTCCTAGGGGTGGGATGGTAAGATTCATAGGCGGCCTTTAGCTCAGATGGAGATTCCCTGGGTGAGAAGAGGCCATACTGTTAGGAAATGAGCTCTCCGACTCTAAGGGTATGCCAACTAAGACCATTTAACTATGTGGTACAAGATAGGGCAGAAAGGGGCTTTCATGGATGCCTACGGAGTGGGATAGGGGCTCGTGAACAGCCCCTAGCTCTGCCCCACCAACCTCTGTGTCTGAGATGGCCACATGGTGGGACTCAATGGTGGGCCTCCGCCAGGCTCGAGGAGAGATGTGGCTGGCAGGCCCTGTGGCATAAGGCCCAGGATGGGCCTCCAGGCTGCTTCCTGCTGGCCGCTCCTGGAGGGAGAACTTCCTAGCTGAGAGGCTGGGCCGCACTTGAGGGGGTCTTGAAGCACTGCCAGGGATCACAGAGGCAGCTCTGGCCCGAAGCGGAGGGTCCACACCATTCCTGGCAGGCTCTGGGCCTCCATCTGTCTCTTCCAAGTGGGTCACGTCGATGGCTGCTACTCGTTCTACCAGCTCTGCTCGTGGGTCCTGGCAACACACGGCTGGGCCGCCCTCCATTGCCTCGGTCCAGGGGATCCTCTGTGTYGCCTTGTTGGGAACCTGAGAGAGGGTAGAGAAGGCTTCACTTCTGGATATCAAGCCAGCCATGGGCAAGGAGGCCAGACCGAGACTCTCTCCCACTGTAGCCACAGCCCTGCAAGGTCCCACCTCTATTCCTTTGCCCTGGCTACTCTCTTTGCCTGGGATGCCAGCGCCCAGTCTCAGGTCTGTTCCTACTTGCTGAATCTCAGGACTTCATCTGGCTGGGCTGCATGCCAGCCCCCTACACTTCAGTGTCCGCACCTGCAAATAGACAGTTATTTCTGCCATGCTTCACAGGGAAGCACAGTGAACCTGGTATTCTGGAGTCAGGATAGACAGACACGGGTAGAAGAACAGTGGCCCAGCAGCACTGAGAGAGTCCAAAGCAGCYGGGCCCCACCCAGCATGCAGTCCAGTGACTCATCAGTCCCACCCCTTGATGGCAGAGCATTCCTGCCCCTGGAAGCTGGGCTGGGCTCTAGTGATGCAGAAGCTTCCCTGGTGCTGCAGGCCCAGCTACCTCCTCCAAGAGGCCCCCTGATGTTCCAGCCTCCATTAGTCCCTCTCCCTGCTTCCTGGAAAACTTCCCTAGAACTCCTGCCTCTCACTTCCGCTCCCATCTCCAGGACCATACAATGAGACTGGTTATTCCCTTCCCTGTCCCAGCAGGGCCTCCAGTCCAGGACAAGGTCTGTCAGGGGAGGAGGCTGCCACTTGGGTAACTGTCAAGTGAGACTTTATTGCACTAAAAGGTCATTCCATATTTCTCCTGATTTTTCCTTCCAGCTGGTTCATGTGGCAAAAATGTGTGCCACATCCGCTCAAGCCAAGATGTTCCCTGGGCCCAGTCTCATACCCACCCTGGACCTACTGCAGAATCCCTGGATCCTCAAGCTAGGTGAAGCAGAAGCCCCAGCTCAAGCCCCAGTCAACCTCCAGCCTCAGCCCTATCCCTTACTTCCTGCCATGATCTAAGCTACATACCCTACCCCCAGGTTGAACCCCGACTCTCACACTCAGACTTCATCTTTGCCCCAAGATGCATACAGATCCCACCCCAGCCCAATGCCCCTCTCCTTCCTGTGCTGGACTCAATATCTTCTCAGGAAAAGGAAGTGAGCAGAATCCTGACCCTCTGTATTTCCTGTTTGTTGGTAACTTCCTCTGTCCCCCACAGTGACTTTGAGAACTTAAGTCTTTGGGTCTTATGAGTGTCATGCTTCTCTTTCACTCTTCACGTTCCCATCTCCTTGCTTTGATAAGGGTGTCAAGGAGGTGGGGCTGACCGGGGTGTACTGGACATGGAGGAGTCTGGACTGAGTTCCAATTCTGCCTGTCATCCTATTACAGGGCCATAGATACAAGTTCCTTGCAAATTTTAAGCCTCAGTCTCCCCGTCTGTACTGACACCATACCTTCCTCAGCAAGGCTTGGAGGGAGACTGTGGGTTAAGGGCACAGTCCAGCTCTTTGCCTGACATTAGTGTGTTCAATGAGTAGAAGCCTGGAGGCGGTAGAGCCGATGTCGGCATGCAGAAGGGAAGAGGGAAGGAGATCCAGACTGGCAATAGGAAAAGATGTGGAGGCTGGACCTCAAGAAATGATGGAGGGTGTGAGGCCTCCCTGGAGGAGGTAAGAGAGGCAGGAGTGATGGGACTGGAGCTCCAGAGGCTTTGGAAACCAGATCGCTTGTAGGAAGGAGGAGACCAAGGATGAGAGGAGATTCCATGCCTGGCCAGGCTCCATCCTGTAGGTGACCCCTGCCCATCCCCCAGCCTCTCCCACCAAAATGCAGGCTCTACAAGATAAAGGCTTTGTTGAATGCCATAGTGATCATTACAGCCCAGGCCCCATTACACTGAGGGGAAAGCCTCAGCAAGGGAACTCCAGTAGGCACCAGGCCACAGGAGGAGGATGGAATGTGGCTAGGAGCTCTGCTTCCCTGCCCCTCAGATGAGACAGGCTGCTATGGTCCACAAAATTTGCATATGATTTCCCTAAGGTTGCTATCCTGCCAGAAGCCACCCTCCTTTAGCTCCCTTTCCCCTTTTTCTCAGATGGGGAAAGTGAAGCACAGCAAGTTCCCGCTCCCCAAGTGGTTATGAGGTGTAAAGGAGCTGACATCCACTAGGGACTCAGAACAAGCTTGCCTAGAATGAAACTCTGTAGAAGTGAGCGGTTTTGATTGCCTGGGACAAGCTGGGTCCCAGATGGATGCGCTGGCGGCAGCAGGAGGTGGCTGTGAGGGCTGACGTCAGGCCCTCCATCCATCCCTCCCTCCAGCCTGGATCAAATTCAGGTGACTAAGCACATCGCAAGGGAGGCAGCCAGGGAGACCCGAGGTTCCTGCYGCGTGTCCAGGCGACAGGGCTTGTCGTCCAAAGCTGTGTGTGTGAGCGAGTGTGTCTGAGCATGAGAAYGTACTCAAGCAGGACTGTGACACTCGCACACTGTGTCTGAGTGTCCACCCTAAGAAGTGCATATGCATGGAGACCAAAAGTTCTCTTAGTGTGGTCTGTGCGTATACAAGTGTGTTCATATGTACCAGTGTGCCTTTAGGTCTACATGCACACAGGCCCCAGGACTGGGGTAGGGTCAGCACCCACTGTGGCCATGAGATGCCCAGCTTAGAAGGTAAGTCTGGACTTGCCACTCAGTTCTGTCCCACTAGCCTGGAGCAGCCCACTTGGCTTGTCCATATCTCCCAGGCAAAGCCCCATCCTCCCTGGGGGGTCACCCAGGGGGTCTCTTAAGGGCCTTCCCAAGTTGGGGCCTTAGTAGACACTTTTGTAGAAACTGACTCAGCAGCTAACTAACTCAGTCATGTGGGTAAACAGAAAACTGGACAGGTTTTGACCAAGGCCCAGCAAGGACTTCTATGGTCAAGGGGGACCTCTCAGCCATTGGCCAAGTGCTATGGTCAAGAATTCCTGTGTTGCCTGAGACAAGACATTGGGCTTCCTGAAGACTCAGTTTCCTCATATGTGAATCAGTCAGATGGCCACCATCCTGCCAGACTACCAGGGCCGTGGAAGGAAGTCAGTGAGGTTTATAAACAGGAGCGATCTGGGACTGAGCAATGTGGGGCTGATGTGTCTGCATCTAGAAACCATAGAAAGAGAGCCCTCATGTGTAAAGTACAACCCACATCAGCCTCCTGACCTAGGAATGGCCTGGCTTACACACACTCTTAGGCTTCTCCTCCCAGGCTATGTCCCAGACCTCTAATCATCTGCCACTCCCAAGCATACAAGCTCCTGGTTTCAGATTCCTGCTTGACCTGGCCACCTCCTCAGAATGTGCCCCATTCAACTGGGTCCCTCACCAGAGGCACAGAGAACAGAGTAGACAGATCCTGCTGTCATCCATGTGGGTTCAAGTAGCCTGGCCTCAGGTGAGCACAAGCACCCAATCAAGCATCATTCTGAGTTTTGGAAGGACACTCTGAACCCCTGTGCCAGGCTGAGGTATGGGACTAGCTTCTGCCCAGGCAAAGGATGAGCAGCTCTGCCCAGCATAGGGCTGGCCAGAAGGGAAAGTTGCAAGTGGGTAGTAGCCACCCTGGCCAGACACGAAAGGTACCTGTGAACTGCCTCATTGGAGCCCTGTTTATGTTCCTGACAAGTGTCTGATGGCCTTGGCAATGGTGCCCTCCGCAGTTCCCAACCCCGCCTGGRATGACTCAGTCCCCTCAAGGGAGGCCCAGAAGTCTGGTGCCAAGTCATGCTTGAGGATGCCTGCTGTGAGGATGCGCCCTCCCACCATCCCTGGGGAGCTCCCAATTACCAATATGGGCTCTKTGTCTCATCACAACTAACCTAGGGTATCCCCTTGGCTTGCCCCAGGAGATTGACAGTCTCCAGGCCTCATTTCTCCCTCTGCCCTTCCTCACGCTCCACTCCAGGTCTGTGCCTCTAGCCTCTCTTTCCATATTGCTGCCTCCTCCCACTCCTCATTCTTGGGCAGCTCAGCTCCAACAGGGCCCTGAATGAACTCAGCATCTTTCCCCAAACCTGCTCTTCCTCTTGTCTCCATTGAAGAGGTGGGAACCACATCCTTCCAGTTGTTACTGGACCCAGGCCAGAAGTCCAAGAACCACAGGGATCTGCTCCCCATTCCCATCCTTGTTCCACTGTCCTCACACCTACTCTCCACTCCAGCTGCACCACACAACTTGAAGCTTCCCAAACTGCAGATTGTTCTGCTGCCAGCCCTTTGTACAAGCTGTGCCTTCTGCCAGGAACACACCTCCCTCTCCTTTGCAGCCTGGAGGACAGCTCAGACATTGCCTCCTCTGAGAGCACTTTTTGATCTCCCTACTGCTGGCTGGGTGAGATCACCAAGTTAAACCCCTTAAAAAGTCCAGATTAAAAAAAAAAAGTCTAGTTTCTGACCTCCTTTCTAACTGTCCTTTCACTGCTTCTGCCACATGGGTCTCCCTGCCTCCAGGCTCACATCCCCATTCTAACCCATTTCCATCCTTCACACCAGTTGCTAAAGGAAGGATTTCTAACATGCAAATACAGCCATAGTTCTTTCAGACCTGGCCTTCCAGGAACTTGGAATCTGGGGCACAGAGGAACAGGAGACCTAACTTTAGACTAGAGCTTCAGGCTGGGGCACAGCTGGGAASACAGGTTCCTGGATTGCAAATCCAGTCATTCATTCATGCAATAACTATTCATTGAACATGTGCTATATGCCAGGCACGATGCTAGGTGCAGGGAGATAAAGCAGTGAACCAAAAAGACAAAAGTCCCTGCTTGCACATAGTTTAATTTCTAGGAGGGACAGGATATAATAAATAAGAAACTGGGTAACTAATATGCGCTATGTCAAGTGGCATGTGCTGTAAAGAAAGCTATAGCAGTAAGGGCGATCAAGCCTAAGGGACTGGGGAACACTACTGATTCAGTGCAGTGGGGGAAGACCTTGCCAATGCAGGACTTGAGTAGACACCTGGAGGAAGTAATGGGGCAAGCAATGTGGTCACCCAAGAAGAGCACTTCATGCAGAGGGACCAATGAGTGCTAACTCCATGAGATGGGACAATGCTTGCTTTTTTGAGGAATAGCAAGGAGGCTGATGTGGCTGGAGTGAATAGGTACCTGATGTCATGAGGAGCTAGATCTGGAGAGAAGGCACAGTCCACTGTGTTAGCCTCAGCAATGGATTCCTGAGGAGACGATGCTGAAACTCTTTTTTGGTCAATGAGGATTTTTTTTTTKGGGGGGGGGTACCAGGGATTGAACCCAGAAGCACTTATCCACTGAGCCACATACGCAGCCCCTCCCCCCTTTTGGAGATTGGGTCTTCCTAAATTGCTTAGGGCCTCACTAAGTTGCTGAGGCTAGCTTTGAACTTGGAATCCTACTGCCTCAGCCTCCTCAGCCACTGAGAGTACAGGTGTGCACCACCTGGCCAGCCAATGAGTTGGATTTTAGCAGGGGATGAGAATGGGAATTCATGCAGCACATAACAGAAAACCCTCCCCTGGCTGGGACTCTGCGCTTGCTAGGGGTGTGGGGAGGAGCTTTGTGGACAGCCACCACCAGGCATCCAAAGCCAAGGAAGGGTTTTGAGGAGAGGAATGACTCAGTTGGATGAGGTTTAAAATGACTCTGGCTGCTGTGGGGACTAAGGGTGAGAGTCTGAGCAGGCAGAAGGTTCCCAAAATGTGGGGGCCTAGGACACAGTGCTCAATCTGTATGTGCTGAATAAAGGAGCCCAGGGCTATGGGGTACACAGGTGCCTCTTCCTAGGAGAACCTCAAGGACATAAGATATATACTTCTCTCACACTTCTGAGTCCACCTGACAGATGCACAGCCCTGGGGAAACCCATCATGGCACAGTCCTAGGATCTGTGGCCTGTGACATAACCCTCTCTGCACACTCCTGCAACACCCTCAAGACGTGCACGCCCATGTCCGCGTGACTGGTCCTCATACGCCACTCCATCCTGAAATGCATCCCCTCACACACAGGCACACTCCTGTGTCCACGTGACACACGCATACCCGCCTCCAAACACCACACACGGCTTCCCGCGCACGTGTGCTCCCTCGGAGTCACCACTCCTGTGCCCACCCGGCCCCAGAAACCACAACGCCAACCTCCGCCACCCGCCTCCCCGCCCCCGATCAGGGGAAGACTGCGTAGCTAAAGCCGCATCCGTCCCATTCATCACCCCCGCCCCCAGCTGTGGAAGGAAGACTCACGGGAGGGCCGTGGGAGGAGCGCTCCACGGAGATCCACACGTGGGTGCACGCGTCTGGGCCCACTCGGCATAGACACGGCCTCCACTAAGAACCGGGGCAGGGTAGACAGTGCGCGGGCTACGGACGCAGTCCTGAAGACAAGAGCTGGGGGAGGGACGAGGATGGCAGGGCGCCCACCTAGATGCGGTCCTGGCTGCGGGTTTAGACAGAAGCAGGCTCCACGAGACACCCCGTAGACCCAGCTCGGCAGATAGAGGGCAAGGATCCCTGAATGGGCAAGGTCCCAGTTGTCCTCACAGTCACAGCCTTGCAGACACCCCTCTCCCCAGCAGGCTGGGAGCAGACGATCGTTCAGGTGTTCGAATTCCGGTTCCCTGCTCCAGGTACCCTTCTCACCGCCCYCTACCTCCGCCGCGGGGCACCAGTCTCTGAGGCCCGGCGGGCGGCCAGGCTCGCTCCCGCGGCGCGCGTCCCGCCCCGCCCGCCTAGCCGGGGCCGAGATCGCGGAGCTCAGACCGCCGGCGCCGCGGCTCCAGGCAGCGCTTGGTCCCCCGCCTGCCGCCGCGCCCGTTCGGCGCTCATTGGTCGAGCTATACGGCCCCCCCCAACACTGCCCAATCAGAGTCCAAGACTCTCGCCCCGCTTCTGAAGGGGAGGGGCCGCGGCGGGTGGTGGCTGGGGAGGGGCCCTGTTGCGGAGCCAAACCGCGTCACGCCCCCGGCGCCCACATATAAGCCTCCCGGGTCCCCCGAAATCCCTCAGGACGTGTAATGACCAGTTAACTGGGCCTGAAGGGTACGGGTGCTTCCCCCAAAACGCTTTGTTCCCTCTCCCAGTCCTGGCCTGCAAGAGCAAGAGCGCCCCCTCCCTCTGGGGGTGAGGCTTGGTGCGTGCTAGGGAGGGGCAAGGCGAGATTGGCGAGCAGAGAGGTGGCTAAGGCCTGAGCTGAGGAAGAAAGGCCTTGAATGGCAGCCCCAGGAGTTTAGCCTTCTGCTAGATGGGCAGGAGGTGGGTAGGGAGGCCAGAAGGAAGTTTAGTAAAGAGTGCTAGGGTCCAAGTGGGATTCTTGTTTGGAAAAGGACTCTGTAAACAGACAGCAGAGTCCTTTTCCAAATGGAGGGAACCCAACAGGACCAGGTGACCTTTCCAATGGTTGTACCTGGGGACTCAACCCCTCACCTCTTCCCCGAGAAGCTCACCAACTCTTGGTTCAGTGCTGCTAAGTTTGTCACTAGTGAATCCCCACAGCACTACTTGCCTCAGAACTCCATATCATTACCCCAAACCTGGCTTCTTGTTTCCCTGTCTCAAACTGGAGCCAGGAACCTGCCAGTCACTTACAGCTTGTTTCCTGCCCCAACCAGTATAGCATCAGCTCGGAATCTTAAATATATAATCCCTGGAATCTGCCCATTTCTCTCCACCCTTCTGCCCCTCCCTTGGCTCAGGCCACTACCACTGTCTTGCTCCTGATTACTGCAGCATCAACCTTGCTGGCTTCCCACCATCATCCAGACTCAGTCCCCACTTGCCTTTCTTCACCTGGCAGCAGAACAGTCATTCAGAAGTACAAGTTTAACCAGTCAGCTCCACCTGAGGAATCTTCCATGGCTGGCCATTACCCTGAGAATAGTTCCAGTCAAGCTCTCTATAACCACACTCCTAACTAGCTGCTTGCTTAAGCTCTTTCTGAGCTCAGTTCAACGCCCCTTCTGTCAGGACACCTTCCCCATGACCTCTTCACTGCCCAGCTTGGTTAGCATCCCTTCTTAGGAACTTTATTGTACCCTCCTGTTTGCCTGATTGTTCTCTATCTGAACCGGGAGCTTCTTGAGGGAATGGGTTGTGCCTAATAAATTCAGCACAATTTGAAACACTCAAGGGTGCTCAATAGATGTTTGATGAATGAGCAACTAATTGGATATGGCAATTAGGGAATGGAAATATGGGGCACAAGTTCAGGAAAGAGGACTGAGCCAAAGAGACACCTTTTGGGTTTGTTCTTTTTTTTTTTTTTTTCATTTTTTTATGGATGCTGGGGATGATCAAACCTAGATTCTCATTTCTGCTAGGCAAACTACCACTGAGCTATACCTCTGGCCCCTCAAAGAGACAGTTTTGAGAGTCCTCAGAAAGAACCCAAAATTGTTAATAGAGCCATGGGGAAAATATCACAAGCACAAATAAATCAAGCACCAAGGACATATCACTTGCTTTTAAGGGGGAAAGAATTCTGTACTGGGTAGAATCAGAATTCTGACCTAAGTAACAAATCCAAACACATAAGCCTCAGAGAAGACAGTCTCGGGCTGATAAGGCAGCTCACTTCCACAAAGCCCTCCCAGGTGTGGCTTTCTCTACTCACTGCTCGGCAATCTCTAAGAGTGGCTTTTGTCCTCATAGCTCAGAATAGGGCTCCAGCTATTACATACATATTCCAGGTAGTGAGATGGAAGAAAGGACGAAGAACGGAAAGGTTCTGCACCAATTCTCTTTGAAGGAAATTTCCCAGAAGTTGTCATATGACACTTCCCCATCTACCTCATTCTTTGAACTTAATCACATGACCAGACCCAGTTGCAAAGAGACAGAACCGGAAATGCAACTTACATGAAATGCCACCTACTAATGGTGGCCACATGCCCAACCAAAAATCCAGATTTGTATCACCGTAAGGAAAATATATCCAGGGACAACTGACTGGCTCCAGTATCCAATGGGTGGATAAATCGAGGGAAAGAGCACTACTGTATGCCAGGCTCTGTGCTAGGCACAGAGCCAGGAACCTGCTCTGTGCCTAGCACAGAGTCTCTCTTACCCCGACCCTAGCAGAGGCTATTATTATCCCTGAATCACAGAAGAGACTTGGAGAGTTAAGCAACTGGCCCAAGGACACCTATTGAGCTCTGGCAGAGCTGTATTTGAAGCCCTGCACATCAGGCTGCTTGAGAAATCAGGACAGGGTGGATCCAAGGAGCTGTGGAGGGAATCTTTAGACAAAGAGGACTTGGGCCATAGCATCAGATGCCGACAGGCCAAGTGTCTGCTTGGATTTGGCAACAAGGACGCAGCTAGTAACCTTGACAAGGGCATCTAGAAGTGGTGGGGGTGGAGGCCAATTGCAGAGGGAAGTGCCATCTAGTCTTTCTGAGAATGTGGTGGTAAAGGGAGAGTGGGTAGATCTGCAGGGAGTGAGGGCCTGGAGGAGGGAGAAGAGGGGAACAAATCCAGAGATGGTAGAGGGAGGAGGCGGCTTTTGCCAGGAGATCTCTGGGCTGGTAGAAGGCTGGATGCAGAGGAGGAGCCCTTTTCTGCTCATTCAGGAGGGAAGGGAGCAGGAGGTACAAAAGCAGATAGGGAGGAGAAGAAAGGGAGGGTGGAAGAAGGAGTTCCAGTCCTGTAAGATCTGCGTCATGGTTCTTGACTGGGGAAGAGGGCAGAAGGCCAAGGGTCCAAGGGAGAGGGGAGGGGCTAGCCTTTGCTGTCCAGATTGGTAGCCACTAACCATGTGTGGCTATTTAGGTGAATTAAAAATAGCCAGATGAGGTGGCATTGGCCCATAATCTCAGCAACTCAGGAGACGGAGAAGGAGGATGAAAATTTGAGGCCAGCCTCAACTACTCAGTGAGACCTTATCTCAAAAATTTAAAAAATAGGGCTGGGATGTAGCTCAGTGGCAAAGCGTCCGCCTTGCATTTGCAAAGCCCTGGGTTCGACCCCCAGTTCCAAAAAAGACAAAAAAAAGAACCCCACAAAAAATAAGATTAAAAAAGAATTTAAAAAATATATTAAAAGGGCTGGAGATGGAGCTCAGTTGTAGAGCACTCCTGGATTTAATCCCCCGTATCACAAGAAAAAATAATAACAAAGTAAAGACTGCCCCCAGGGTTGCACTGGCCACATTTTAGGTGTTCAGTGACCATCTGGGGCCAGTGGCTACCATAGTGGACACATTATGGTAGAATGTGTCCATCATTGCAGGAAGTCCCATTGGATAGCAGGGTGTAAACCCAGCAAGATGGTGTGGATGCTTTGAGACTCTACCTGGCTGTGAGTCAGGACCTGGAGGTCACATCCACAGCAGGGCCCCTGGGGATCCTTCCACTTTGTTTACAGTCAAGGCCTTCCCTCCCTCTTTGGGGTTCCCTAGGTAGCCATCCCCTTCTTCATCCCCCGTTTCATGAGGCCACTCTTGGGGTTTTCTACTTGTCCCAGTGCTAGGCCTTTCACAGAAGCCATGGGAGGAGCTTGTGGTGGGTTAGGAAGAGTTGCAGGGTTTGGGGCTGTGCCAGGATAGTGGCCCATGGACAGATGTGAGCTGACCCTGTTAGGCTCAGGACATGGGACTCAGCTCACCACTACCCACTGGCAGACCCACAGGGGCTTCCGTGATTGCTCAGCACAGCCTTGCATCCCACAGATGGGCACACTGAATTTCAGAAAGGTCTGGAAAGAAGGCAAAGACGGCAGAAATTCGTCCTCATTCCTTTTATTGTACTCCACCCCTCACTTTTCCCAGACCTTGTGTTCTGACAGAGCCAGGGAGGCCGTGGGAGCTGGAGTTGGCCGTGGGCAAGGAGCCCAGGATTCGGCTTAGGCTCCCATTCCAGCCCGAGGTAGCTGAGTAAGGATTTGTGGCTAGAAGGGATGTCCTAGCYTGACACACTAGGGAAGAAGCATTTCCCCATGGAGGTGACACAGCATGGATCATGTGTCTCTGCTTGAGGGTGTAGGTGTGTCAGATGGTTGTGTTTGCAGGGCCCCAAGCTGTTCAAACACAGGGCTGTGTGYATGTGGGTGGTGTGTACATGAGGGCCGTGTACATGTAGGTAGGTGTGCATGCACACGGGGGTGTGTGCGTGAATCACTGTGTGGCACATGAACACACTACACACTTGCTGAGGGTGTCTGAAACCCTGCTCAGTGTCCATACCTGCCAGTTAGTGCAGACCCCATCCCAATCAAGAGCTCGGAGTCAAAAAAATGCTAAGACAGCAATTCTTAAATGTAGGTCCCCAAATGTCCTTGATGCTTGCTACCAACACAGATCATTGTGGCCAGCATGGGAGTTTCTGGTTCAGGAAGTCTGGGGTGGGCCCAGGCACCTGCATTGTCAATATTCTCCCCAGGGAAATCTGAGGCCAGGCAGAAATAGGGCTGGAGCACACCTGTCTGACAGAACTTTCATCAGTGACAAGCACTGTCCAACATGGCAGTCACTGGCCACGTGTGTCTACCAAGCAGTCGAAATGTGACTCGTTCCATTGAGGAATTGAATTTTTTTTTTATTTTATTGAATTTTAATTCATTTAAAGTTAAATAGTCACCTGTGGCTAGTGACTGCCATATTGGAGGACACAGATCTAGAGAAATTGAGGCAGAAGGACAGACAATGAGGGCCCCAAGAGATAAGCACAAAGCTGGCGTACCAATGTGTGAGGATCCCCAGGCTTTTTCGACCAGGAATGACTGAGACTGGGGTGGGGCTTTCTTGGGGTGGGGGGTACAGAGTTGGAGCCAGAGTCCTAAACTGCACAGGTCTATCCTAAGCTGCTGGTAAATGGTATCTGTTTGGCTAAGAGGGTAGGACACTGCATGGGAGACCCTTCTGCCCTTGGCTGGGACCCACCAGGGCCCCAGCCCAAGGCCAAGTGCTGCATCCAGTCAGGAGTCAAGGGCTCAGGGTCAGGAGGTCCTCATGTTCTCCTGCAGGCCCAAGGTGGAGCTGGTGGCTGCTGGGTCATGCTCGCCCTATATATGCATTGAGGAGACACAGGTCAGCCCCAGAAGTTGCTGCCCCCCAACCCCCACCCAGCACAGACACACAGGCCTGAGGTCTCTGAAGGGCCCAATTCAAGGAGTTCTCTTACCGCCTTTGGCCCCATATCCTCAGCATACTTGAACTTCTTCTGCTTGTAGTAGTGCCTCTTGGGCAGGATGTGAAGTAGCAACAGATCACAGAGAACGGTGGCCTAAGGGCAGGGAGTGGCAAATGGAACAGAGAAAACAGATACAGAACCTGGAGGAAGGTACAGGACTTCCCACATCTCACTGCTGTCCTGGCCACTATGGGCCCTGGCTGAATCCTGCATTCTAGACCTCAGTTTCCTGGTAGGGCACCTCGGGACCTTCAGGGAACCAAGAAAGCCCCATCCTCCCTCTATCCCACCCCAGCTCTGGGCCTTGGTGTCCTCAGACATACTATGGGTGGTATGGTGGACAGCTTGCTCAATAAGGATGGACAATTACAGTCAAGTTTGGGGATGAGGGACTTTCTACTGCTACTGAGATACAGAAGGAGGTGGGGGCGGACCCCAGCACAGTGACCCAGTGATCCCAACACTTACCACCCCGAAGATGCCAATCCCAGAGCCAATGGTGGTCATTGTAGGGATGATGTCAAACTTCCTGGCCTGGTGGTAGGGCCCAGGGAAAAGAAGGGTTAACTGTCAGAAGGCACTCAGCTGGAAAAGGCCAGGTTTGGGACAAGGGGCTTCCCGGCCCTCTCTTCTCAATCAATGACCTGTCCACTCTGCCTGGTGCCCAGGGATCTGATTCTTCATGGGGAACCAGCTGCTGGTCAGTAGACCTGAGATTTTTTGGTTTTGTTTCATTGTTTCTGGTGCTGTGAATGGAACCCAGGGCCTCACACACGCAGGGCAAGCACTCTACTTCTGAGCTACATTGCCAGCCCTTAGACCTGTGTTTGCCCTAGATTCTGCCCCCCTGAACCCAGGGACATTATGAGGGAGGCATGGTCACTGTCTGCCTGGACACCACCCATGCCCCACCTGTCATTAGAAGTAGACGTGCTGAACAGATCCTGTCCTGTCCAACTTCCTGTCATCCATAAAACTACAGATACCCAAAGGCAAGATGTGTCTCAGTGGCCATCCCCTCATACAGGACACTCACCTTGCCATCTACTAGGATGTCAAAGCGAATCCCAAACACCTTGAAGAGGTGACGGCGGTTGGTCCCATTCTCTACATAGTGCCTGGCAAACCTTGGGGAGGGGGCGAGGTAGCAAGAGAAGGTGATGGAAAATCGTCTTAGGTGTCAGAGCTTCAGGGACACCGTAGCCCACAGAGGTCCATCTCCACAACATTTCACCAAGGGAGACTCACAAGCCACATTCTAGCAATGCCACACTCAGCCTCTGCCCTAACTCCTGCTGCCAGTGATTTCCCCAGTGCTCCTGACCAGTGGGCCTCAAAGGGACTGAGACCAAAGGGCAGGGGACTCAGGCCTTCAAGATCTTGCTCCCTGGGCTGGGGTTGTGGCTCAGTGGTAGAGCGCTTGCCTAGTGTGTGTGAGGCACTGGGTTCGATCCTCAGCACTACATATAAATAAATAAAATAAGGTCATTTGTGTTGCTTAAATGTAAACTCCAGCCATTGACAACTAAAACCAAAAAATATTTTAAAAAAGATCTTGCTCCCTGCTGGCTTCCTGGTTGGCCACCCACACAGGATGGGAGCCATCCTCTGCTGCCCTCTGGGAACCCTTGTTCAGCCCCATGGGATTCTGGGAGTAGAAAAGCCAGGAGGACCCTAAGGAAAGATGTGGTCCTGGCAGGCACCTGAAGTTGAAGCCTTCAGACAGTTTTTTCTCCCCGTATAGGCCATGGAACTCATAGATGGGTTTGCAGTGTCGTATGTGCCAGTCCAGGTCACAGTCCCAGTCGATGGTGATGCCGACAACCCCACCCTGTGAAGGAACGAACACAGGTGTTTAAGATCTGGAATTTCAGGACCAAGAAATTGTCTGTCTTAGAGCTGGTGCCTACATTTACTCCATGAAGAAACATTTAAAAAAATATTTTTCTTTTAGTTGTAGATGGATACAATAACTCTATTTATTTATTTTTATGTGGTGCTGAGGATGGAACCCAGCGTCTCGCACATGCTAGGCGAGTACTCTACCACTGAGCCACAACCCCGGCCCCTGAAGAAACATTTTTGACTGGAGAGAAGACAGTGGGGTGCTGCTTTGGGGTAAAGGTCCTGTCACCCTCTCTAACTTCACCTCCTACTCATCACATTTCACACTCTGGCTTTCTGATCATTTCTAGAATATATCAAGTTCTTCCTACCTTAGGGCCTTTGCTTATGCTATGCTTCCAGTTTTCCTCAAGGCTGGATTCTGCTCATCCTTTGCTCATTTGCCTGACAGAGCGTCCCTGAACACCACACCAATATGTCCATTGTCATTCCTTCCTGCTGTACTCTTTGGGTTGGCTTTTGGAAACTTTGACACATTGTAACCATTTGTTTATTTCCTTTGATCATTATTAACCCCTCTCCTCCAAGACTATAAGGTCCAAGAGGATGGAGCTGCCTGGGCATTTGTCACTGACTTCTGAGTTTCCAGCACTCGTCATGAAACGGGAGGCAAGCAAATAGTCATGAATTAAAGTGAATTAAAGAGTGAATCTGTGGAAAGAGAAAACTTGAGAAAGTGAAGCTCCTCTGGGCCAGGCAAGGAATAGGCTGAGCAACAAGGCGAGAGTCAGGAGGGAGTCAGAGAAGAGGGGGCCAGGAGCTGAGCAATATGGCAGGAGGCTGCAACTGACAAATTTCCAATGGGGAGATTTTTAGGAATAAAGAAGAGTTTCATTCTATTTTGCTTTTGGTACAGGGGCCGTCCCCTACTGAGCTACACCCCACCCGTTTTAATTTTTTTAACCTTGAGTCAGGATCTTGCTAAGTTGCTGAAAGCTGAACTTGAACTTTCGATTCTCCTGCCTGAGGGTCCATGGACATTGACTACAGGCAGCGCTTCAGTGCTGGCTCAAGTTCAGTTTTTAGGTCATTTGTGTTGCTTAAATGTAAACTCCAGCCAGGCACGGCAGCGCATGCCTGTAACCCCAGCAGCTCGGCAGGCTGAGACAGAAGGCTCAAGAATTGAAATCCAGCCTCAGCAACAGCCAGGCGCTAAGGAACTCTGGGAGACCCTCTCTCTAAATAAAATACAAAAGAGGGCTGGGGATGTTGCTCAGTGGTTGAGTGCCCCTGAGTTCAATCCCCAATACCAAAAAAAAAAAAAAAAAAAAAATTGTAAACTCCAGTGGCCTGTGGGTGGAATCTGACCACGCCCATTGTTAGTGTAGTATCCGCTGTGCTTCTGCCCTACAGTAGCTGACCTGGTTAGCTGACCCAGAGGCCATGCAGCTTGCAAAACTGACAATATTTACTAAAGGGCTCTTGAAAGAAAAAGTTTGCTGACCTCTGCTGAAGTCAAGCATGTCATGAGTGGGGTTCCATGGTTACATCACAGAAAATGGACAGATTTCCATCCCTAAATAGGCAACTGCAGGAATACTAAGGAGCACCTGAGAACAGGACATAGGCTCGCCAGGTGCCAGGCAGTGCTGAAGGGCTGGCCCAGGTTTGCACTCGAGACAACCACAGGAGACTGGCACTATTAGAGTCCTCATGTGACAGGTGCTAAACCCAGGCTCACTGAAGTTAAGAGACTCATTGGAGATCACACCACCTACTAAGGAGCAAAGCTGGGATTTGAACCCAGTCTCCCAGGTCCATGTCTATTATAAGAGACTGCTTCTCTCAGAATACCAGGGGACTGTGAGTATCACGGGACACAAGATTTCTTAGAGCCAAGGGCTATGGAATTCATTCCACTTTTACCTAAAAATTTAAAAATAGCAGGACCCTGCGGGTATGGCTCTTTTAGAGTGCTTGCCTAGCATGCACAAGGCACTGGGAACCATTCCCTCTACCCTGCAGAATAAAATAATAGCAGGACATCAGCAAACATCCAGGTGATGTCTGCCCACATCTCTTTATTCTGGGCACCTCTTCTGAGCTGTGTCTAGGCCAAGCCCTGTGAGGACACAGGCCTGATCAGCAGGGGCCCAGCATTAGGGGACAGACTCATACATATACTGGGCCTATACCAGGGAGGATTAGAAAGATGAACTGACCCTGAAAGACCTTTACTCTGCCCTGAGCCAGTGCTCCCCTCTGCCTGGCGCCCCCTGCCATACCTTGACAGCCAGGCTACTGAAATCCTGGCCGGACTCCTGCACTATGTAGCTGAGGTTGAATAAAGGGCACAGAGGGTGCAGCTTCTTATCGTAGAGGCAGGTCTTCATGTAGCTGGCATTGACCTCCTCCACTAGGTTGTTCCTATGGGGGCAAAGGGCATTGGTAGGAGCCATGTGCCAGATGGGAGGGTGGCCACCCTGCCCTGTAGCTCTGGGGACCCTCATAGGGCTTTAGAATGCCCCTTCTGCTACCTATCCCAGGAACCCCAACCCAGGCTTCCCCCTCTAGAACCACAGCAGCCTCAATGGAGGTGGACAGCTGAAAGCATCCCAAGAGCCTGAGGAGCCGCCTGAGCGCTGCCCACGGTTCCCACGCACCTCTTGACCTGGAAGCGTGGAAAGCTGATGCTGTTCTTGATGAAGAGGGTGAAGTTCTCGGCCTCTCGGAGAAGGGCAGGGCTGGGGGAGACTGCACTCACACACCGCCCCTCCCCAGGAGGGCCCCGCACGACCCCAGGGCTGGGGATGGAGGACACCCAGCTGCTCCCACAGCCTGGCATAGGTGGGGAGGGGCTGGGAGGGGGGACTTTGGCCCGAGTCACACGGATGTGGTCAGGACAGGGTCAAAAGAATCCTGACCAGATCCATTCCAGATGCAGTTGCCCCTGCATCTGGGCTGGAACCCTGCCCCCAAGTCCCTGGAAAGACAGGGCATTGGTTACCTTGGGATGTTGTCATCCACCTCCACGGGGCACCAGCCAAAGATCTCACACGTCTGCACAGTGCTGTTGAAGGCCACACACTTGCCCGTGCGGATGCCTAGGGTGAGGGAGGAGCCCCTGGGTGCCCACTCCAAGCTACGGGTGTAGAGGAGGCCTCTCAGGTCCCTCCCACGGGAGCTCCCTGTGATGGGACACTGACAAAGAGGACTATGAGGACAGAAATAGGGCTGGGTCTGGGGCAGGCAGCCAGGCCAGGATGACAGGAGAGAGAGAGAGCAAGACTTGGGCAGGGTGTGGAGAGAAGCGGGCTGGAGGGCACAGGCCCTGGAGAGGGGCCCACAGAGGCACTAAGAGGAGGCTGAGCTTACCTTGGGCCTTCCTCTTTGCCTTCCCAGGGGTACAGCCACTATTGTTCTTACACGTGCCCCCTTCGGGGTTCTGGAAGAAGAGAAAGCTGCTGGGCCCAGGCCTCTGGGGTATGGTCCTGAGAAGAGCCCCTCCCATCCCTGGGGCCTTTGGCAGGCATGGGTGGACTCTCAGAATCTTGGGGGTGACCCCTGCTCACAGCCTCTTTCTCCCAGTCCCCACCACTCCGGGTCCATGCCCAGATGCCTATCACTGATGTGAGCTGGCAAGGGGTGGAGAGGGTGTGGGGGAAAGGAGGTGGTACTGAGACATGGCATCCTGCTGGGCACACAGCCAGGTGGAAGGCTTGGCACTGCCAATGGTGGATGGCTACTTTGTGTGACTCTATCTATGCCTGACATTCTACCATTGGGTGACTGCAGGAAGTCTTTCCCATGTCATCTCCAGTGCCCAAGGGGACTCCTCTTCCATGTTATTTTCCTTTGTGGGGGATCCAAGAAGGGGGCAAGCAGAAATCCTCACCTCTGCGCAGTAGTTTTGAGCCTGCTGGGGGGTCATGATGAAATTGGTCATGACCACGAAGGAGTTGTCCCCCTGGAAGTGAAGAACAGGGCTGGGATCTGGCACAACAGCTCCTAGAACCCAAACACGGCCCCTGTATGCCCCCAGAGCCCAGCAGCCTCCACGCCCCATTATGTCACATGGGGTGATAGTACCGGGCTCACAGTTCAGGAAACTGAGGCCTAGGGAGAGGAAGGAGCTGGGCTGGTTCCATGAAAGGGACAGAGCCCACCAAGTCAGGCCCTGAGGGTGGAAGGTGCGGCCCCGAGGTGGCTCACCTGTGCTGGAAAGACGTAGTCGGCCTGGTCCCAGACCTGGAGTTTGCTCTGGAGCTCAGTCACGGCCAGGCCTTTGAGCTTCACAGACACACTGCTGATAAGGCCCCCTGAGGTCTGGTAGCCCTTCTCGTACACAAATACCCACCTGCAGGGACACAGGGGACTTATGGTCCTGGGCCAGAGCTGAGTGGGCCATTCAAGGATGGCAGGCAGCTCTGTGGGCTTCTCTCCTTTCTGGCACCTGCTGGATGTGTCATGGCTTTCTGTTTGCCCTCCCCAGATGCCTCTCTGAGCCACTCTCTGCTTCAGAAGCTCTTGGACCGGAAGCAGAACAGCCCACCTGCCATCCCCTGCTGGCCTGAGCCTGAAGTTCCACCATCTTTTCAGAGCATCCCAGGGAGGAGGCCTTCCAGATTCCAGGAGCAGGGTGTGCCTGTGGGCCACCCCTTCGGAACTCCAATCCTCTGTCCCAGAGTGCCCCTCCTTTCCTGTGCTGTGCCTGACACAGCCTGATGGCTCTGAGTCTGGCCACTGGTGTCCAGTGGCCTGGATTTGAACCCCAGCTCCACTCCTCATGGGCTGTGTGATTTGGGGTAAGCTATCCAGTCCTCCTGTGCCTCCCCTTCCTCCTCTGCAAAATGGGAATAATAATAGTGCTTGTAATTTGTGTTAAGATGAGTCAATGCATGAAAAACACTGGGGACTGCTACAGAATAAAAGCTATATAGACATTATTATTATTATTAATATTTGTTATCATCATCATCATCGTCATCATCATCATCATCATCATCATCTCAGCCAGGCTGGGATCCCCTGGAGGGGGAAGTGTATGGGGAGGTGACCCTCTGAAGGGCTTAAAGAATCCAGCCCCCTAGCCTCGCCCTTGTGGCTCAGACTGGAGGTCTCCTAGTTTTTTGGGGGGAGGTTCTGGCCTTCCAATCCCCAAATTGAGAACCACTGTCCCTTTGGGCTGACACTCTTAGTCTGAGAGGTTGGGTGAGACTGACCTCCCTCCAAGCCCCAGGGGTGGGCACATGACCAACACTCACCAATCAATATTTCATCTCCCTGGCAGCAGTGATGGATGGCATGTGACCAGGGGAGTATCAGCAATGAAGCCAGGATTCAGGGGGAGAATTATTGGGAAAGAAATACCCTCTCTGCCCGGTGACTAAGCAGGGTGGAAGCAAGATCAAAACCTCAAAGTCGGGGCTGGGGATGTGGCTCAAGCGGTAGCGCGCTCGCCTGGCATGCGTGCGGCCCGGGTTCCATCCTCAGCACCACATACAAACAAAGATGTTGTGTCTGCCAAGAACTAAAAAATAAATATTAAAAAATTCTCTCTCTCTCTCTCTCTCTCCCTCTCTCTCTTTCTCTTTAAAAAAAAAAAAAAAAAACCTCAAAGTCATCTTGGCTGCTTCAAAGAAAGAGCAACCTTGAAAATGAAGCCACCTTTGAGGAAGGCTGAGACAGGAATTGGAGAGGGACAGATTCCTGGCAATGTTGTTTTAGAACTGGATCCAGCAGGCCTGAAGCACACTTGGAAAAATCTACTGAAGGTCTGTTCAGTTGCATAAGCTGATCAGTTCCCTGCCTTTATGTAAACCAGGTTGAGTTTGGTTTCTGGATGATGCTTCTCTCCAGGAGTGAGGGTACTGTGTGGATGTGTGCGTGCATCTGAGAGAGACCCGTTAGAGTATGTAGCTGTGTACTTCCAGGAAAACCTGCGTCCACCTGGAAGTAGATGTGTTATGTCTCCTCCTTCCCTCACCTGTCAAGCTCACCTCTGTCAAGCAAACTCAGGCCCTCTACCCCCCCCCCCAATCCTGTTCCCCAGAGCTCAAGCCTGGTCACAGAACCTCCAGGGCTCTCAGTTCCAGTGAGGCAGCTCACCAAGGTCCCTCCTGTCCCCACACAATGCATCCTTCCTTCTCCAAATCCCTCTTTCAGCCTACATCAGCACCAAGCTTCTCCCCGACATCTCCCACTCCTGGCCAAGTCTAAGAATGGTCACTGCTGCCCCCTGCAGGTCTCAGACTGCATCAGGTGAGGCATGACAAAGGCCTCCAGCAGCATCAGGAAGAAGGGACGTCACCCACCCACCCTCCTTTCAGCCTTCCCCTAGGAAGGCCTCTGGCTCTGCACCAAACTTGAAGGAGCTGTTTTGGGAGATGGGGAAGCTGCTCCCTATTCTAAACCCTCCTGCAGGAAAGTCACTGGCTTCCCTCTGGGCGCCACATCCCAACATCCCAACGGTATTTCTCTTTTTGCCCAATACCAGCTCCCCACATGGTAGATGGGGAAACCGAGGCCTGGGGAAGTGCCCCTCCCCAAATTCAGAGGCCAGGCAGGAGGCGGCTCCCAGGCTCTGCTCCCCTCCACTGAGCCACACTGGGGCCAACGCGACTCCCAGGAGCCGGGCCAGGTTGCAAGCTGCAACGAAAGCAGAGTTTCCTCTGTCTGCCCCTGGGGCTGCTGGTCTTGGGGGTCAAAAGGAAAAGTCAACTCTGGCATTAACGACCTCAGTTCTGGTAATAATAGAATGACCATGGCGCCAGGCCTGCCCCTCCACAGCCATGCCTTGACCTGGCCTGTGGTCACCACCCTGAGAAGGCCACCAAGGAGGTCTGAAACCAAAGTCACTGGCACCTTCAGAAGTTCCTCCCCTTCCAGAAATAATCTTTCCCAATTTTTCCACCTCTCTTGAGGCTCTCTTCTCCAGCTTCTCTTCTGGTAGAAGAGGAAATGGTGATTGACCCAGGTTCCCATAAAAACCCTGCCTTTTATCAGCTGTGTTGCTTCAGCCTACAGACTAAACTTCTCTGAGCCCTGATTTTCTCCATAAAGCAGAGGTGACGGCACTACCTCAAAGATGCTGTTCATTCAACAAATATTTAACGAAGCCATGTACTCAGCCCTGGGGTGGGCCCCTGAAGTAAAGGCATGTAGGTAATTGGGGGAAGTTTCTGTGAGTTCTCATTAAGGAAATGAGCTCAGGGTCTGGCACAGCAGAAATCATTAAAACTAAAGTCTCGGACTGGGAGTGTAGCTTAGTGGTAGAGCACTTGCCTAGCATGTGTGAGGCACTGGGTTTGATCCTCAGCACCACATATAAATAAATTAATATCTGTTAACAACTAATAAAATATTTTTTAAAAAACCGAAAATCCCTTATTGCCACTGTCTCTGGTCCTCCTTCACTCGTTTCCTTTCCCTGTCCAGCCACACCCTTTCCCTGGCTTCCATTCTCAGTTGTGGGAGAGCCCTGTGTGAGCTGTCAAAGACATGTGACACCTGGAATTTTGTTGTCCCCAGATTCCTGTCTCCAGATCTGTGCTCTCCCCAAGGTTCAGTTCTGCACATCCATTTATTCGTTCAACAAACATTTATGTTTAGAGTCCATATCGTGCACCAAGCACTGTCTAGACAAAAATAGGCAAATGAACAAAATAAAAATCGTATACTCAAGAAGCCTATGTACAAGTCAAGGCTCCAGTCACTTGGTGATTCCCCTCCCCAGACATCTCACAGGTACCTCACGTGCAACTGGACCCTTTGCAAAACAGTCCTTCAGTGACTCTAAAAGTTACACACCGATTCCATTTGACACAATCCCACTAGTAGGTACCTACCCAGAAGAAATAAAAACATGTCCAGCCTGTCACAAGGGCTCACACCTGTAATCCCATAGACAGGAGAGGCTGAGATAGGAGGCTAGCCTCAGTAACTTAGTGAGACCTGTCTCAAAATAAAAGATAAAAGGGCTGGGGGTTTGGTTCAGTGGTAAAGTGTCCCTGGGTTCAATCCCCAGTACCCCCCCAAAAAAATCCATGTTAACTCTAATACACAAATATTTAGGACAGCATTTTTCATAAGAGCCAAGAAATTGAAAGAATCCAAATATCTGTCCCCAGATGAGTGGTTAAACAAAACTTGATATCTCCAATGGAATATTATTTAGCCATAAAAAGGAATGCAGCAGAGGCACAAATTACAATCAATGCGGATGAACCTTGAAAATATTATGGTAAGAGAAAGAAACCAGACGTAAAAGGGCATGTGTCATGATTCTATTTATACAAAATGCCCAGAATAGGCAAAGCTGGCTGTGAGAAAGGGAAAAAGGGGGGTGATTAATAAAGGGGTACAGGATTTTTTTTTGGAGGAATGAAATGTTAGAGAAATTATAGTGGTGCTGGTGGCACAACTTCATGAATATTTAAAACCACAGAATTGTATTTCTTAAAGGGATGAAGCGAGGATGTAGCTCAGTGGTGGATCGTGTGCTTAGTACATGCAAGGACCTGGGTTCGATTCCCAGCACCTAAAATTAATTAATTAATTTAAAGGGGAATATTATGGTATATGAAATCAATCCAAATGCAAAGTACTAACTACAAAGTACTAACTACAAAAATTCAATTGACCCAGCCATGCACAGTGGCCCATGCCTGAAATCCCAGCGACTTGAGAGGCTGAGGCAGAAGGATCGAGAATTTGAAGCCAGCCTCAGTGATTTAGCAAGACCCTGTCTACCGGGGAGACTTAGCTCAGTGGTTAAGTATCCCTGAGACCAAAAATAAATAAATAAATAAATAAATAATTCGACTGGTGCAACCCGAACTCTTTACCCCACAGAAGAGCCTGGACCAGGTGTGGGCACACAACCAGGCCCCTCCAATCAGGACATTCCATTTTCTTGATCACAATGATCAGTTCTGGGAGGGGCACATGACCCAACCCCCGCCTCCATAAGAATTGGACTTGGGACTTTTGCCTGAACCCTGAAGGAAGGAGATGCTCTTGCACCTCGGGAGTAGCTAACCTGTGGGGATGTCAGTGTGGATATCTGCCATTTTGCCACCACGAGGACAGAGAGTCTGCCTGATGGCTCCATGGTGCTTGAGCATGGTGCCTCCTCAGAGGAGAGCAGAGCCAGATCCTGGATAGCGTCATTCGAGAACCAAGATTGGACCAAACTGGATTCCTCACTTCCCCCATAGAACTTGCCCCTCTATGTCCTTGTCATGGAGGGTCCATCCAGGCCTGAAGTCCCAAATGATCTTTCAATTATATAAATCAATCAATACCCCACCCTTGCCAGGTGTGGTGGCGCACGCCTGTTATCCCAGTGGCTCGGGAGGCTGAGACAGGAGGATCACAGATTCAAAGCCAGCCTCAGCAAAAAGTGAGGTGCTTAGTGAGACCCCGTCTCTAAATAAAATACAAAATAGGGCTGGGGATGTGGCTCAGTGGTCGAGTGTCCTTGAGTTCAATCCCCAGTACCCCCACCCCCCCAAAAAAAACCCCAAGCCATCGTGTCTTCTAAACCAGTTTGATTGAGTTTATTTTGTGGGAACTAAAGTAGTTCTGGCTAACCTATCCTCTGCTCCTCCCTCTCCCTCTGCCCCCACTGTGTCCTGCCCCAGGCCCCTGCCAAAGCACTCAGCATGGAGAAGATACTTCAGAAATAGTCCCTGTGTGACTACTTGTGACCCTAATTTGTATCTGTCCTTCTCTCTGTTTTGTACACACTCTGTTATCCACTTTGTGATTTCTAAACACCTGTTTTTTGTTTTGTTTTGTTTTTATGATGCTAGGGATGGAACCCAGGTGTGCTTAACCACTGAGCCACATCCCCACCCTTTTTAAATTTTTATTTGAGACAGGGTCTCACTAAGTGGCTTAGGGCCTCGATAAGTTGCTGAGGCTGGCTTTGAACTCATGATCCTCCTGCCTCAAGCTCCCAAGCCATTGGGATTACAGGTGTGCCCCACCATGCTCGGCTGACCACTGGATTTTAAGAGCTCTGCATAGAGGTACAAGGGACAAGTGAGGACTGTAGTGAGAAGAGGCCCAGAGGGGCCAGAAAGAGAGCCAAGAGCAACTCTGCGCAGCCTACAACCGCAGGCCTTTTGTCCATGGCTGGGTTTACCACAGGGTCATCTTCTCCAGGGAGGCCTCCTAGGAACCCCACCCCAAGAGGCACTTGCAGATTCTCTTGGGGACCCTCCAGCATCCTTCTCCTCCTCCAGCCAGACCTCCCTAGACAGGAACATGTCCCAGCAAGCCCCTAGGACATACCTGCATAGTCACGATATCATATACCTCCAGTGACAGAAAATAGCAGTATCTGTGAGACCACCTTACTCTGAGCCAAAAGAGGCCCAGTCTTCAGACTCTGAAGCCCACTGGTCCCCTCCACCTTCTTGGACCTCCCAGAAGAGCATGCCCAGTGGAGACCTGTGGACCTGTTCCAGTTCTCAGCTGCTCAGCTTCTCTGCCTCTGCCTCAGTAACTTTATCCCTTTATCCTGCATCTGAGTTGTGCTCCAATGTTTGTCCCCTGTTCAGCTCTGCTGTGCCTACCCACCCCCCACCCATGCTTTGCCACCCCTGGGACCTAAGGATCTGAGTCTCCTCCCATGTTCCCTCCGTCTGTCCTGCAGTGCTCCAGGGACCACATACTCAGAAGGGGAGGGTGCTCCAGCCAAAGCTCGTCATCCTCGTTAAGAGAGAGTTGTCCCCTCCAACTCCTGCCCATGGGACAGTTGGGAAACTGAGGCCTGAGATGCCAGGACTAAGTCTAGGCTGCATCAGGGCTTCAGTCTGCAGATGCGACCTCCTGGATGCGAGGGTCAGTGCAGCACTGGGAGGTGGCCAGATGAGGGCGACAGAGACAGCAGGAGCCGCAGCCCAAGCGAAGCAGAGCTGAGGCGCGGTCTTGGGGGCAAGGCAGGAATGGTGTTTCAGTGCCCCTCTCTGCGGGTGCTTCCTTTCCAGGATATTTAACTGTCTTTGGAGCCATGCATCTGGTTCAGATCCTGGTTAGCCTCTTTCTAGCTGAGGGCCAGCTAGATCCCTGTGCTGGTGAGCCCCACGGACACTGAGAAGGACCATATTTATTTGAAAACTGAGTAGACTGTCCTGAGAGGGAAGATAGCAAAGGAAGGAAGTAGTGAGATCCTCATCACTGAAAGTATCTGCTCAAGCTTGGATGGCAGCTGGGGCACACCCTGCAGCGGGTACATACACTGTCCCTCAAACTCTGACAATCTGTGCCTAACCCACAAGAGGAACCTGGTGCTGCTCACTGGGCCTGATCTGAAAACAGAATGGGGAGCCCTCGGGCCAGAGTGAGGGTGACCTTCCCCCAGCCTTTTCTGGTGAGTGTCAGGCTGGACTTTGGGGAGTGATTTCTCTTCCCTGGAGGGTCAGGAGTGAAGCTGACAGTGGGCTTGTAGATCTGTCCATGCCTGGTACTCTGCCATCAGTACCCATTAGAAAGTTCTGCAGCGGCCCTGTGATGCTGGGAAAGAAGGGCAAGCAGAAGCCCAGGTTGGGGCAGGAGGCCTAAGTCCTAAGCTTGGCCTTGCTACTGACTTGCAGTGTGACCTGGAAACCCCTTGGGCTCTTYTCTGGTCCTCACTTTCCCTTGCACGCTCAACCAATATCGAAGATGTCAAATTGGTTTATGAACAAGAGGGAGGCAGAGGCCAAAAGACACCACGGGGTCCTGGCCTCAGCTCCATCTGATCAGATCTGAGACTATTTGGGATGCCCAAAGTTTTGGGGAGACCAGGACTATGTGACCACTGTTTGGGCCCCTGGTCAGCCCACCCTGGGCCCCACTTGGCAGTTTAGAGCCACAACAAAAATGAAGGATGGATAGATCCCTCAGAATCACACAGCACAGTTGGGCTGGGGCTACTGGGTCCCCAGGTCCCCAGCAGGAGGTGAACCTCCTTCAGGGTTCCAGGGGCTCTAGGAATCCCCTGCAGTCATGTGAGTGGATATGATATACCATACACAGGGGATAAGCATCAGTCAGACTCAGACACAGCCAGGGCACATACACATGAGCACACACCCGATACCTGACACATGGACACGGACACAGAGCTCTGGGTAGGACACGTACATCTACATGACACAGGCATATGTGCCCCTGCAGCACACATGTGCAAGCTCCTGCCAGACCTGTCTTAGCTTCTAGGACAGCCAGACTGACTTTAGGAAAATGGCCTCTGCGTGGTCCCCAGCCCAGTCAGATGACAGAGGGAATCCCACCTGGCCCCACCCTGTACCCTTGGCTCAGTAGGACAAGTCCAGAGATGCCCAGAAAGGAGTTGTCATCCCTGGGAGCAGAGCTGACCTCCACCATTCAGATACCAGGTGTTCAGAATTTGAGGGTTTCTCTGCTCCCAGGGTCTCAGATATTTAGACAGGGAAGGTGGGAGCAGAGCCTGTCCATCTCTGGCCTGTGAAAGAGGATATGGCCTCCGTCTCAGTAGTAGTGTCTGGTTTGGTGGGAGGTCAGAGGTAGAAGGAGCCTTGACCGTGAAAGCCACTCACCACTTGAAGGAACTCAAATCCGAGTCAGTTCCTCAGAACCTCCATGTGCCCCAGGCAGGGTGACCCCTCCTGCCCCAGCATCCCCATCCCGACAGTGAGTTAGCAACGTTTTCCCTCTGTCTAAACGGCAAAGCGGCTGACCAGGAGGGCTTCCGGATGGATAGAGAGAAAGAGGGCTCCTTGGCATCAAGGAGAGCATCCCAGATCTGGGAGGACAGAGCCAGGCTGGGGGCTTTTGCGTGAAGGTGGTGGTGAGGGGTCCCAGACTCACCCAACGACGTAGATAAAAACCACAAGCTGGATCAGCCGGAAGACAATGCCCACCTTCTTGTTGCGCACCAGCACCATTCGGGGGGTGTCATACTCGAAGAAAAAGGCAGCCAGCTTATCCTGCAGCCTCCGTGCCATGGTGGGCCAGGTTGGGGTTCAGGACTGAGCCCCCTGCACACCTTTGCTGTCAGGACACCCACGTCTACAGYGGCAGAGCTCCTGAGGGCTTCTCACCCTCTTAGGGAGAGCAGAGTAGGGTAGGTGAGGCCAGAGGTCAGGAGTCAGAGGTCAGCTGGAGAGATGCATGGGGTGAGAGGGAGAATCCTTGGGTGCTCAAAACAACTCTGGGCCCCTGGCAGGCAATGGACTGCAGGCCAGCAGTGCCCTGACAAATAAATTCCCAAAGATAGACAGAGGCGGGGCTGATGGGGCCACCCAGGCCCAGCCCCACAGCCCCTCATGGCTCCGCCTGGGCCCTGCTGGGCCTCCGGAAACAGAAGCTGTTGGCCGGAAACCACCAGCCACCAGTCACATAGGAGCAGAGATAAATCTATCACTTCCCCCAACCCACCCCCAGAACCTGTCAGGACAGAGCTGGAGGATCTGGCCAGACCCTGGGGGGAAGCTGGGGTGGGCTCAGACTAGAACACCCTCAAAGTCAGAGACCATCCGCAGCCCCACACAAAGTCACCCGCACAATACCCCTAGGGGGCAACTTGGTCCCTGGGGCCTATGGGGAGAAGCAGAGAGCACTTCAGTTCCCGCTGCCTGACACTTGCTGAGCCTGCCTGCCCCGCCATAGTGCACCACCTGCCACCACCTGTCCCTGTGCTGAGCCTGCACTGTGCCCAACCAGCTTCAGCTTTAGGCTGGTACCTCCCCTCACCACCTTCCCCTCTTTCTTTCTGTCCTGCCCTGGCCATACCTCCTGACCCCTCCACACCCCGATTCGTGACCAGCAGATGGAGAGAGAGGGAGGCAGATGCCCAGACAAATCAAGGACCACCTTGGTCACACATTGCCATGGGGCCTGAAGTCCCAGCAGACATCCTCAGACATCCCTGGGTCTGCCACTTATTGGCAGTGGGGATCAGGAGCGTGGCCTCGCCTCTCTGAGCCTGCTTCCTCATCTGTAGAGGGAGTGATGATAATGGTACTTGTCTCAGAGGTTGAGACCCATCCCTGGGGGATGGGTCCTGACAACACTGAGGACAGAGGTCTTGAGGACACTGTTGAGTTTGGGGTCTGGCCCTTCTGCAGCCTCTCCCCTCCCCAACAGTAACTCTGGCCCTGAATCTGGGGCCCCAGACCCCAGAGCTGGAGACCTCCTTACCCCATGCCTAATTTTGCAAATGATGCTCAGAGGGGAGAGATGAGTGTCCTAAGCTCTCCATGGGCAGTATTGGAGGTTCAAGCTTGAAGCAGGGGCCTCCCAGCCAGCCCTTACCTCAAGAACTCTGTCCAGGAAGCCCCCCACTCCCCCACAGGGCTGATAAGGAATCTTCTTCCTGGCAGGCCACTAGCTGGGGAATTGCTCTGGGCGGGGAGCCAGGCCCTGGGGCTGGGAATCCTGGCTGCCCCCAGAACCAGCATGAGCAGGGTTGCTTTATGGACAGCAAGAGGCTCCCAAAGAAGGCAAGCCCACAGCCCAGGCCCATCCCTCCTCGTGAAGGAGAATAGCCTCACCACACACAGAGCTGTTGCCGATCCAGTGGGGATAGATAACTCAGGGCTCAACTGTTCGTCGCCACCTTCAAGRGGAGCTGGCAAGAACCACATCCTGCACTTTTCTAAGGAAAAAGATCCAAGATTCTTGGAGCCAGAGCTGTGGTTGGCGGCACATCCCCTTGGCCTGGTCTTGACCCCAAACAAAAAGCCCTACCCCTCTCCCAGCTGACCCAAGGTCATTGGTCTAGGAGGCCCCAGAACACTAGCAGTGTGTGACGGTAGTGGGTATGTGCTGAGGCTGAGCCATTCCTGTGCCCCTCTGTACCCAGCCTTCTCCCTGACACCCATGCCATGTTCCGGAGAGGAGCAGGCAGTGAGAGAGTAGGGGAAGGAGGGAAGGAAGGAAGGAAGGAAGGAAGGAAGGAAGGAAGGAAGGAAGGAAGGAAGGAAGGAAGGAAGGAAGGAAAGAAATGAGGCAGGCAGGCAGTCATTGTCAAATCCCTTACCCTTCTCTCCTCCTCCTCCTCCTCCTCTTCCTCCTCCTCCCCCTCATTTTTTTCCTCTTCTTTCTCTTATTCCTCCTCTTCCTTCCCTCCTCCTCCTCTAAGGAGCCAGGCTTGGAGATGGACAGACGGACAGCAAGAACCACATCCTGCACACATGTGCTTCTGTTACAGCCTGGGCATTGGCGCTGACCTTCAAAAGAAGACTGTCATGGAAGACAAGCTCATTTGGAGAAATTAGCAAATCCAAAAACTGTGACCAAAAACCTAAATTTCTTTTCTTGCTAAGAGAGAGTAAGACAGCCAGCTGATGGGTTCCATGTTTATCTCATGCCTAATTTTGCAAATGATGCTCAGGGGGGAGCATCTTTCTCACCCTTGGCCACAATTCCATCCAGCACCTTCAGGGACTGACACCTGTGTTTGTTCTGGGCATTATGGGGACATGGGTGGGCGGGCAGAGGTTAGAATTTCACCCACTAAGCAGGGTTTTCTATCACAGACTTAAGAGGTTGGTACCAGAATCCCCATTTTACAGATGCAGTTGAGTCCCTGGCCCAAGGTCACAGAACAAGTAGTTTCCATGTCTGCTGGTGAGTGAAAAGGAGGTTCCCCAAAGTCTGAGGGCTTGGCCTAGGGCCACTTAAAGACTCCAGCACTTGAGATCCGCCAAGCCTGCCTTATAAGCCCAAAGGCCGGGTGGCCGTCTCGGGTACTGGGCCGGGCCTTGTAGGGAGACAAAACCCTGCTGCCAAGCACTCGGCCCCAGGATGGCCTCCCCTGCCTGGCTAAATTTAGCGGCTCTGTGGTGCATGGAGGGGGCCGGTGCCCATCCTGGAGCCACTGCCCAGGTCTGGAGGCCAGCCTGAACCCTCAAGAGGGTGTGCACCAGGCTCCAGTTGCTCTCCTTAGCCACCCAGGGTCCCAAGGGTCCCAACACCTTAGTCCAACTCTCATGCCGTCAGGCCTGCCTGGCTGTCCTGGGTTCCACAGTTCCAAGCAGCCTCTCAACAGCACTGAGCAGGGACCTGGGACAGCCTAACAGACTATCAAGGGGAGGCGGCAGGAAGGTAGTCATCTATGTGGAGGCCTGGGGCACTGCTGTGGCCCCCAGGGTTGGCTTCTCCCCATTGTTGGGACTTGTACAGCCGCTCCCCTTACTATGTGTGGGCCATGACCAGGCTGGGAGCCATCTTGCCCAGTGTTTAAGGACCCTGTTTGTTCTCCATCCCTCAGGGCTGTTTCCCCTTGGGTCCCAGACTCTTCGAGTTGCTGAAAGAAAGGAGCCCCTGGGGCTGGCTGAGGTCTCCTCCACTTCACTCAGGAGTCTCCATCTCCTCCCCAGCTCCACTGGACGCCCCAGCACCCCCATGCGGGACACACACCAACCTGCCTCTCCAGCTCCTATCTTTTAATTTATTCATGTATTTTAAATCAAATTTAAGTAGCGGTATAATTCACATATAATAAAATGTACCCATTTTAGACACAGGGTTTGATGAGCTCTGACAAATGCGTGGAGCGCCCTCTCCCCATTCCTGCAATACATCATTTCTAGAAGGTTCCCTCCTGCCCCTTTGCAGTCAATCTTTCCCAAGCACCCAGGCAGAGGCAGTCACAGATCTGCTTTGTCACTGCAGATTTGTCCTGTCTTTTCTAGAACTTTGTAGAAGAAGTGGAGTGGAATCACATAGGATGAGCTCTTTTTTTTTTTTTTTTTGGCTTATTTTTACTCAATAGTGATTTTAAGTTTCCTTCCTGCTGTTAATCTATCAGTAATTTGTTTCCTTTTGCTGCTGAGGAGTACTCTGTTGTGTGGACATATCACAGGTGAACTTTTGGGCCCTATAATGAGAAAAGATGTGACAGACACCCAAGCCAGGTCTTCAGGGACACGTGTCGTCCTTTCTCTTTCCTGTCTCTGGGTTTCTCCCCCATTTCTCCTAACACAGATCCAATATGGTCTTTCCCTCCACTGTGAAGGGTGGAGGATGGGGGGCCTGGGGAGCATGAAGTCCTGGTCTCTGGAGGGGCAGAGGAACCCACGGGCATTTTGGCAGCTGCCAGAGAGGAGTGTGCCAGGGCTTGCCCTGGAATTCCCTCCTGGGTGAGCAGCTGCGAGGTAAGGAAACCTCTCTGTTTACCTTGGCCGCCCCGTCTTGGCCTGCGGACTCCATGCTGTGGGCTGGATAGAGCTGGACTTGAGCAGGCCTGGGTGGGGGTGGAGGCAATGTAGGCTTAGCTATGGAGCCCCAGAGGCTTCTGGGAAGGTTGTAGCTGGCACAACAAAAGTCCCCTCAGCCTGACTTAGCCCCACACCCTGCCTGTCTGCCACAATGGTCAGGTCCTCAAAAGGCCTTGGGCAAGACATTGCCTTTCTGGGCCTTGGTTTCCTCAGAGTTCAAATGGAGTCGTAACACCTCTTGGCTCAATTCACAGGCCTGCTGAAGACCCTGAGAGATGAGGAGTATGAAAAGGGTTTTGTGTCCGAGAGGTCCTATAGATGGCCCTTGTGGAAAGACTTCTTTCACCCATCCTCACTCCCTGGAAAAAAAACCTAGAAGCCCCTAAAGGCAGGTCTGTCTTTTCCAGTCATGGACATGCAGCCTCTGCAACTGCATTAGGCCTATGCTCAGAAACAGAAAGGTCTGGCACTTGGCGTAATATTCTGATGTCACTGTAATTCTTCATTTTTGAACAAGGGGATCCATGTTTGCATTTTGTGACGGGCCCTGCAAATTGTATAGTGGGYCCTGCCTCTGGTCTCATTGGCAGGGCCTGAGTGTCCTTCCCAGGTGAGCTGAGGATTAGATACCAAACCTGAGTGATATGTCCTCCCTCCAGGTCAAAGAAACAACGGACACGGCTAGTCCCTTTCGAGAGCCCTGCTCCCAGAAAGGCAGGGCCACCTGGGCAGGTTAGGTCATCTCAAGCAGCCACAGAGGCCTCAGGGTCCTGTGATCTGAGGGAAGCCTTGGGGAGATGGGAGACACATTTGAACAGGGCTTAGCACCATGGATGAATGGGATCCTAAGGATTGAAGGGAGGGAAACAGAGCAAAAGAGTCATGGGACTTTTCAGGGAGTGTCACAGACCTACAAAACTGCCAGGGATGAGGGAGCCTCTATGATGTGCAAGAGGCTCTCAATATTCAGGTTCCAGACCTAACCCTGCCTCAGGGCTTTGGTGACATGCTGGGAGTGACATGTAGATCATAACATTCTTAAAAAGCCTTTGAATGTGTTCAAACTGTCAAGTGCTGTCCACAGGAGAAGCAAGTGTGAGGTTTCGCCACAACCTCCATCTGTCATGAGATGTGGTTTTGGAATTCAGTGCCTCTCCAAAGCCTTGTCTTGGAAGAGACAACTTCTGGCTGATGCAGGAGCTTCAGACCTTTGCTTTGCTGAGGGATGGAGCGGTGGACCCCAGGGCCCACACTCCAGAAAACAGACACTGGCCACCTTCCACTGCCCCAGGCACACCACTTTTATTTCTCTACCAGGCAGCATGTCAGCAGGTGGGTACAGGGCCCTGCCCCTGACAGAGCACCCCCAACTCGTTTCTCTCAGGGCCCTTCCAGAAACTGCAAGAGGGTGGGAGGAAGCTTAAGGGAAGGGGCTGCAGAATGAGGAGACCATTAAACTATGAGGCAGGCGGAGGGGAAATTCTGGGGACTAGGACAGGGATGTGAGTCTTGATTTACATGTAAAATCATCACTTGGTACACTCTCAAGAAGGGGAGAAGACATATAGACAGTTCTTTACTTGCTATTTTCTGCTATGCCTAGCTAGTTTTTGCCAAAGGAACAAAAGCTGAGTAAAAGGAAATTCCTGTCAATCAAACTGCTGTCTTCCTACCATCTGACAGGAGACCCACAGAGAGATGCATTCTTCCAATGAGAAGAGGGAAGAGGGGGTAAGTGCCCTTGGATGACAGCCATCCTTAGTGACATCTTTTTGGCTCATGGATGCGTGTGAATGGAGGGAATGGGCAAAAAGTGAGGCCAAGGGTCCAGGAGACTCAGAATCAGCCAGCTGTGCAGAGATGGCTGCACACCAGACAGGATGGGACAGTATAGTGGTCAGGGACCTAAGGACATCTGGGGGTCTCAGGCACTAGGGACATGGATAGCAAATCTGACCTCTGCTTGGTGGACCAGGCACCACCCAGTCATTTGCTGAGGACAGGGAAACCTGAGTTTGGAAAGGGAGCTGAGCTGAGGCAGGCAGCCCAGTGTCTCCCCCAGGCAAAGAGGGTTCTGCCTCGCCCCTCCTCCCTGCCCTTTGTGTTCCTTTCTCTCTGACGTTTCAACCCCCTGGGGCCTGCACATATAAACAGAAACACACTCCAGCTCTCAGGAGCCGACTTGGTGGAGGCCTCCTGCCTCGCTGTACACAGCTGGGCCCAGATGGCCCCCTCCGATACCCCTCCGTGGAGCTGATCAGGTTCCAGACCAGGCACTGACTGAGAGGTCAGAGCCGGTGTTTTCCGTCAGTGCAGAGGCACGGGTCACCAAGTAGAGGCCCAGCCTCCATGCAAGGGGTGCAGGCTCCAGTATGTGCTGGTAGATATGCAGGTCCAGGGGCTCTGCAGCTCCAGATCTACTGCCAGCTCTGGCTTCCCGCAGCCCCCCTCCCAGGCTCAGCTCCTGGGCCAGAGTTTCAGCAAGGGATCTTCCCAGGAGAGTTCAAGAGACATGAACTACACAGCCCCCCAGGTCAGATGGCAGTGGGGACAGGGACCCCAGAACTGGACCTGGGTATGACCGTTCTGGCCTCAGGACTGTTGCGTGTCCAGCAGGGCCCAGTGGGCAGGTGGGTGAGCATGGTGGAAGGGGTGGGAGTGGGACAAATGCTTGGGCACCATCAGTCTGAGGTACACACTGGAGACTCTGCTCTGATCCCTGCATTCACTTCTGGTCCTTTATTTCTGGAAGAAAAACCAGAGATCATGTTAAGATACATGTGTGAAAGTACACATCCAGCCCGGCGCCTTCCAGCTCCTTCCTGGGCCCCTTCCACTCTCCATTTCTCTGGAGACAGCACCACCCCCCCTACCTCCCCACCCCCTCACCATATTCTTCCTTCCTCAGGATCCTGGTCTAGCCTCAGTCTGTCAGCTCTCCTCAGCTGCATCCCCAAGAATCCAGCTGCGCCCTGGACACCTTCCCCTGGGATCCCCCCAGGCCTCCTGCACTGCACATACTCCGTCAATGCCCCCAACCACCCAGTGAAAGGTCCTCATGTTTTGTAATCTGGGGAACCCCCTACCCTCATTGAGGTTTAGAAACGGGGGTCATCCTTGTCTCCTCCCCATCACACATACCTCAGCTGGATTTTGACTAAATCCCTGAGTTATAAGTCTTCCTCCACTATATGTCACCAGGGCCTGAAGACCTCAAGCCCTGTCCCAGCCCCCAGCCCCGTCTCCCCTCACCATCCACTTCCAGCCACAGGCAACCAGCAAAAGTCCAAAGCAGCCCATTCCCTTTCATGGCTCCCCACGGTCCCCAGAATAAAGTCCAAGCCTATCTTGTACTCAGGACTCTCCCAGATCTGTCCCCACTTGGCCTCTCCATCCTTCCTTCCTCACAGCCCAGCATAGGCCTCCCCTGACAGCTGACCAGACACACCTGGACAGAGCCAGGAGGTGGAACTAGAGGACCCCCATCCCAACACCSTAGAGCTGACCCTGCATCCACAATTCTCCCTAGTACACATCCTTCATAAATCATGGAGAAGCCACAGGCATCAAGCCTCAGCAAAACTTCCCTAAAAGGCCACTTGGCTGGCTTGGGAATGTAAAGGGTCCCCTCTCTCACCCCCACTCCATCCAGCTTTAGGAGTCTCAAGGGACGGCAGCTGCCCTCCTGCATGCCCAGGGAAGAGCTGTCCAGGCTTCCAGCAGGCATATTCCTCTACCCCACCTCCAGAAGTGGCCTCAGGTACCCACCCTGGGTCCCTCCCCCCAGCCCCAAAGTCACTGCCCTTTCAAGTAAAATTTCAGGGGAACCACAGCTAACGTCTCTGGTTTAAGGTGGAGGGAAACCAGGTGTGGTGGTGCATGCTTGTGATCTCAGTGACTTGGGAAGCCGAGGCAGGAGGATGGTGAGTTCAAAGCCATCCTCAGCAAATTATCAAGGTCCTAAGCAACTCAGTGAGACCCTGCCTCTAAATAAAATATAAAAAAGGGCTGGGGATGTGGCTCAGTGGTTAAGTGCCCCTGGGTTCAATCCCTAGTACTGGGGGGTGGGGAAAGGTGGAGGAAAGGTCTTGCTTGAGACCAGCTCCTTTCCTTGGGTGCAGCTCAGCACCCCACAATCTCTCTGATTACAGCCTTCCAGTCCCCCTCTACGTGTCTGCCATGGTTGCCACAGGCCCTCCTATGCTTGCAACCCCTTTGTGGCTCCCCATTGCCCTAAGGATAATGTTCAGGCCCTCACCATGACACTCAGGGATATTGCTGCCCTCTGGGCCTCACCTCTCTCCCTGAACTCTAGGCACCAGCCCCATAAGACACACCCCCAGCCCCTGTCTCACCAGGTTGTCCTGTCCTTTTAAACCTCTGTTTTAAGCCTGAACCCCAGGCAGGCAGGAATAGCTCCCTCCTGCCCCCATCCTGGGCTCCCTCTCCCACTTCCACTGGGCCTAGGAACCCTCCTTTCCCAGCAGCCAATGCTGAAGAGCACCCATGACACGGGCTCCTCATGACACGGGCTCCTCATGACACTGGCTGAGGAATTTTATCCCTGGACAGAATTTTCTCATTTTTAAGTTTTCTCAAGAAAACTTGCTACACTCCTCAGCAGCTGTAGCCACTGGAGAAATCTCTTGATGAGGACAAAGGAGCCATCTAAGCTGCCCGTGTGCCTGGGAGGCCTGGCTTTGAAGGTGAGTTAGTGAGCTCAGGGTTGGCCAGAGGATTTTCCTAGTAGAACATTTCTGTGCTCTGGCCAGAGCTGGGATGCCTTGGGCCCCCATAGGTGTGGGACACATCTTCTCCTCAGCATCTCCCAGGGGTGTCCACAGAGGGTTGAGCTGGAAAGAATCACGTGTGTAGGGTAGGGAAAGTGGTCCAGTTCAGCTCCCCGATCCCTCTCAGGGACTCCAACAGACCCTGCTTTGGGTCCAGTCACTTCCAGACAGACTTATAATAACAGGCCAGCTTCTCCAGAGTGAAGAGGCTGACTCATTTGGCCCTTTTTATTTTATTGTTGTTTCGGTTTTTTAATGGCACCCTGTGGGGGTAGAACTTGGGACCTTGTAGGTGTAACACACTCACTCTACCACTCAGCTACAACCCAAGTCTAGATCCTTCTTAAAAGGCAAATTATTTAGCTGGAAGTGATGGTGCATGCCTGTGATCGCAACAACTCAGAAGGTCAAGGTGGGAAGTCAAGGCAGGAGGATGGTGAGTTCAAAGCTAGCCTCAGCAACTTAGCGAGGCCCGAAGCAACTCAGCAAGACCCTGTTTCTAAATAAAATACAAAAAAAGGGCTGGGATGTGGCTCAGTGGTTAAATAGCCCTGGGTTCAGTCCCCGGTACAAAAAAAAGAAGACAAATTATTTGTGGTGTCCAGCACACTGGCCAGCGGGGGGATGGAAGCCAATTGATTGCCTTGGTCCCTGTGGAATGATAAGCATGTGATTTATTTATAGCTCGTCTCACTTCCTTAAGGCAGGAACACATTCCTGCCAGAAGTAGCCCCCAAAGACCTAGTGCCCAGAGCAGGCCCCTCCCCTAGCCTGCTCCTCCATGTGGGGCCTCCCCACCTGACCCCTGTCATTCTGTCTTCCATCGTTGGGTGAAGGCAGACCCTCCCCTTGCACCCACCCACAAGGTGACACCAAAGAAGCCAACCCGGTGTGGTCTGGGGTCCTGGAGCTGGTCAGCGGCTGCCTACTCCAGGCCTGTGAGACTGTCCCGAGAATGCCTAGATAAAGACAGGCCAGTGCAGAGGGGTCAGAGGCCAAGGCCAGAAGGAAGGCACAGTGTCCTGGCAGTGAGTGGGGTGGTGATGAGTGAGGACAGCAAGGCAGCGTGCCCCTCAGCAGTGTCCCCGTTGGCAGCCCTGTGAGCCCAGCCAGACCCCTGCAACACAAACCCCCCCACACACCTCATGTCACAGCCACCAGAACCCCTTCCTGTCCTCAACTTTGTGACCCAAGAAAACTTTCACCAAACAGACAGGTAGGCTGGAGCTGGGACTATCTGAAGCACCCACACTGAGGTGGCCATGGCAGCTCAAGAGCAGAGGTGGGCAGGGAGAAGGGCTGGGGCCTCCCACTCACCATCCATGTGATGCCGGGACAGGTACTTGAGGGCCTCATCAAGCAGGATGACAGGCAGAGATATCTGGAGCACCACCACCCACTGGTGCCCGCTCAGTGGGGTCACCTGGAAAATGAGCTGGTGGGGAGAGAAGGGAGATCTGGTTCAGGCCCGAGCCGGCCACCTGCTTCATCCACCTGGATACCAATGGCCTCTCTGTGAGCACTTCTAAGACCCCCCTTGATGTCCCACCTGCAGGTCTTTGTCCACTCAGTCTCCTCTGCCAGAGTGCCCTCCCCTCTCTCGCCCACAGGACTAAGCCCATCCATGCTCTGGAAAAGGCCCTGCGACTGCCTCCCGCCCCAGTCTTGGGACACTCTTTATCAGCAAGGGGTCTCCACATTTGCCCCTCAGTCAGGGGGCTCCTTCTACTGCAGAGGGGCCTGGGAAGGCCCAGTGCCCAGCCTAGGGCCCCTAACATCCAAAGACTGGTCCTTATCACTCCAGGAACCAAAGGAGGGGAGGAGGCAGACTGGGCAACTCACGGGCAGGGGTGGCACCAGCAGGATGAGGAAGTGCAGGGCCATGGACATGGCCACGGCCGCCAGCAGCCAGGGATTCAGCCAGGGCGGCATCCGCAGCAGCGACTGGTTCTCCGAGACGCTGCCAAGGGCACGGGGTACTCACYTCAGGCCAGGATGCAGGGGACCCTGCTGGGCCACCCCCACTCTAGCACACTCAGACTTCCCTTCACACCCCAGCCTTGGCCTCCTTTGTCTCCCAGATCCCAATTCTAGCCTCACTGATTCTCAGAGCCCCTCCTGGGTACCCCCAGACCCTCAGCCCAGCTCCAGCCCTGTGCCCACCCACCTGTTGAGGGCATTGCACATCTCGATGGTCACAAGCACCGACAAGGCCATGGTAGTGGGGAAGCGGGACTCAAAGACCTCGCAGTCGATGCCCTCAAAGAGCGGGTTGTCCTCAGAGCACTTCAGGAAGTTCCTCTGAGGGCACAGGGAGGAGCGGGCAGGTAGATAGGGAAGCATCCCCCGACCCCTGCCCTTGGCCACACCTGAGGATAATAGTGGGCAGAGCACTCCCACGGGTGAACTCAGGGACCCCATGAGAGCTGCTTCTCGGTGGGGGGAACATGGGGCTACACTGTGCTGCAAGGAGATGCAGAGGAAGGAGGGCCACTGTCAGGGGGTCTGTAGATCTGAGGCACAACAGCTGCATGAGGCCAGGGAGGACAACAGGGGCCTGCAGTTGGTGGGAGGGTCCAGGGTTTGCCCCAAGGCTCTGCAGGGTCCCGAGTCTCTCGGGTGCAGGAATTGACCAAGACCCGTGAATAAGTAAAAGCATGTGAAAACCAAACAACAAAATCACGGGTGAATGAAATTTCCCTTTAGAGTATAGAAGACGAAGGCCACACAGGCCTTATTCACTGTTACTCTGATTCTGATTCTTTTTCTTCTCTTTTCTTTTTTTTTGAGACAGGGTCCTGCTGCGTTGCCTAGGCTGGTCTTGAATTCATGGGTTCAAATGATCCTCCTGACTCAGCCTCCTGAGTAGCTGGGACCACAGGCATGGGCCACCATGCCCAGCTCTTTACTGCTATTAGAAAAAAGGTTTCAGCTGGGCGTGGTGGTGCATGCCTGTTCTCCCAATGACTCTAGAGGCTGAGGGTAGCCTCAGTAAATTAATGAGACCCTGTCTCAAAAGAAAAAAATAAAAAGGGATGAGGATGTGGATCAGTGGTTAATCACCCCTGGTACCAAAAACAATGATGACAACGACAAACCCCTTCCTACTTCACTCCCTTTCTGCCACTGAAATTGAGCTCCAGCAGACTTGCTTTTTGCTTATGATATGGGTCATGAATCATGGGTCATGAATCATGGATGCAATTAACAAGAAACTGTCAGGGTGTGATAAAGGAAGTGGCCCTGGCCCCTGTAGCCTGGGGCAGTTTTCCTGCTGCTCATCTAATGAGATGAGATACTGAGGTGAGAACCTTCATGAGAACTTCCATTGCATTCTCTTCCATGTCATGGGGATGAGTGTAAATGTTTAAAAACCACCAGAGGGCTGGGGATGTGGCTCAAGCAGTAGCGAGCTCGCCTGGCATGCGTGCAGCCAGGGTTCGATCCTCAGCACCACATACAAACAAAGATGTTGTGTCCACCGAAAACTAAAACATAAATATTAAAATTCTCTCTCTCTCTCTCTCCCTTTAAAAATAAAATAAAAATAAAAAAATAATAATAAAAAAACACCAGACAGATCAGTTCTATGATAACATAAATCTGCTTCTGGGAGTCTAATCTGAACACAGAGAGCTTTGAAAATGGGGCGCTGTGAAAACAATCCTCCTAAGGAAACTCATGAAGGGATGCACTGTCTGTCCACCTGTGCAGTGAGGGCAGCCCACTTCCCCCCACGGCTTGAGTGACAGTGGCCAAGGAAGCTCTGGGTACCTGCCTCTGTTCTCTCATGCAGGAAGGAAAATTAGGAAACTATGGGTTGGCTAGTTCTTATTTTAATCAAGAGATAGAGAATCTTGTCTCTTTTTTGAGAGGAATTGTTTCTCCCAAAGCCACACATTGGAGGCAAGGGGACTCACTTTTATTTGGAGCTGATCATACAGCCAAGAAAATGTCCTGAACTTGGAACCTGGCTCGACCCACCCAGTAACCAAGAGGCCAAAAGAACCAAGTCTTCCTGCTAGTTGTGCCACCACCATCAGATCCCACCCTCCCAGATCCTGACAACTTATGTGAACATGAAAAACAGGTACAGCCTTGAGCTGCATAGGGGGTAAAAATACCAGCAGGATCACACCTAGGTGTTTCAATAAATTCATTGGTATAAACACTGTCCATTCTGACCTCCTAGATGCTACCCTGTGAGACCAGGCCACACACACATTATGCCCCAGGTCATGGCTCGCAGTGTGGACTCCTACATGGTTCATTGGAAGGTGCTCGGGCTGAACTATCCGTTTCCTAAGCACATCAGGAATCCCTATGCGAGCCCATTTCTACAAGCCACTGCTGTGTCTACTCCTTCTTTGCCTGTTTCTTCCTTGCCTTACCCTGTAAGGCACTTTGGGTTTCACTAACTTAATGAACACCCATGGCTCTTACTGTGTACCAGGTGTCATTCTAAGCACTTTATAAGTATTAACCCAGTTAACCCTCTCAATAGCCCTATGAGGTAGGAACTATTATTACCCATTTGCAGATGAGGTACAGAGAGGTTAAGCAGTCTGCCCAGGCTCACAGAGCTAGCATGCAGTGACCTAGGGTGTGAACCTGGCAGCTGTGATCCAGGCTCCATGCCTCCTGCTCTGTGGCCTCTTAGCAGCTTCCTCTGGGAACCCTAGGACTTTAGACTATTGAAACCCAACAACTGGAGCTGAAAGTTCTCCCTTAGGTCTAAACTTGACTACTTTTGAGTCCCACAACCACCTATCTTTTCTCTGCTGAATGTGAACACCTGTTTCCATGGCCCTCATTTCCCACCCCCATCCCCCAACTAAACTCTGCACGAACTGCCTCCTCATCACTGCCAAAAGCTTAGTAGTTTGTGTGGGGCACACAGTGGATGCTTAATAGTCATTTCCTGGTCAAGCATCTAATTGAGAAAAGGGATGAGCTCCAACTATTGAGAGGGCAGTACAGAGCCAACGGGCACTGATTGATGGAGGACATGGGAAGGGATCAGTGTGACTCTCAGGAGACCGGCTGGGTGACCAGGCAGGCAGTGCAACCAAGATAGGGAGGGAAGAGAGGGACCAATGTGGGGAAGGTGAAAGAACTGATTTAGGATTTACAAAGTGCCCGTGGGATACTGCAGGGACATCCAGCTGGATGTATGGGGCTGGGGCTCAAAGAGAGGTGGAAGGCAGGGTCTTGAAGATTTGGGATCTTTAAAGAAAGGTCACAGAGACAGGACTGGAAGGAGGTGGCATCTTCCTCACTGTAGTCTGGCTCCCACAGGAACCAAGAGGGCACAGGCACCCAAGGCTGACCTAAGCTTCGGCAGTGGGCGGAAAGGGAGGGCTGCTGGCCTTCAGGATGAGGGCCTGGGACCAGGCTCTCCATTGCCCAGGAGGGCTCATCCCATAGCCTCAAGGGCAGCTGGATGCCAGGAATATGGGTCGCGGAGCCGCCTCCTGCTCGGGTGCCAGGGGCAGACACACTCAGGGGAAGTAAACCCTGTAACTCCCATTGGGAGCGGAAGCAGCATCTCCTTTGGGGTCTCTGAGTTTCCAGTCATTCCGAGTTTGGCTCTTTAGGTGGTGGATGTTTAATAAGGGGAGTGGGGTAGGGCAATGGTGGGCAACCATGGGGTTCTGGATCCTTCTCCCATGGAACTCCCAACAGCCCAAATGGTAAGTTCTACCTTGAGTCTACCCAACAGGCTTCCTGGCCATCAGTTGCTCACCAGCTGGTAGAAGGTGATGTGAGGTCCCTCGGCATCATACAGGAACCACCAGGTGGCGGCAGCCACTGTGGCCAGGCCTACATACACTGCAGGGAGGGGAGGAGACTGGCTGTAGTGGCAGTTTCCTGGCTTCCATTTCCCCTTCCTAGCCATTTCCTGAATTTCCATCAGGGAACCACCCTCAATGCCAACAGTGGCCACTGAATGACAACCAGGTGGTCATAGTAATTAGCTAGAAGTTAAGCAGGTGACCCAACTTATGCTAATGAGAACAGGCTTGAGAATTTTATCAAAAAATTCTCTCTTCTGATGAATTTGGGGTTGTAATACAGCAAGCAGGAGGGCTAGAGCGGCAGCAGCCATTCTGCCACACTGAGGGATGCCTGTCTGAGAAATGGAGCCAAGGCAAAGCCAAAATATGACAATAATACTGTCTGAGGCCTGGATCCAGCTATATCTGAGGTGTGCTCTAGTCTTTTTACACAAGCCCTCAGAGTTTCTTTTGGTGTAAGCTTGCCAAATTGCTCTGTCTGTAGTTTGCAAGCCTAATGAATACAGGCTCTCAGGAAGCTCACCTACGGCTTGGGCCCTGCTCACCTCCAATAGCCAGATATCGGAAAAAGAGCCAGCCACTAATGAGGGCCTCACGAGGATTCCGGGGCAGCTTCTCCATGATGTCCAAGTCTGGTGGGTTGAAACCCAGGGCTGTGGCAGGTAGGCCATCTGTCACCAGGTTCACCCAGAGCAGCTGCACGGGGATCAGGGCTTCAGGCAGGCCCAGAATTGCTGTGAGGAAGATGCTAGAACCAGAGTCATGGGCTCTAGCCCCCAGCAGGCCCAGCCTCCACCAGATGGAGGGTCCAGCTCCTGCTCACACCCAGGCCAGCCCTGCCTCCCCTAGTCCCAGCTCTGGACCCTGGACACATCTATTCTTTAAACCTACCAGAGGCCAAATATACATGTGCACACACATRCGTGCACAAACACACACACAAACAACGCATGGCCAAGCATCAGTCACATGCAAAAACCTAGAGTCCCACAACACAAGCAGACACTTACCTGCCTGCCCCAATATGCAGAGGTGCAGAAGCCACATGTCCAGCAAGCATGTGCTCACCACCCCCCACGGGCATCTCTCACATATGAACATAAGTTGGAGACAAGGACAAGGTTGGGGAGAAGATCACGTGTAAAGGGGAAGATGATGGATGGGGACAGGAATGAAGGTGGGTCACAGGTGAGATGCACACGTCCTGATCATCCTGTTTGTATTCATGCCCAAAGATGCATACAAGCACACGTGTACGCAGAAACACACACACACACACATACCTCTCACTAGGCACTCACACTAAGTGCAAACACAGGCCAATTAACTCCTGCACATGCATAGACACATTAATGCCCAAAGGTGACACTAGTTCTATGAAAGTAGAAAGGAGACTCTAGCTGGAAGAATGACAGGGGACCCTTCAGGTACCTCCCTGGGGTCCACATGGGTCATCAGGGCCTCTGGAGAATGATGAGGTGCCCCTGCTTCTCCTCATCCTGGGGTAGGACCAGGCCAGGACATGTGTCCCTCAATCCCTGTAGCCCAGTCTCGGGGACACAGAGCTACTCCAGAGGAATGGAAGGAAGGATGCAGAGCCTCACCAGACAACCTCGCCGACATTTGAGGAAATGAGGTAGCGAATGAATTGCTTCATATTGCTGTAGATGGCCCGGCCCTCCTCCACAGCAGCCACAATGGAGGCAAAGTTGTCATCTGACAGCACCATCTCTGCAGCTGACTTGGCCACAGCTGTGCCCGAGCCCATGGCAATGCCGATCTCTGCTTTCTTCAGGGCAGGTGCGTCGTTCACCCCATCACCAGTCTGTGGGCCAGGTCAGGGAGCACAGCACCTGAGAAACTTCCCTCCACCTCCCCACTGGCCTTAATTCAGCAGACAGCTGGACAGAACAAATGATGACATCAAGAATGAACTTAGAAACCGGGTGAAGGATGAAGCTAAAGGAAAGGCAAGGGGTGGAGACCATGGCAAAATTGGGGAGATCAAGTGTAAAGTCAAGGAAGAGAAAGAGGTGGTGAGAGAGTGAGGATGAGTCCGTGATGAGCGCAGGGATGAAACTCAGGTAGGATATAGAGTAGAAGATGAAGCTGAAGTTAGGGAGAAAGTTGAGGGCACTTCAGGGGCCAAGGTTGTGACCCAGGTCAAGGGCCAGGTATGTGTTGGAGTCAAGGTGAAGGCTGGACTTGACGTGAAGGTGAGGGTCAATACTAAATTCAGGTTCAAGAAAAGAAAAAAATAGGATTACAGTAGAGGTCAAGTCAAAATCAGAGGCCAAGTCAAGGTTACCATCCACATTAGAAGTGATAGTATAGTCAAGTTTGGAGTTGCTGTCAAGGTCAAGATTGGAAGCCATATTAATGCTGAAGTCAACATTAAAGTATTGCATGGCATGTGTGGTGGGGTGGGTGGTTAGGGATCAGTTCTGGGTCCTGGTCAAGGCTGGAACCCATATTAGGGTGGAACTCAAAGTAAGAACCAGATTAAGATGGAAGTCAGAGGGGCCAGTGTGTAGCTCAGTGGCAGAGAGTGCTTGGCACACACATAAAAAAGACAGAAATCAAGGTCAAGGTCAGGGACAAAGTCAGCACTGAAGTTAAACATAAGATCAAGAACTAGATTACAGTTGTAATCAAGTCAACCACCTCCCCTGGCGCCAGCCTCATAACCTCACCATGGCAGTGACCTCGTTAAAGGACTGCAGGTTTTCCACGATGCGGGACTTATGCGCCGGCTCCACGCGGGCAAAGCAGCGGGCGGTGCAGCAGGCAAGGCGCTGCTGCTCTGGGCTGAGGTCATCAAATTCACGGCCTGTGTAGGCTTTGCCCTCCACATCCTCTGTGTCCCCAAAGATGCCAAGCCGGCGACAGATGGCCACAGCTGTGCCTTTGTTGTCCCCTGTGATCATGACCACGCGGATGCCGGCTCGGTGGCAACGTGTGATGCAGGCAGCAACCTCGGGCCGTGGGGGGTCCAGCATGCCCACACATCCCACGAAGGTCAGGTCTGTCTGTAGGAAGGGAGCAGGTGCAAGCTGGACCTGAGCCCACCCTTGACCTGCTACCTGCCCGGCCACCACAGGGAGACGCATGGCACCAGCACCCACCTCATACTGAGCAAACTTGCTGCAGTCGTCCAGCTGCATGTCCTCCTTCTTGGGGGGTGCATCCCGGGTGGCCAGTGCCAGGCAGCGCAGCGTCTCTGAGCCTGAGCCCCAATCTCGGATCTTTGCCAGGATCTGCTCCCTGGAGGTGGTATTCAGGGGTGCTGTGCGGCTCCCCACACGGACTGAGCTGCAGCGCTCAATTACACTCTCAGGAGCCCCCTGTAGAGGTAGGGAGGAGGTGAGGCAACTCCGTCAGCCAGGGCTCCACAACCCCTCCCTGCCCAACTGAGGAAAGGAGACCCAGATATGGGGAGAGGTCTCCCAAGGATACACAGAATCCATTCTTAGATAACTCTGAGTAGAAACCAAGTAGGCCCCACTGTGAGAAAACCTCAAGGGAATGGGGAGGTAAGGTCACAGACACCCACTGGGTGGTATACTACCTCCACCAGCCCACAATTGATAAGGCCAGTAGCAGCATTTGGGGGTAGGGTGGGTGGGAATGGCATCCCATGCAGGCACTATGCCCCTGCCTGCCTGGTGTCTCTGGGGGACCAATTCTGTAGGGGCCTTGGAAGTAGGGAAGCAGCCTGAGCCCAGCCAGGGGACCCAAAATAGAGAGGTGCAGAGGCTGTGGTGGGTGTGAGCTTGGGAAGCTGCTGTGTGTTTGGGGTCAGGGGTGACGGCTCCTCTGCAACCTCAGGGTCTCACTTTGGACCTTTCCCCAGGCCTAGGAACAGTCTCTGAAAGCTCCCTCAATGGCTTCTCCTTCTCTCTAAAGGTTGCTAACTTTTCAAAGTAGCCTAGGCTCCCAGGGTGGAAGTCTTTTGATTTTGCAAAGGGTTAAAATCTGCTTCGTGGGGTGAAGTCCCAGCTGTGATTCCTACTTCAGGTTGGAAAGCAGCAACTGGAGGTGCTCTGCATGGAGGTCTGCCTGGGAACTGGTGCCTCTCCCTCTGAGGGACTCAGTGTCCCCAAAACCCCTAGCGTCTTCACAATAGCCAAACTACGGAACCAGCCTAAGTGTCCACGAATGGATGAATGGACAAAAGAGGATGTGGTGAATATACACAATGGAGTTTTATTCAACCCTAAATAAAAATGATATTATGGCATTTGCAGGAAAATGGGTGGGACTAGAGACCATCATGTCAAGAGAAATAGGTCAAACTCAGAAGGTATAGGGTCATATGTTTTCTCTCCTATGCGTAAGCTAGAGAGGAAAAAGGAAAACAAAGGTGGGCGTGGATCTCATGAAAATCAAAGGAGAACAATAGAGGAGGGGGGAAAGTGCTGGGGAGTGATACTGGCCAAACCATATTGCTATATTGTGTGCATGTATGAATACATAACAACAAATCCCATCGTTATRTACCAATTAAAAAAATGTGGGGGAGGGGGAGCACCAAGGGAGGGTACCAACTACTTCAAAACCACCAGAAGCAAAATGGTCTTCTAAGAACTGCCTGCCTGACCCTGCTGTTCGCAAGGGGAAACTGAGGCCCACAGAAAAGCATGGATGACTCTAAGGCCATGTGGTGAGGCAGGGTCCCTCAGCCTTGGTCCCTTGGCCCTGGTTTCTCCCCATCATGCTTGGATACTGTTCCCAGTTCCCCACAGCATGGTCACTCTACAAGGGGCCTCTTCCTCCCCTAGTTCAACCTCTTGTAGCTACTGGCTCTGATGCTTCAGAGGACTGGCAATCAGGTGCCCCTGAGACAGGCCCCTACCTTCACAAACATCTTGCTGCCCTGGGCCTTGGAGTCAGGGTGGGTAGGTGTGCAGTACACTGACATGGACTTCCGGTCCCGGGAGAACTCGAGGGTGACCTCCTTCCTCATGAGCTGCTTGATGACCTGCGGAGTCCAGGAGGGTCAGGGCATGAGGGACAGAGCCAACAACTCATTTCTGCTTCTTACCAACCACTTGGCCCCAAGAAGACACCTCTTGCTCTCTGTGGCCTGCTATCTGTACTCCTGAGGTCATAGCATTTGGGGCTCTACCTTCCTTTCTAAAAGCTTACCACTCCCTGGCCTTATGTGCATTTCCCAACTCCAAACCCTTGCCCACATTCATCCCTTCCCTCTCCTTGCTTAGAGCCAAGTATTATTAGGAGGTTGAGGTCCTTCTTCCTCCCAGAAGCCTCCCATGACTCTGATTTCCTCTTTCTCCTCTCCAGATGACCCAGAAACCCCAGCCATGCAGCCGGAGGCCAGAGACCCCCACCCTGCTCACCGCATTGCAGGCCCCAGCTCGCTCCACCTGGGACAGGGCCTTCAGGTCAGTGTCAAACACATTCATCTTCTCCACCAGGCAAGTCAGAGCTGTCTCCGTGGCCTCTCCCACCTTCTCATACACGCCCTTGGCCTGCCGGGTCCAAGGAGACAGGGAGTGAGGGGCAGCTATCCCAGCTTGGCTTTCCAGCCTCACTTCCCACTCCCTCCTTGCCCCCTGGAGACCCCTTTGCCAAAGCGTCTTTGCACAGGCCTGTGAGCCCTTCCCAGCCAGCCTGACGTGGGGTTGGGATGGTGTCTGGAATTGACATTTATACCCCAGTCCCTGCATCAGTGCCTTCCCAGTCTCTGTCCATTCCTTCTCAACCTCCTTCAACAGGTTCTCCTTGCTGGGTCTTGAAAGCCTGCTGCCTGGGTCCTGCTTCTCCCCTCCCACCGTCTCTCCTTGAGACCCCAAATGCCTCCTGCTTCCACTGCCTTTCAAGTGCTCCTGACTGCCAGTGCTGGGCCCAGTCAAGAACCTCTCCGGCAAACTCTAAACCCACACACCCACATGCTGCCTAGGGCATCTTGTTCCCTGAGGTCCCCTCAGGCCACCTCCTCCTCTCCTTACGTTGGCAGTGACTTCTTCCTGCTCTTTCACCTACCCAGCAACCAAGTCATAGGATTTTCAGTTCCTAAATCTCTCTCTGACCCATGCCTTCTCCCTTCTCCCTAAGCCTGCAGTCAGGGTTCAGCTGGTATTTCTCTGGCCTAGATGACACAGGGCACCCGGCTCCCATCTTGCCCTGCCTTTACCATCATTTACCCAGAAACCTGGAAGATCTTTAGTAAATGCAAGGCTCACTACGTGACTCCCTGCTCAGAACTTTTTGCTGGCTCTCCACTGCCCTCAGCTTGGCATGGGCATTGACTTGATCTGGCCGAAGACCTCCCCTCAGGCTGGGGCACACTACTAACACTCCATTCCCCAGCTGCGCCACACGCCACACGAATGGCATTCGATGCTTAAATCACATCGCAGCCTGTCCTGGGCTGTACCTTTTGCCTTAAATGCCCTTTCATGCCCTGCCTTCCTTCACCTCTTCCCCTAGGCATCCCTGGCCCTTTAGACCCTTACACTGCGGTCTTCCACAGCCCCCAAACCCAGGGACAGGGTTCTGAAGCATTGGAGCCAGAGGGAGGGAGCAGGGATGTGCAGGGGTGGCTAAGCTCCTGGACACTCCCAAGAGGGAAAGACCACCCACCCCTGGGAACTTTGAGACTCTGGGAAAAGATCTGGAACGCCTGGAAACTAGAGAGGTCAGGAAAGGGACTGGGAGCCCACCTCGTTGTAGTCCAGCGCTGAGTCGTTGCACAGTGCACAGATGGTCGCCAGCTCCACCAGCCCATCGAACTGGCTGCAGCAAACAAGTTGCTCCCCCTGCCGCCTGCGAAGCAGAGATGGTCAGTACAAGGCTGTGGCCCCGCCCCTAGGAGGTGCCCTTAGCCCCGCCCCCAGAAGGAAAAACCCAAGGACACCTCTGCGCTGTTCCGTGAGCCCCGCCCACCAGAGGCCACGCCCACCCCTCTCCCGTGCACTCACACTTCTCCCTCCGGGGTATACGTGGTACCCGAGATGGTGAATTCGTGCAAACTGCAGGAGCCCGCTTTCGCTTCGGCTACAACGAACATCTGGGGAGCACACAGGAGTGCTTAGGCGGCTGGATGGCCTCCCTTCTTCCAGGGCAGCCAGTTTGAATAAAGCTTGACCCCTGGATGCCCGACCCCAAAAGCCGCCTGTCCCTCCTCCCAGGAGAGAAGTAGTAAGTACAGGATCCCAGCTGAGGCGAGTACTCTGCCCAAGTATGTCCAGCTCTGGTCTGGCCATTTGCTGTGGACTCTGAGGGGGTTTTGGCTGATTATCCTGTGTCTGGGAGCAGCTACTGATTTGGGTCCTTCCTCATCTCACAGTGGTCAAGTACCTGAACCTTGATTTTGCAATGGTAATATGGGGAAAAAAGTGGGCTCAGAGTCCAGCAGCTGCTCCTTTCTCTTCTAGGGGATGAATTCCTGGCCTTCAGGGTAGGAAACACACACCCTGCTCTGAGGCACAGAGACCTCCAAACCCAGAGGTGACTCTAGAGAGGGAGGCCCTGCCAGCAGGACCTGCTGGCAGGCCCATATCTCTGCACCTCAGAAACAGGGTGCTCTTCCTGCCCGGGGCAGCCTGCTTCCTTGTCTGTTAGCTAGTTCCACTGGGGAGGCAGTTCTTGTTTCCTGGAGATTGCCTTCCTCACTGCACATAATCAAATGGCCAGCCCAGCATGCAGCAGGTGCTCAGTAATGACCTTTTTGCTCTTATCTCTGTTCTAGGGGCATTCCTCCAGCAAGCAAGCCTATTATCCAGTGTGTCCAGCCTCTATATCTTCCCTACACTGGGCTTTTCAAATCTTTATTTCAGTCAAGGGAGACACTATTCAGATAAAATCCTACTAGGGTCTTAGCAGGTCAGGGTCCACAGGGCAGTAAAGTTTGCCACAGTCCCTGCCCCTTCTGATGGATGAGCTTCTATGGGACCTTAGGGTCTCAAAATACTGAGCCTGGGTTCCTGAGGCCTAGTGCACAGACTTCAGAGGCAGGGTTGGAAGAAGGGTGATGGGAAACCTGGGAAGAGTGGGGAACCTATAGCCTTCATCATCTCCCCACCCACCTCTCTGTTGGGTCAGGAGGAGCCCACTGCCCTTTGGAGTCTCCGCCAGCTTTCCTGGAGCATGTGGACAGCGGGCCCAAGATGTGGAATCAAGTGCCAGGGAATGAATAATTCCTGCCCTCGTCCTTCTAGGTCACTGGAGCTAGCATATCTAGTGACAGGCATCAACTACACTGTCATGATCAAGCAGGATAGAACCTAGATCCAGACCCAGCTTGACTGAGACACCAGGGTGTACTTGACACTCTCCTGGATTCCTAATGGTTACCTGGCAGGGTTTGCACATCCAAGCTTCAGATGAGGATTCTGAGGTCCACAGACTGCCCAGGGCCCCACAAGTAACACACAGGCCACAGTGACATGTGTTCTGCAGGCATCATCTGCTACAGCCTACCAGTCATCTGCTCTGCCTCATAGAACCTGGATCTGCTTCCCACAGGGGAGAGAGCCTATGTTTCCTCCTCTATCACTTGCCAAAACGGAGGGGAGGGGCAAGCCCAGCTGCCCAGGATCTCATAGCAACACCTGAGGGACCCCAAGCTGGCTACAGCCACTTACCCGGCACACTGACATCTGATTGGTAGTGAGAGTGCCYGTCTTGTCAGAGCAGATGACTGAGGTGCAGCCCAGGGTCTCCACAGAGGGCAGGCTCCGCACTATGGCATTCTTGCGTGCCATGCGCCGTGTGCCCAGTGCCAGGCACGTAGTGATGACTGCTGGGAGGCCCTCGGGGATTGCAGCCACAGCCAGGGCCACGGCAATCTTAAAGTAGTAGACAGCACCACGGAGCCAGGAGCCACCATGGGCTGGGTCAGCAAAGTGGCCAATGTTGATGACCCATACAGCTACACAGATGACAGAGATGGCATGGGACAGCTGCCGCCCAAACTCATCCAGCTTGCGCTGCAGTGGTGTCCGCTCAGGTTCCACTGCTGCCATCTGGCTCCGGATCTTGCCCAGCTCCGTGTGCAGACCTGTGGCCACCACCACACCCACTGCCTTGCCTGATGCTATATTGGTGCCCTGGCCAAGGAGAGACAAGGAAAGAGCTGCTCAGCCTCCAGCCAGGGCCAGGAACCCAACCTCTTCAAGGCGGGAGGAGGACTCTCATCCTCTGACTTGGCTTTCTTTTTCTCTATGCTGCTAGTGCCTGTAAACTTATTTACTGGGGCATTGCTAACTTTCCATAATAGTCTGAGATCTATGAAGGCAGGAATTTGGTTTGCCATATCCCCAGTGCCTAGCAAAGGGTCTGGCACAGAGGTGGCTCTGGGGCTGAGCTTGACAATCCGATCAACTAGCACAGCCTGGGCATAAGCCCATTGAACCTGTTATAACATAATTCATAAACAACCACTATAGCCACACAGCAGAGTGGCTGACCATGATTCCAGATAAACAGTCCAAAAATATTTACTGAAGAATGGAGAAAACCTGAAGTTCATCCATTCCTAAGGCCCCAGTAAAATCCCCAAGTTCCATGTAAGGGACAGGCAACTCTGTGCCTCAGTCCTCTTTTGCAAGATGGTTCATCAGAGGTGCAAGACAGTGCTATAAGGAAGCTGATTGCTGGGTGTGCCTTCAAAGGGCCATGCTGTGGAGGCTGGCAAGAGGGCACGTGCTGCGGCAGCCTCGTCTCCCTTCTGCCCTGAGCAGTGCAGGCCCCTTAGCTAAGGAAATAGCCTGTGGTTAGCCACACCACCCTCAGAGAGCTTCCTAGTGACAGCTGCTGACACTGGAGAAAACCTCTAGGAGCTTCCCTCCCACCCAAAGCATCTTGTCTAAGCGTCCATGCAACTGGGCAGGACACTCTCCTCAGGAAGTGCTCCACGTAAACATCACGGTCTCCATTTTCAGGGAGACTGTACAGTCCCTTATAATTAACTGGGTGCCCCCGGCCACTGTCCGACTGGTCTGACCCTTCCTTGTGGCACCAAATACCATGCTGGCTTCAGGCTATTGCTGGACAGCTGTGAGTATTACCTGTTAACTCCCTCGGAGGCCACAGGGACAGGCCACTCTTATCAGAGCTGAAGCTACCATTCTCCCTGAGAAGAGCCAGGGTACTTGGCATCATGCCTTGAGGTGGGGGGGTCAGTTTTTATATCTGAGAAATGGACCATTCCCACCATCCTTCACTTTTATTTTCTTTCTTCTTTTTTCCTTTTTTTTTTTTTTTTTCTTTTTTCTTTTTTTTTTTTTTTTTTTTTGCAGTGTTGTGGATGGAACCAGGACTTCGTGCATGCCAGGCAAGCACTCTGACACTGAGCTATACTTCTAGCTCCTCCACTACTTTTGTAACTCTTTTCCCTCTAGAGGATTTTCTGTTGAGTGACTAATGGCAAGCTCTGCCTTCCCCAGGTTAAGACTGGGTATCCTAGCAGGAAAGAAGAAAAGGTCTGAAGCAAGGATGTTTAAGTTCACAACTCAGCTCTGCCACTCAGGCTGTGTAACCTTGGGCAATTTACTTAACCTCTCTGAGACTGTTTCCTTCTGGAAAAACACAGATAACAAGATCCAGATAACCTTATTTCAAAGGTTTGTTGTGTGGATTAAATAAACTAGTGTGTCCAAAGAGTTTGGAACAGTGCCAGGCACACAGGCCTCAGTAAACACAAGCTACTATTATTGTTATAAATTTGCATGCTTTCCTGATAACTGAGAAGGTTCTTTCCAATAGAACTTTGATTAACATTAATGTGACTGTTTTTATTATCATCGTCCAGGCAAAGGCCCCGAGCATCCTAGGAACTTACAGAAAACAGCATGTTCTTCTTGTCCTGGTTCACAGCTCTAGGGTCTGGGATGGCGTCTGTGTGCTTGGTCACGGACACGGATTCACCTGGTTGTAGAATTAGTATGAGAAGCCCCACTCAGAGACATGCCCATCCCCTTGCTCCGCCCCAATCCCAGCAGGAGCCTCACCCGTTAGGATGGACTGGTCCACTCGCAGTGTGGTGGACTTGATCTCGATGAGGCGGAGGTCAGCAGGCACTTTGTCTCCCACTATGCAGGAAGAATGGTTTGGCTGAGGGTGGTGTTGAGCCCTAGCCCCCAGGAAAGTCAAGAAGGCTCCAAGGAACCAAGACCAGGGCTGAGTCAGAAGCCCAAGTTGTGATCCCTCAAGAAGACCCCTGCCCCTCTGGTCGCAGCCGCCCAATCTGCTCAATAAGGCTTCAGCCAAGTATCTTTGGAGGGATGTGACAGACACCCCATCCACATAAATAACTGGAAATATGGAGGCACGGAGAGGGCCAGGGCTCCCTGGTGTTATGTACGGGCAGGAGGAGGCCCCAGCATACCTGCCACTTCCACAATGTCTCCGGGGACTATGTCCCGGGCGCGGATCCTCTGCACACCTCTGCGGTCTGAGCGGATCACCTTGCCCATCTCAGGCTCATACTCCTTTAAGGCCTCGATGGCACTCTCAGCATTGCGTTCCTGTACAATAGACGGGCAGGTGGTCTGTCCTGGAACCTCCATCAGGCCTCCCCTCAGAGTGACGCCCTTGGGACCTGGGATTGAGCTAGTAGGAGGACCTACAGGTAGAGGTCCCAACTTGCAGCCAGGAGAGCCCTGCGCCTAGTCCCACCCCTGTKCCTCTCACCTGCCACACACCCACAATCGCGTTGGCCACAAGGATCAGCATGATGACCAGGGGCTCCACGAAGGCTGTTGTGGTCTCTTCGCCCTCCTCGAACCAGGCCAGGACCTGCGGGGTCAGAGCTGGTGAGCCAGGTCATGCTGGGGGGCTAGCTGTTCTCCTTGTCCTTTGTACCCTGGGTCTCCTGTCTGCTTTCCCTGCTCGGGGGAGATACCCCCAGGGAGTCTTGGGCTTGCAGAGGGGCTGTCCTCTGAGAAGGCCTTGGTACTGGACACCCATCCCATAGATATGACCACCACAGCTCCCACCCATCCAGGACCACCTTCAAGGGGTGGGGGTAAGCCAGAGACTTCTGTCTGCCTAGAGCAGCGCTTCTCATCATAGCCCCAGGGGACTTGTTAGAAACACAGTGCTCAGGCCTATCCTAGACCTCCTGTGTCACAGCTCAGCGGCGGGTCCAGGAATCTGTTTGACAAGCCCAAGTGATTCTGATGCATGCTCCCATTCAAGGTCTCTGGCCAGAGGAGTATCCTTCAGCCCTGGAGCCTAAGACTTGGACAGAGACTCAAGTCAAGTCCCATGTCCACCTCTTGGCCTAAGCAAGTACTTGGGCCTCAGTGTGGCCATATGTGCTGTAAAGGGGTGCAAGCAGGCTTGGGGCTCTGCCATGTGCAGATTTTTTTTTCTAAGAGTTGCCATATTCCACAAGGACCAGGCACAACTAGAGGGGAAGAGCTGGTCCCAGCCAGTGCCCCTGCTGCTCCACACTCCAGGTCACCAAGATGAGGTCTCCCCCGAGGCCCTATTGGAAGTGAGACCAGGAACAGAAACCATGTTCACCCTCAGGGGGCTGCTTTCCAGCCCCAAGTCCCTGCTATTCAGCCAAAAACAATGATCACTGTCCCTTCGCACATGTCCACCCTGGGCCTGGCCCTACGTTAGAAAGGGGGTGTGGGCAGCAGGAATGAGGGAAATGCAAAGAGAAGCAGCAGCCAGGAGGACGTTGCAGGAGGTTAAAGCCAGCATCTGCCTGAAGAGTGCTAGAAGGAGCTGCAGCATTCAACCAGGGGACATCTAGCAACATCTGAATATATTTTTGATTATTACTGACATCGGATGGGAAGAGGTCAGGGATGCTACTAAACAGCCTACAATGTACAGGACATCCCCCCACCCTTACCAGGAATTATTTGGTCCCAATGTGAAYAGTGCTGAGGTTGAGGAACCCCGGGCTGAGGGAGGGRTAGGTCAGCTTGTGATTTTGAACGCTCACTCTGACAGCAGGGCATAAGATGGATGGGGACAGGGCAGATAGAAGCCAGGGGCCCAGCGCTGAGGGTCCAAAGGCTCAGGCAACAGAAGCTGAAGTCCAACCAAAGCAGAAAAGGGACATGGAGGTGGGGGGCAGAGAGCAAATTAGGAGCGCTCATGGCTGAGAGGACAGAGGCTCTGTGGCCTGCAGCCTGAGCTTCTGAGCATCACAGGGACGCAGCTCACCCTCCCAACACTGTGGGATGGCAGGCGGGGCTTACTTACAAAGGAGACCAGGGCTGCCAGCAGCAGGATGCGCACCAGAAGGTCCTCGAACTGCTCCAGCACCAGTTCCCAAAGGGACTTCCCTGAAAACAGGAGAGTGGCATAAGGCCTAGCCTCTGACCCACTGCCCTCCCCATTCAGGGCTGGCTTCAGAGGCCCCCTATCCTGGATTCTCCTTGCAGTTCAAAGATGGAGAGTACAAGGCCCCTAGAGGCTCCGGCAATGCTGGGGACTCAGCAGGGCAACGCTGGGGACTCAGCAGGGCCTCATTCTTGGGGGAGGGGAAAACCACAACCTCACAGAATGGCCTAAGGATGTCCTGACCCCCCCCCCCCCAGCAGCATGCCCCAGGCCCAGCCTCACCTTCCTCGGTGGGGAGCTCTGCAGAATCCAGGTACCCACAGGAGCATGAGGAGACAAGAGAGGAGGGGGTTATGTAGTGGGGTCTTGAGGAGTCTGGCAGCCCCTCCCAACTGTGCTGCCCAGACCACACTGGCCTGGACATGTCTGCACAGCCTCTGTGAAAGCATGGCTTGAGCCCAAGTCCTTCCAACCCCACCCCACTCACATTAAGTGAGCTCTAGTGTGGCTTGGCTCACCTTAGCATGAGACCAGAGCCAGGAAGGGCCCTTCTGGCCTCCCCCCATTCACAGAGGGGAAAGTGAGGCCCGGAGGACACAAGGAACCCCGAGGTCACACAGAGAATTGGCAGTTCCCATGGTCCCCTGGGTTGCTCTTCCCCTGATTGGCTGCCCAGTCCTAGTCAATGTCACTCAACCTCATGACAAGCGAGCCCCTTCTGAACACTGCTCTGCTTCCCCTCCCTCATGTTCTGACCCACTTGATCTTCCAGAACCACCTGATCAAGGTGAAGAGCAGAGCCAGCCCTCGGAGCTCCATCCCAGCCAGCCTCCCCTGGACCAACTGCCAATGACCCAGACAGTGGGGACTCTTCCCTGACTCCCTCCTAGGCCTCTACTCTAGACCTGCTCAGGGAGGACCCACGTGCCCAGTCCCACACGCCATCTTGAAGAATGCTGTTTCCAAACACCACAAGCATCTGCCTCACTTTACCTGCCACTTTTTTTTTTTTTAATCTTCTACATTTCCTCAAACACCCTTTGTACCAGCCAGAGCCAACTGCCACTCGTACCCAAGCCTGAATCTTCCCAAGAGCCTAAAGGGAGGCAGGACGGGAGCTCCAGATCTACTTCACACACACCAGAATCGAGGGTCCGAGTTTGGACAAGGCTGAAGCCTGGGCACACAGGGAGTGGCTGTGTGGGGCCGTGCGGGGGGCTAGAGCTGGACTCTTGATGGGCTCCCCAACCCCGGGCCAAGTTCCTGTCCCTGCTGAAGCCATTGACACTCCTCCCAGGCTGCAGCCTAACCCATCTCTACCATCTTGTGACCTTCGCCACTCAGAGCCAGAAGCACCCTGGACTTGTTAGTGGTGTCGATCTGAGGCTCCTGGCTGGCCCTCTTCCCCTGGCTGGCCCCTGTCCCACATGGAACGGATCCTGCATCTGTCCACCTGTTCTTGGTCTATAAGCATTTTTTCCTATGGGAATCCTTGCTCCAGACCACCTGTTTGGAAGGTTTGGGGTCTGCACCTGGCAGCTGCACCATGGACAGTATTAAGCAGCCCACTGGACCGCAGGAATCCAGGAGGGAAACTTATAACCTAAAAATACACTTTCTAGCATTTTCTCTAAAGTCCTATTTTAGGCAACGGCTGACATTTTCCGTGGAAAATGTAATCTCCAGTGTCCTGCGTTGAGATTAAAATCAAACAGACATTTTCCTTCTGATCTATTTAACTGAAGTGAACAGGAAAGGCGGGAGGAGGGCCAGGCTTGGTTTCTGGGCCAATTCTCAGACGCAGTAGGGTTCTTTAGAGGTCATCTCAGCCATGCCCCAGTCTCACAACAGAAGACTGCCAACCTCTTGGCATGCATCAGCCAGGTTTTGACATGCCCTACTGAGGAGACTCCCAAACCCTCACCTTTTTAGGGATTTTGACCAAGGGGAGAGTCCATCTGACAGTCTCACTTGAATCCCTCCTACTRTTTCCCTAACTCCTCCCTATGAGGTATGAAGCTCCCAGGCCGCCATGCTCTTTAGTGCATCTACCCTGGGTAGGGCAAGACCTGAGGTTAGGATGTATGTCACAGTCACACATACCAACTCTAGTCCCTCCGAGATGCCTCTGCCTGTCCCAAGTGATCTCTACCTGTCCACCTGAATCTTCTCTCCTGCTCCCTGACCCACAATGACCCAGAATCCACTCTTTGGAGATCATTATGGTGTTCCCCAAATATTTCTGGTTCTTCCAACCTTGCAGCCACATAGTAAGTCTGTACCTCTCGGCTCCTGTGTGAGTTCGCAAAATAAGAGTGTGTTTTAGTTCCAGACTGGAGCATTGGATTTTGGGTGCAAGACTTTCTAAAAGGTCACCATCCAGTAAAATGTTCTGTGATGACAAAAATTCTCTCTGCCTGTCCTGTCCAGTACAGTAGCCACCAGCCACATATAGCTACTGAGCAATTGAACTATGGCTGGTGTAACTGAGGAACTATGCTTTAAATTTTGCTTTATTCATTTAAGTAGCCACATAAGGCTGGTGGCTGCTGCACTGGACAGTGCAGGTCTGGAGCTCTGTGACCCTCTGCTACAGCAGCAACAACCTGTGCAGAGGTGTCTCCTCGGTCATCTTCATCACAGAGCCAGGAAGCAGAGTCCCAGATGACCAACCTGCCACTGGCAATCAGCAAGAGTGAGAAATGAACCATCGAGGGGCTTTTTGATACTTTGTTTTAAGAGATGAGACCTTATTGGGGTGCGGTGGTGCCTGCCTATAAGCCCAACTACTCTGGAGGCTGAGGCAAGAGATTGTGAGTTTGGGGGGGGGGGAAGGGACGAGAGATGGGATCTTGCTATGCTGTCCAAATTCGTCTCAAACTCATGGGTTCAAGAGAGCCTCCTGCCTCAGCCTCCCGGAGGCAGGTGCTCAGCTAAGACTGCAGGTGCTCACCATAGAGCCCAGCCAGCCACTGAGATTTTGGGGTTGTTACTTCAATAACCTACCTTGGCTCAGACCTGGCTTTTACCACCAGGTTCCCCTTCCACCCCCACCTGGGGAGGCTCAGCCAGCCTGCCCATCCCTGCACGTGGCATGAGTGGTTCCACTTCTGCAGAAGCAGCTGACTCCCTGTGGGGCCCTGCACCTTACTGGGAGGATGGGTACCCAACCCACCTTGAAGGGTTGCTGTGACAATCATCATCATCACCATCAGGAGCCACATTCACCGAGCTCCTACCATTTACCAAGCAGTGTACCAGATCTTACCTACCTCACGTCCAGGGAATACATGGGATGATAACTGGGGGCCAAGCCAAGAGGTGCTCAGCASGCAACCCAGAAGCAGTGGGTCTTGAAACTGTGCTAACCCCTTGGGCATGTTATTCCTTTATGATTCTCAAGCAACCTGAGAAGGAGGATGCTGTTGTTGTTCCCATTTTACAGAGTAGAAAACCAAAGCACAGAGAGGCTAAGTGACTACTTAACTGTTATGCAGCCAGGAAGCGTAGAGAGGGGTAGTGAGCCCAAGCAGTCTAGCTCTTGACCCTCTGCTCTGGGCCCCCTGTGCTAACACATAGGCTGCCCTGCCTTCCCTCCTCTGGTCCCTTTACCACCCAGCCATCACCTAACAAAATTTGGTATCCTGATAGTGTCCTGATAGTTGGACTGGATGCCGTCATCCCATCACCAGCCTATCCCTCTGACGCAGCCCCAGAGCCCCAACCAAAATCATTGTCCTAATGGATCTGCTCTTCTCACAGGTGGTGTGTGGGGGCCACGAGGCCCTGCCAGCCCAGGCCCAGTCTGCTTCAAGTGTCAGTTCCACCAAGATCCAAAGATACAATTTTCCCCTCACATGAACAAGTCCCAGAGCCACAGAAGGAAACCATGGCTGGGAGAGCCCCATGCCCCCACCACAGGCATCTCAGGGAGATGCTGGGTCCCCCATGCCACCCGCAGTTGCATGGTGTGGGGCTGAGCCAGTTCCCATTGAGCCAGATGCTGCATTTGCTAAGTGGGGGATTGCCCTACCCTGCTCACCTCTGTGCTATTGGCTGGGCAGCTCAAGGCAAAGCAGTAAGGGGGTACTGCTCCTCCTGCATCCCCATCTGGCTGACGCAGGGGCACACGACCCCTACTATTCTCATCTGGGCCTCTCCCAACCTACCTCTGCTCTGGATCACTGTTGCCAGACTGAGAGATCTGGTGTCCGCTCATGCCCCTGTGGGGCCAAGGAGCCTGAGAATGAGACTGTGGACTTAGGGCGGGCTAGTGGGGATGTGATCCGAGAAACTCCAGGGTTTAAAGCAAAGAATATGGTCCAGAGGGCTTGAGTTCAAGTCCTGCTCTGTCTCTTGGTACTGTCATAGCAACAGGCAGGCCATGAAAGCTCTCTTTTCCCGTCAGCACACAGCAGCTAGTAGCAGTGATACCTTATAAGGTTATGTGAAGCTTGCATGACATGCACAAAGTGCCCAGGATGCATGGCCCACAGTGACAGTCATTGGCACAATGGTTATTAGACCATAAGCTCCATGATAGTGGGACTGTGTTTAGTGTAGCAGAACGGTGCCTGTCACATAGTAGTTACTCAGAACAAACTGAAGAATAAGTGACCCAGCCTCTGCCCTGTCATAGACCTTCAGTAGCTGTCCGCAGCCTACAGAATAATAATAATTGACCTTGGAATGGTCTTTCAGATCTTGGAGCTACCCCCAACCTGCCCTTCTAGAATTATGTCCACATTTCAGATGCAGGACCCTCTGCCACCCATCAAGCCTCAGGATTGCTACTACCTCCCTGTTTTCCTCCACCAATATTTTGCTTGCATTTTACCTTCTGTCCAGAAAACCCTTCCCTATCTCATCTGAACCCTTCCAGGAAGCCTTCCTCGCCCACCTGATGGCCCTGCCTTCCCAGCCCAGTCATCAGTATTCACCACCCCCCAGACTGGAGCACCTCTGGGGCAGGGAGAGGCTGAGTCTTCCTGGTCCATACCAAGTCCTCCCAGCCATTGTTTATTCAGTTGTTCCATGGTTCAGAACAGGGCCTGGGCCCACAGCCTGCAGCTAGGGAGAAGCTGTACAGCCAGGGCTGCCCCCAGGCTCCACACACCACCTGCTCCCTAATCCCCCAACTCCTTCCTTCTCACAACACTGAAAACTGGAATTTCAGCTTCTAAATGTCAGTGGCAGGGGGAGAGAAGAGCACTCACCCAGGGCTTCCTCCAAGGTAAATTTACAAAGCAATCAAATCATCACTTGCAGAGATAGGGAGAGGCCTTGGCTGGTCAGAGCCCGCCCAGCCCACCTGGCCCTGACCTTGTCTCCAGGGTCCACCTACAGTGGACAAGCTGGCCCTGCTCCTCAGAGGACACTGAGGGGCTTTAGAAAGTGGCTCCTGCTCTGCAGAGAGGCTCTCGGCCTACCTGGCTGACCTGGCGCAAGATGCTAAGGGTTTGCTCAACATCTATGTGTCTTGTGGCAGTGTGGGGCAAGGCCTGGTATTGCTCATGGGGGCCGAAGGCTGCCCAGCAAGGGCCAGTAGGTGTGAAAACTAGGGCGAAGCCTGAAAATCCTTGAGTTTCCAGTTGGCCTGCGGCCGAATCACACTTTCTCCCACTGGGAGTCAGTATTAGATCCTTCRAGGCCCTTAGGGGATCTCGAGACCAAAGGAAGGGCAAGTTTGCCTGGGGCCACTCAGCAAGTAAGGCCACTGCAGTCACCTTCTTGTCCCACTTACCCCACTCCTGGTGGCCTGGTTTCCAGGGGTCATGCATATGGGTTTCCAACTGAGGCCTGGGATAATGGCAGGAAATAAGGCCATAGCCAAAACACCACTGGAAGGATTCCAAATCTGGGCCACCGCTCCCACCCTGCAGCAGCCCTGGGGACCTTGTACCCTTTGCACAGACAGGCAGTGTGCAGACCAGGAAGGCAGGGTCCAGGCCAGGCACTCTCTCTCCATAAGTTCCCCTGAACACGGGCCACCCCCAGAGACCTCTTGGGATCTAATCTGACCCTCAGATCCCTGGGCTCTCCAGGGCCTTTAGGAGCAAGGTTGTGGGGCAGATGTGCCCAACCGAGTTCAATCTTTGACCTTGGCCCCAGTCTAGCAAAGGATGTGAGCACGGATACAAGGAAATTGGATGACTCCTGAAGGTACAAAAAGATACCCAGCCTGACTTGTAAATAGAAAAATGCCAAGTACAGAACCCACAAGGGGACACTTTTCTATGACTGGCACAGATCAAGTTACACACTTACACAAGTGCCTTATACACTTTGGCCAGGTGGCAGATGGGCAGGTCGGTTGGTTCAACCTTCGGGACAGTAAAGTAGCAACAGCTGTCAGACTGCAAACACACTCCCCACACAGCAGTTCCACTTCTAGGAATTTATCCTTCAGGGCTATTCACAAATGATAGAGGGACAAGGATATTCTTTATCTTTTGCATGTAATAGCAGAGGCTGTGACCACCGCAAGCGGCTCTCAGAAGTGGGATGAAGAAACACTGGAACAGGCCCACAATGGAACCCAGTGCAGCCACTGGGAACCCAGGAAAGCTCCCTTATGAACCACCTCCAAGAGCGCTGGTCAAGTGGAAAGCAGGGTAGAAATGGCACATAGAACTCACTCCCTTTCATGCAAAAAAAAAAAAAAAAAAAAAATCCCAGGGATGGGGTGTACTTAGTGTACTTAGTAAGGGGCTCACCTAGCACATGCCAGGCCCTGGGTCCAATCCCCAGCATAGCCAGGAAATTTTTAAAAAGATCCTAGATGTGCATGCATATATGCACAGAATATTTTGGGAAGGAGACACAGGAATTGGGAACACTGGGATAGGTGGTTAGGGACAGAGTCAGATGTCTTTACTGTCCACCTTTTGTACCCTTTGAAAGTTATACTGTATGCAATTTTTTTTTCTTCTGGGGATTGAACCCAGGGCCTTGTGCATGCAAGGCAAGCACTCTACCAACTAAGCTATATCCCCAGCCCACTGTACGCAAATTTTAATTTAAAAAAAAAATTTTATGTCGGGTATGTATTAGGCTTGTAATCCCAGCTACTTGGGAGGCTGAGACAGGAGGATCACAAACTCAAGGCCAGCCTTAGCAACTCAGTTAGACCCTGTCTCAAAATTTAAAAAATAAATAAATAAATAAAATTAAAGAGGGCTAGGGATGTAGCTCAGAGGTAGAGTACATCTGGGTTCAATCCCAGTACTGCAAAAAAGATAAACCCTGCTGGAGCCTCACCAGCTCCAGTGAGGTTGGGACAGATGGTGTTTTGTATGCACAGGGGACTCCCGGCTGGCACACACACTGACTGTGCCTCTGAGGTTCCCACCTCCTGTTCTGAGGCTTCTGTCCTCAGGAGGGAGGAGAAGGGAGAGGTAGGAGGGTGGGATCCCCAGGCTCCATTCCCCCAGCCCCTGGCAGAATTTGCAAACTTTAAGACTTAAACAAATGACTTCCTTGTGGTTTCCAGTGCTAACGACCTTGCAGGTGCACAGATGCCTGGGGTGGGAGGAACACTAGTCCCTGGGGTGTTCCCTCCACCCACAGGCCCTGTACCCTACCAACCACCTCCTGGCCAGGAGCCCAGCCCCACCTCCTCCACTACAGAGGCAGATGACTTGGTATAAGTGATCTCACTAAACACGCACAAACAACTCTAAGAGATGGTTTTATTGCGGCCTCATTGACAATGAGGAAACCAAGGCATAGAAAGGCCCAGGGGCTTGTCTGGGGTCACACAGCTATGAAGGGGCAGAGGCAGGGTGCAGAACCCCATCAGCCCCTTCCCAAAAGCTGTGCAGGTAGCACCTAGAGGACATATAAGCGTCATCCACAGGCCGTGGAGCACGGGGCAGTAAGGGGCAGCTGGCTTCCCTCTGCTCACCTGACAACTTCCAGAGGCCTGGAATACTTCCTGAGGAAGAAGCACCAGAGATGTAAGGGAAGAGCCCTCTGAGGCCTCTCAGGGTCTGAGGTCAAAACTGGTATAGATGCTGCCACACCAGGGYCCCCGAGCCTGCAGAACCTGTGATCTTTTACACATAGGTAAACTGAGGCCCAGAGTGGAGTAGGCATCTGTGCTAAGTCCAGTACAATCCTGTGTGATCTTGCCAAGTTGTTTAAACTTCTGGTGCCTCAGTTACCTCCTTTCTAAAATAAAGATGACAATAGCCCCTACATCTGAGTTGTTTGGAGAAAGAAATGAAATGATAGATGAAAAAGTGCTGAGAACAGTGCCTAGCACATAGTAAGGGCTCAGTGAGCATCAGCTTTTATTACTAATACTAGAAAAGTATAGAGGAACCAGGGGAACCTAGCAATGTCCCCATTTTCCTACCCACATCAACACACACCCGCCTACCTGCGGATCTATACACCACACCCATCACCTCACACAGAAGGTGAGGGGACAGAGCAATCCAGGATCCCCTCACCCAGACAAAACTACACAGGGGCAGGAGACTAGGGACTGCACTGTCAGTTCCTCCTCTGCTGGACCCCTGAAGACAAGAGAGCCAGAAAGGACAGGAACCTTGGCCAGGGTCATGCAAGGGCAGAATGTGTGAGATTCTGGAGATGGAAGGGAGAGCTGGATCTCCAGCTTCCCTTGGGAATCAAGATTCCCAAGCTGGACCACAGCAATACCAAAAGGCTGTGGAAGCCCAGACCTGCCTACAGGGACTCCCACCCTACCCCAGAGCCAGGGGGTAGTTCCTGCTACCCTGTTCTCCTGCAGCGAAGGACACCCTCCCTGCCAAGTCATTAATGGGGGATATTAAATAATATTTATCTCCCCAGTTCCTCCCACAGTTCAACTAAATATAGCAACTAATTTTTTTGAAAAAGGATTTCTGCTCCAGAAAGATAATATTTATATAAGAGGTGGTTTTCATAAACCAATACAGAACCGAAGCAACCTTTCTGACAGCAATGTGTAATTTCCAAGCCAGCCCTGAGCACAGGGACACAGGCCAGAGCACCCTCCTCTCCAACTGACTGGGAACCCCAAAAGATGAGACCCCAAATCCCAAAACTACACAGGCTCAGGCAATACGTTGGGGATGGAAGGAACTTTCCTTTCTGGTCCCCTCACACTCTACCAGGTACTGTGAGGGTAGCAGGTCCTGCCTGGAAGGGACGCAGTCAAGAGACCTCTAAGTCTTCCACCTCAGGAGCCTCCAGATGAGCTGGGCCTCATTTGGATAGTACTAGGAGGCGTTTGCCCATTGCCTTAGCAAAAAAAGAAGAATCCCCCACTCCTTTGAAGGCGATGAGGAAGAACCCATTTCTCTCCCACGCAAACTGCAAAAGCAGGAAAGCTCCCTTGGTGCCCAAGATGGGCAGGCACCACTCCAGGTCACCCAGCCTCTGGCAACTTTCTGGGACTTCCAGTCGGCCAGCCAGGAAGATGGGTCTCTGGCCCCAGCAGTTCAAAGCCCCCAACGACTCCTGCCAGCTACATCCGCTTGGGGTTGCAGAAAGAGGAAGACCTGGGGGTGGAGGTGGGGGTGGGGGCACCACGGATGCTAGCCTACAAGCTGCACCTACTTGAGGGTTTTATTGCGCCCTGAGGGGAGACCCCTGGATTGGCTAGGAGGCTGGACCTCAGAGTGCTTGGCCGCTTCCTGGCCAGCAGGTCTCAGTGTCTGCTGCACCTGCATGATACCCGCGGGTCGCAGCGCGGGGCCGGGTTCCAGCTTGGACTGCGAATGAGGCTGGCTAAGGCTTGCAGAAATGGACGGGACCGCACCACAGCAAGAAGCCTGGAAGGACCCAGCGCGGAGGGGGTGGCAGGCATCGGTCCCCCAAGCCGGAACCTGCCCCCACCCCCTCGAAAGTGGCAGCGCAGCCCAGCAGGGTGCCCCAAGAGCATCTGCGGAGGTTTCCGGAGCCCTCACTTCCTGCCCGCCCGCGGGGACCTAGATCTTGGAGGGAGAGCACCGCCTGGCCACGGGGCAGGGGGTCTGAGACTGAGGCGCGTGCGGCCCCCGCTCCCCGGCCCGGCCCGCGCGCTCACCATTGGGGCCGTAGCGCTCCTTCGAGCCGGTCACCTGCGCCGGGCTCAAGCCGCCTTCGGCTGTCACCGAGAAGTGGCGCAGCACGTCGGCGGCCGGGAGCAGGTGCGCCTCCTCCATGCCGCCCGCCCGCCCGTCTGCGCCCTCCAGGCCGCCTCTTCGCTGAACTACTGCACTGGTCGCTGGGGGCTTGAGCCCGGGCGGGCGCCGCGCGAGACCATGTCCGCGCTGGGACCTTCCCCGACGGCAGTGGCGACAGCGGCCAAGGCCCGCGCCAGGATGCTGCGCCCCGGGCTCCCTCCCCGGGGCGGGGCGGCGCGGGACCCGCCCCCGCACTCACACCCCTTCCGGCCCCCTCCAAGCCTCCGGGCCCCGCCTGCCGCTCCCCGGGGCGCCCAGCCCSGCTGCCTGTCCATTCTACAGAAGTRGGCACTGAGGCCGCTGGCGGGGCGAGCCCTAGCGGAGCCAGGGGCAGCTGAGGGCGCGTGGCCTGGGAGTGGTGTGGCGGTGGGGGCTCCATCCTTGTCCTTGCAGAGCTGGGGGAATGCTCAGTGCTGATCTAGGAGCTGCCACATTCACCTCCTTTCGGTTCTCCTGGGGTGGAGGGGGGGTGTGTTGCAAAATGGAGCTGTCCATAGAGGGGCGTCCTACTTCCCAACTCCAATTCAGCACAGTGTGACCCTGAATCTGGAGGGAACCCMAAAGCCTTGAATAAGCCAGGGCTCCTCCAGAGGAAACCACCTGATGGTTTCCTCTTAGGATGTTTGTGCTTTCATTATTCTAATGTGCAGCTATGAGCGGGTTATTCATCATACAACCAGAAAGACTAACAATGAATCAGTGGAGGAGAAGGTAGAGAAAACCAGGCTTGTTACCTGGGAAGCAAGCACACCCCTCTGCCCCCGCAGGAAATGTAGCTGCTGGGGTGATGGGTGTGTGTGTGTGCTCCTAGAGACACCTGAGGGGTGGGACCAAAGTCTCTGCCCAGGGTCCTTGAGGAAAGTGACCCTGATCAAGGGAGGTAGAGGCACAGAGGATCCCCCATTCCAGTGCTCACCCCCAGTGCCAGGAGAAGGAGTGCAGATCAGAGGAAGATGATGCCGGAAGACAGAAACCACCCACCCAACCCAAAAGGGGAGCAAAGAGAGCAATCTGATCTTTACCCCTCCAGCCTGAGAGACTCATCCAGTCTTACCCCACCCCAATTCACCAAGCAGGCCTCCACTGTCCAGAGCTGCAGCCTCTGGGATCACCAAGGCTGCACATGATCATTGATTCCAGGAGTGGCCTTCCTGGATAATAGCAACTGTACCTCCCTCCTGGTGCCTCCACCTGCAAGCCTCAAGTTCTAGCCATGTCTGACCTTGTGCACCCCGGTTTCTAGCTTTTGCTCAACAAATAGGACTGGGCTTCTCCTCCAATGTCTCTCCCTTTCTACACACCTGTGGTCAGGACTGGCTGGTCCACTTTGCCACTTTTCAAGGGTCACCCAGCCGTCCACGTCACATCAGTCTGCTGCTATGGAGATGGATTGAGGCTTGTTGTCTGGCTATGAACCCTTTCAGCCCAACGTTTTGGATCACAAGCCAATATCTCCGGATATCTCCACTGGTCCCTTTCCCTCCTCCCACCCCCTACAGTCTACAAAGTCCCATTGCATCTGTAAGTTGCTAGGAATAATGTCAGGCAGGATGAGGCTGAGGACAATGCCAGATAGCTCCCCACTAGACACCTCTGTCTCAGACAATGTGGAGTCCTAGGCATTCAAGCAGCTGGAATAATCTTACCCCTCCAAACACATACATCCTGGGGTCTGAGTGCCCCTTTGCCAGCCCTGGGGATCTTAACCTTAAGCCTCTCCCTTTCCACCCCACCCTCTGCTGTGAGTTGGCATTTGCTAGAAGGTAGGGCCAGAAGACCTGATTGTTTGCTCTGGCAGGCTGGCCCATTTCCTTTTCTTCAGCCCACCCCACCCTACCTCCAAACCACCCCTGGACAGGCAAACAGTTGCCGGCAAGTGTGGCCCCCACCTGGAAGGCTGACACACCTGTCAGCATGCCTGCCTGCTGTGCTCCCTCCAAGCTCCACCAAATCACACACAGTCATTTTATACTCCAACCACCTGCCCAGTTGCTTGTGTGTCCCCAATTATGCCCTCTGTCTGCACCTAGACAAAGAGGTAGTGACAAGAACAATATGGTCACAGGAAGACTGTCCAAAAGACAGGTCTGTCCTCCCCACTTCCCAGATGCTATGGGCCCAGAGCTTCAGGCCTGACACCATCTCAGTTCTTCCCAACTACCCCACAGGACAGACAGAGACAGAATGTACCACTCTCTGGAGCAGCCATGACTGTCTGCTTTATGTGCCAACACAGAGGAAAGGTAGGTCTTCCCCAGAAGAATTTGAATACTTAATGAAGAGGGTGTTACAGGTAATCAAAAGCAGCCTGAGTTGCCAGGCATGATGGTGCACACCTGTAATCCCAGCTACTCAGGAGGCTTAGCTAGGATAGTTGAAAATTTGAGGCCAGCCTCAAAAGTTAGCAAGACCATGCCTCAAAATAAAGTTTAAAAAAAAGGGCTGGAGATGTAGCTCAGTGGTAGAGCACCCCTGGTTTTAATTCCCAGCATCCCAAACAAAACAAAAACACAAAAAGAGCAGCCTCATCTGGGTGCAATGGTGCATGCCTATAATCCTAGTGGCTAGGGAGGCTGAAGCAGGAGGATTGCAAGTTGGAGGCCAGCCTCATCAATTTAGTGAGGCCCTAAGCAACTTTAACAAGACAGTCTCAAAATCAAAAAATAAAAAAGGGTTGTAGCTCAGTGGTTAAGTGCCCTTGGGTTCAATCTCTGGTACAAACAAACAAACAAGCATAGTTCTGGGACTAAAGAAGGCCTCTTGGGAGTCAGCCTGAGCTGCTCATGTAATTTCTGACCCTTGCTAAATAGACAGTGGAGGCCCTGACTCAGAGTAGGTCAGCCATGAGAAGGTTTGCTGGCCCAAACTGACTCCTTGCTGATATCCTAAGCTTTGGGCCAGAGATTGTTTCTGGAGGGCACTGGTGTTTGGACCAGAGTTAGAGGGCCAGCTCAATATCATATCAAGTGGGACAGAAGGAGAGCAAAGGAAAGTCAAGTGCACAAGGAACCGGGAGTTTTGAGACAAAACTTCCAATGGGGAAGAGAGAGGGATAGGGAGAGGCGCTGCCTTGTGGCACCCAGTTTCCTCAGAGGCTTTATTGAACTCCTCCCTGTGGTTCCCCAGATTCCATGGAGCATACTGTTGTGCCCTTCCCAGAGAATGGCCTGTATTTGAGCAGGTTTCTGGGGGATTTGTTTAGTCAGTCATTGTAGCCAAAGGGCTGTGTCTAAAAATGGATCCAGCTTTAAACCTCTGTTAGGCTGTGTGGCCCAGGGCAAGGCACATCACCCTTTGGAGCCTCACTCTGCTCATCTGCAATTGTTAGTTAGGTTAACTTAACTGTCATAACAAAGTCACTCCAAAAATGTACAAAGGCATCCCAGTTTCTCAGTGATGTAACATTGGAAGCCCATTGTCAACTTAGTGGGGTAGTGATATGGAGACCCAGGCCCCATCCCTTTTGTGGCTCTGCCATCTTCAATTTGTTTGCAAGGTCACCACACTGCAGCAAGCCAGGAGAGGAAGAAAGAGGATGTCGATGATAATCAGGTTTTTATGGGCCAGTCCTGGAGGTGATGACATTATTTCCACTCACACTATATTGGCTAGAATTTAGTCATATGACCTTCCCTAACTACAAAGGAAGCTGGGAAATATAGTCCAGCTGTGCCCAGAAAGATGATGAAAAAGGGTTGGTAAACAGGTAAACAGTCTCAAGCCAGACATGGATATAATAACAGCTCACTTCTAGGGTTCAAGAAATTATTCCCACAGCCAGTGTCTATCCTTCTTTCTTGATTTTCATTTTGGGAATCTTCCTTTCCTCTCCCCATTCCCTTTGATTTCCATAAACCTGATCCCATTTCCTAGACCTAGAGGTGGGTATATGACTCTGTCCTAGCCAGTGAGAGGTCTCCAATTCCCTGGCCACAGAGATTGGTTTAGGAGGACTGCAAGACCAAAAGCCAACCAATTAGAATGTCAACCTGGATTTTTCTTAGACTACTGGGGGAAATATTCTTATTCTATAAGTAAGGTGATAACTAAGCTGGCTGCTACAGTGGTTGGCAGCCATCTTGTCATCATAAGGGTAGAATTTGAATGTCAATAAATCCACTAAGAAGGAAACAGAAACAGAGAGAGGCAGGTTTCTGATTACGTTATGAGCCCTTGGATATCAGTTATGAGCCCTGACATCAGTCTGTCCTCTGTCTTTTCAGTTATATGAGTCAATAAATTCCTTTTAGGGAATGTATTTGGACTTCTGCTCTTTGAAAAAGAAGGAATTGGGCTGAATTAGCTGTTGGGAACAAACCAATGGATGTTTGGAAAGCACGGTGTCTGGAAGTAGTTACAGACTCCACAGGTAGCTTCTGGCATTGTTATTATGGAAACTGGGGGGCAATGTGCTGTGGAGATTGGGGAATAGACAAGAGAGGGAGATAGACAAGAGAGGGAGATGGAGAACCCGGGCCCAAGAAAGGAAGGTTTTCCAGAGGTCCCTGCTCTGGACAGGCCTTGTCTGTGGCTGGCACCTAGCCCAGCTCCTGATCTGCCTCAGGCTTGTCTGGGGCAGTCCTCCCTTTGCCTAGGGGCTTAGACCTATGACCTCCCTAGGGCAGGAGTCTCCAAACCAGGTGGGGAAACTAATCTGTGATCAGAGACAGTGAGATCAACTCTCACCATGTGCCAGGCCCCATGCAGAACACTTTTCAAAAATAACCTCATCTTGTAGCTCAGTGGTAGAGTGGCACTTAGCATGTATGAGGCCCTGGGTTCACTCCCAGAACCACATGCAAAGAAGCCTCATTAAATCTTCACAACAACCCTTGTATAAGTATTGCTTAGGGCATCACTAAGTTGCTGAGGCTGCCCTTGAACTTGCCATGCTCCTGCCTCAACTTCCCAAGTTGCAGGGGCTGCAGTTATGTCCCACCATATCTGGCTGGAAACTCATTTTATCTTTGAACTTGGGCTTTGTGAGTGAAGTCTGATGGCTGGCTGTATGTATGGTAGGAGCACAGAAGATTCATATAATACACCAACTCATATACTTAACATGTTCTTGCTGCTCTGTGAGTACAGAACTCTGGTGGACTCTGATGCATGGGAATTTGG